CAATGTGGAAAACGTTACAAATGTCACACAGGCTGCAGCCAAGTGAATGCAGTTTTGTTATATTATCTGTTCTGGTAGAGAGAACTAAAAAACTGCAGGATAAAAGTTTTCCCACTATGGAAATTAGGTGACAGTAAGCGACAGGGTCTGACTGCGGGGAGCCTGTAGGACAAGATAATGTCATCATCTGCATGAACTGCTCAGCTAGGTTCCCCAGACAAGTGTGTGTCTATGTGCATGTCAAGCAATCTATGATGTGCAAGAAACTCAGAACACTATGAGTGGGTCAGTCCATAGACACAGACACACTGTGGACACACACACACACACACACACACACACACACACACACACACACACACACACACACACACACATACACACATACACACACACACACACACACACACTTCCCTGACTGACCCATATTCCAACTCTGCAGCCTTTGGAAGGCTGTACAGGGAGTCAGGATAATCCTGAAGATTGGCGTGGACTTCTTAAAAGGAATATCAGAGTCTACATCTCTTCCATTTCCTACTGCAGTCAATCCGTGTTCCCTCTAAGCCAAATTTTTTTCTACTCCTTCATCTGTCCTTACACATCTATGACTTGCAATGAGGGCTGCAATTGCTCTTCTTTTACTTCTCTCTGTAACCTACTGTTAGAAGAAGAAGAAGAAGGAGAAGAGAAGAGAAGAGAAGAGAAGAGAAGAGAAGAGAAGAGAAGAGAAGAGAAGAGAACTACATAACTGCAATGAATTTGAACAGAAGGTCTATCTGTATCACAACATAAACAACAGTTTAAGCACACACTCCACTGCAGTGTGACACACACCGTTTGGGGTTCAACCCTCGCCTTTCACATTCTGCAGCACTGGGAGGAAATAGGACTGCCGTCACCATGGGAATGGTGGAAATGGAAAGCGGCCATTCTGTCCCGATCACAGCAGAGGCGATGAGACTGGACTGCAGAGTGGGAACCAGCTAACCCATTTAACATAATACTGATTCAATCAGGGGAAAAACAGAAACAGAAACATGGCCTGTGCAGCTGAAACAGCACAACAGTGTTACATTGTATGGATTTTATGAGTGTGACCTGGTGCTGTATCACAGAAAATATAAGTTATTTACAGGATAATATGACACTCGTTCAAATGTCCTCGAATATATAAAAAACACGTCCAGGGCTGCAACTAATGACTTTTATTACCTAATCTGCCAATTATTTTCTAGATGAATAGTTTTTTCTATAAATTGAGAGGAAACAGTTCTAATTTTCCAGAGCTCAAGTTGGACTCTTCAGATTTCTTGTTTTATCAGACCTTCAGTCTGAGAGTTTACTCTATAGCCAAGAAAAGCAGGAAAATCCTTGAGAGGTTGAAATCATACAATGGTCAGTATTTTTGCTTAAAAAATGAACAGAAACAATTTATCAAAATATTTGCAGATTCAACATTTTCTGTCGATCAACTAATCAATCAAAAAACTAATTATTTAAGCAATACACAAACACACACACGTTTTTCGACGCAGCTTGGCAACTTAAACCAGAAAAAAAATGTTTTCTTTAGTTATCACATTTGAACTTAATATGACGAACTACTTGGCAACGTTTTTATTCTATTTTTGGTGTCAACCAATTAATGAGGGGAACATTTGGCCCTTTAGCTGCTAAATGCTCAACTATTATTAGCTAGCTGCTCATTTAGTCTGTCATTAGGTGCTGGGCAAGTAGAGGACAATGAGTAATTTATTTATTTTGGCCAAAAACAGCAGCGTGCTGCAGCTGAAAACATTTTTTTTTTAAAAGGCGTGAGAGTGAACAAAAGAGTTTTGAGCCAGAAAATCCTACACAAGAGCTACAAGTTCATAAAAAGTTTATAGTTCTTGTTATATTTCCTTCTTTTGACAGTCACATATTATCTGATCCTTCATATATTATTTCAGAAGTGATTCTTTGTATGGATGGATGGATGGATGGATCAATGTAGAAGTCTGTTATATCTGTGCTTCTACAGCATCTTGACAGAAGACTCCCATAGGAGAGATTTTAAGCTCATCGTGGTCATTTCCTGGCTAAATAGAACAACATAGCCAGTGCAGGTAGTGGGGTTTAATACTTGTAAAAATCATACTTCACTCTACAGGGTTAATATCTATTATGTCTACTGATAGAGATAAATACAAAGACACTGGCTTCATTTATTCTCTATGTTTATAAGTGACTTGGAAAACATGTTCTGTCATCCTCTGGTCATGTCAGGTAGAATAAATCTCTGCTGAATCAGGAGTGTGTGATGAATCCCGTGTGTGTGGCTTTATTAGTGCTATTTTCTTCTTCCCATTAAAATTCAATGAGGCACCCAGTGGGCATTTTCCAGTTGACAGACAACAATGAAGCCTCCCTGTGGAGAGGTTTTATAGCTCATCTCTCCTCCTGTCCCACTGACTGGCAGACCGGACACAAATATAACATGAAATCCTGTCTAAAGCAATTACTACAGCTAAAAACCATGAATTATTACATAAAGAGCAACTGTGCAACTTTACTGTAGCAGTATTAGCCTACAGTGTGACATCACTGTGTTAGTCAGCAGATCCACATACAGAGCTGATCTGTGACTCCAGTGTGTCATTTGTACCCAAACGTGTGAAATAACAGAAACTGTGCTGGGACAATTAATCGACGGACAATTAATGGATCACTTTGATACCTAATTGATCAGTTAGGTCAATATTAAAACAAAATGGCCAAATATTCTATTTCCAGCATCTCATATGTAAGAGTTTATTGCTTTATATAATTGTAAATTCAGTTTTGTAGTGCTGGTCGACAACAAAATGAGCAATTTGAAGACTTATCTATGTGCTCTGGAAAGTGATTTTGGTCATTTTTGCTATTTATAGTTTAATAGTTTTTCATTTTAAAGATTAAAGATACATCTCTCTTATCACAGACAGTGTCATCACACCATATAGAAGCATTATAAGCTTTATGAAGGTGTTATTTGTTGCAACGGTATTACACTGGATTACATTAGATTGTGCAGGTGTTACTGGTGCACGCTGTATTTCAGCCACTCCAGAGGTACATTAAGCTACAATGCTGACAGGTACAAGTATGTTTTTTGTTTTTTTTTGCTTTTTTTTACATTTCTAGAATATTTCTCAATATATATATATATATTAACTGATTTATATAAGCTTATATTGGTAGATACATTTGCAGCAGCTGTCACAAATAACACTCCATTGTCTTATAAGACTATGTCACCTTCACTATACTGCCACGCGCTATAGCACAGCGTGCGCGCGTAACACTGACACCAATATTATGCGGTCCTGACCCATTTACAGCCGGCCCACACAGCTCCACGCAGCCTTATAGAAAAGGGGCTTTTATACAATTTCAAGGCTTTTCCCTGCAGGTTATATTTGGGCTGGTGGACCCCTCCACAGGCCTGATGTAGCCCGGCTCTGACAAAAGGCTTTGTTGCATTGCAGAGATGACAGCCCTCCAGTTCCCTTCATGCATCACGCACCACTGTGGGGGAGATTCTTTCTGACAAGCCACATATTCATATCAATAATTGGCTCCTCATCAGCAATATGGTAACCTACATGCAGTTTTTAAAAGGCTGCATGCACAGCCCCGGGGAGGGGACGAGCAGGTTAACCGTAAGCATCAGCGCAGCGGCTGATGATGGATGGATGCTGTGCAGGAGGATGCTGGAGGTTTCCCCTGAACGCCAAATAAAACGCCAAGTAGCTCAGAGCTCCATATATAGCAGGATTAATTATTAAGCGCCCCACCCAAGCTGCGCTCGGGGATGTGAAACAGCAAGACCCGGATCGGGGTCCGTACCTGCAGAGCCGTACGATTTCGACAGCAGCCACCGGACGCTGGCGCAGATCTTGGCCCGGTTGAAGTCGTACTGGTCCAGCGGTTTGATCTCCAGCACCGAGAAGCTCTTCTTCATCGCACTGGGAGAGTCCACCATGGCCGCGCCGCGCCGAGCCGCACGGAGGAGACGGAGGCAGCAGAAGCACCGGGCTAATGTGAGGAGGAGGGATGCAGGAGGAAGAGGAGAGACTGAGGAGGAGGAGGAGGAGGAAAGAGGGAGGGTGGAGGACCCTGTGATGAAGACTGAAACATAAAAATGATGACAGACGACAGAAAGTTGAACATGGAGGGTGAAAATAGAAATATGTGTCCAAAGATGAGCCTGTATTTAAAAGCCTGTATGGAGAATGAAATAGCTCACGTTAGGACGGTATCCGGCTCCACGCCCCCGTAAACGTCACAGCCCGGCCAATGGGGATGTCACCAAAAATAAATAAATAAATAATGAATGAAAATACCTCTCTATTGTTTCAGATTTGTTGCCACACTTGAGGGCAACAGAGAGAAGCCTGATAGGTGTTCTGGGGAATAACAGTCTCGGTTTTATCCGAGAGAGCAGATTATTGTTGGCCGGGAACATGAATATCAATAGTAACCACTTTCTTCCACACGGAGGCGCCCTTGAGCCAGGCACTGACTCTAAAAAAAGTTATTTATGTTACATTTTTAGTCATGTTTACAAAGTTTTCACCACTCGATTGAAACAAGTAGAAATGCAACAAGTTCAAAACATCTTGAATCTACAATCACAAACACATCAGAGGGACTGAATAGTTACATTACATTACAAAAAAGTTACAATTTATACATTTAAATTGTATTTTGTTATACATTTTATCAGTTTTTTTGTTTGTTTATTCAATAAATTAAATGCACTGTTTGTGGACACCCAGAGCTCTGTGATACGAGCTCCTTCATATTTATACAGAGACCAAAAAGTGTTGTGGTTTCATTTTTCTTTTCTCAATGCACCTCAGTCAAAGTCTATCTGACTTAAACTTTTAGCTATCTGACTATAGTGAGAGACCACAAACTCCCGCTGAAGGTACCCAGAATGGAGACACAGACTCACAGAAAGCAAAGAGAATTGACAGTTTCACTCCACGTGCAGGATTTATTTGCATCAACACAGGATACAAGCAAACCGAGTTGTCCCAGGATACAACTAACCAGAACAAAGAAAATCACTCTATTATATGTCTATCTTTCCCAAGGGTGTCTATTGGTGGCGACTAATGTCTGATAAACAGTAGTCATAACACATCTGATGCCCTACTCTGCCAGGAGACAGCCTTGGTCTTTGGAATGTGCTTAGCTTATGGTACAATAAATAACACCTCTTCTAACAAGGGTGAGACAACCAGAGTGTGAACACATGAGGATGAACATACATGGACATAAAATATTATACTGTAAGCCTGTACAATTAATTATGGAATAACAGAACATAATATAGTTTACTTCATGTTCTCAGAACCCGGTCCCTGAATTCATTTTCCCACTACAAAAGGATATTATGTTCAATTTCTGCCAATAGATCCTCCTAAATGTTACACACTGGACCTTTAAGTCGATTCTCTATGTGGGCAAATGTTTTCTAAACTTGAATTGTAGCCTTCCTGTATACATTAAAAAATACTTAAAACAATCTTTCTAAGAACTCTAATTGACAGCGTAGACAAACATTTATCTAACTTTTCTTTCATGTAAAAAATTTAATGAATAATAATAATAATAATAATGGGCTGCTACTTGTTCTGGATACATTAAGCTACAGAAACCATTCAACTATCAAAATGTTCTGCTCTTTTTCACAGTACAGTAAAGAGAGAAATCTTCTTTTAAACATGTCACAATACCTTGAACTATTTAACTTGTTGTTAACTTGCTAATGTTTAGCTGAAGCTGGTTGAGCTGTGTCATTTGAGAACTTCTTGATATGGCAGTGTTGAATTGTGGGTAAAGTCTGAGGTGTAAAGGGTGAAGAGGAAGGGAGAGAGCACCGTACCCTGAGGGGCACCTGTGTTACAGAGCACAACGTCAGACACACAGTGTATTATGCTTTTTAAGATATTCAGCTGTTTTTTCTTTCGCTCTCTGTCTCTCTGCATTTTACTCTATTTCTTCCTTTGTTGGGCTGACGTTAAACTATTTTTTGGTTGTATGTATTTTGGGTAACTTCCCTCCATATAACTCTTAAGTGGCCCGTTAAGCTTCCAGTTCTGCCAGTTTTACAATTCAAGCTTCCAGGTTTTTCAGCAGACAATCAATTTCACATTTAAATTTGCAGCAGGAAATTAATTTTCTAGTTCTCAACGTTGTCACTGGAGAAGGATAAATAAGTGCTTAGTTGAGGCTTTTACATTTATTAATAACTTTAAGAAAACTTCATTATCTGCTGCTTCTTTTCATTGGCTTTAAAAGGTCTTTAACACTAAGAGCTAATTGTCTTGGTCTCAAGACAAGTCACTGTCTGTGTTTCATTTGAGGTCTCATTTAATAACAGCACCAGCATCTGTCAGTTTGAGCTCATACTGCAGACACAACCACTTAATGTAATCGTTTTCCTGCTCAACATGCATCTAATGTAGTCCAGGTTTTGTTCCACTACAGTGTCAGCCTATCTCTAATGCAAAGATTACGATTCATCATCACGCTCCAGTGTGTTTCACTTGCCTCAGATTAAGTTCATCTTTCTTGAAACGTGTGGATCAACCTTAGAGAGCGCAGCGATCAGGACTGAACTAGCTTCAGGTCCCTTTTTTCGCACCAAGTCAATCACATATCGTGCTTTTTCTGTGCCGACTTTTGTTCTTGCTGTTTCCATTTCCTCATCATTCAGAACCTTACGATGAAGAAGTTCATCCAGAAGCTTGTCCAGATTAGAGTCAGAAACTCTTTTTATAAACTCTAACCGAACTGAGAATAGCCTCTCGTCTGCTGGGACAACGTCCTCTGCTGGGACAACGTCCTCTGCTGGGACAACGTCCTCTGCTGGGACAACGTCCTCTGCTGGGCCATTTCTCTGTGGAGTTTCCCTTCTTGAATCTGGAAGATAACCAGAGAAAATACTTTTGTTTAAGAACCACCAATAACAAAACTGCAGGGATTTATTTTCCATTCCATACCCCCGATGCCCAATACAACACACAGTCACATTTCATACAATGTTATTACAACTTTTCTACACACTGGCCCTGGAGCTCCAAGGCCAATAAGAGCCCTCAAAAGTGAAGAATTATCTGAGACAGAGAATAAAGGATGAAGACATACAGTATATATACATCAAGATTAAAAGGATCAATCAACTGTTGCTCTATTCTATTGTCTTATTTTCTGTTGTATCATGTGGAGTGATGCTGCAGGTGGATGAAGACTTTACCAGTCAGATCAACGTCATGCGCCCAGACCTCCATCTGTTCTTGGTCTTTGACTGTTAAAGCCACTTCTTCTATATTTGCAGGAAGGCGGATCTCAAACGTTGGGTGGTAATTTGGTCCATACTCCTGCTCAAAATCTGCTTTCTGAAAAGCAAAGTGTCAGTATCATAGCGTCCAAAGTAAACTAAAGGTAACCAACAGCAGCTTTATAAATCATGTCAGCATGTTGCACAACTTTATTTAAAATACTCACCTCAGGCTGTATTTTGATGGCCTGTGGACAGTGCAGAGTGTAACTCTGATCGTTGATGAGTTTACATCTGGAAGGAGCCCAGATGTTCTCAAAATCACGCTGTTGTTTGCAGACCTACAGAGACATTTCGAAAATGTTACCATTTAAATTAGAGGGTACACGGTTTCCCCAAAGTTTTACTAACGAATTTTCAAAACTTTTTCAAAATAAAAGGGAGGGATCAGAGGGTGTAATAATGAGGCTCTTACTCCAGTGTGCTATGCCCTAGGACAGGCATTGTAGCAGAATGAAATGGCCTTGTGTCTACACATACTGTAGACTTTCTATAATCACGTTTCTTCACAGTTCGAGACAATAACCACAGAATGTGGTAAATGAGTTAAGTGATTAATTATCCAACCAACATTGGCCACTTGGCACTCAGAGTATATTTAGTATTTAGTACTTAGACAATGAAGGGGCTGTAACAGAATGAGGACTGTGGATTCTGTCCTCCATCACCTACACGGAAAGTGTATTAGGAAGAGATCTCTTAATGTCCAGTATGAACAGAATTATTACAGAAAAAAAGAAAAAAAATCATTGTTCAGTGTCCTGTCACTGTTGTTTTGCTTCAAAACTTCAAATAATAAAAATTGTGAACTGACAGCTGTAATAAGAAGCTTTACCTCATCCAGGTGGATGTTCCTCGGCAAGAGAAACACATTGAGTATTTGCCTCTGTGTTCTTGGGTTTGGTGGTCTGAGGAACAGCAGAACTTGGCCTTTAACTGGTTTTGACAACAATTTGAAAAGTTTCTTCACTATGCCATAGAAAGAGAGGTGAGAGATTTTGGCAACCACATGAGTGTCTGTAATCTCCAGTGGCTTGAAGAAGTTTGTTCCATCATCAGTGATGTGGACGACAGACAGCAGGTCTTCAGGCAGCAGACCTGTGAAAACAAAGAGCTGTTAAACTTTTGTTTTACGTATAACAACCTCAACACAATGTTAGTCCTGATTTTAGTTTAGTCATTGAAGAACATAACTCAGGTTCAATTTATTGAACACAACAGTCAGTGTTGGTGGATGGGAAGCCGGTGAGGGGCGGAGCCCTTGCTCCTGCCTAGAAGGGGATCAATTGTTTTGGTATATTCATGAGCCCCTGATGATAAATCAATTTTGGTGAACTCCATTTCCTTTTCCCACTTGTGTTGAAAAAATATAAAAATGTAATAGGAAGATTAGTATGAAATCCATGAAGGAAAAGGGGAAAGACAACTCAAATATATATTTTTTTGTGATAATACAATAGGCCACTGTTAGAAAGATGTGCTAATTCTTATGCTTTGAAACCACAAGGAAAACAAATAAAACGTAATTTCTTCCTTGTAAGTCAGTTATTAACTTCCGTGTCTCAATCTATGTCGTGTTGGGTCCTTGAATTTGAGCAATTAGGCCTGGAAATTCCTTCAAAAGTCACTGAATTTGATGTTTAAGAAGTTGTGGAACCGGAAAAAAAACTTAAATGTTTTTTCAATTTCCAAGCAGAATTACAAGATTGAGATGAATAAGTAAGTAAATAAGTACAAAGAGTTACTTTATTAGGTTGGGTGCTTAAAGAAGTCTACTTGCAGTTTGAACCACAATTCAAAAGCAATGCCTGATTTTCATTAGTTTATTTTTAGTACATTTTTATCAGTTGTCCTTACCATCCATAATTTCACAGTGTGGGAAGTGGAGCTGACAGACAGCAGCATCGTGTGAACACTTGATTTCGAACAGTAGCCCTGCAGCCATCATGCCAACTGATTCAAGGAGGCACTCATCCCATTGGGCAGTCCTGTACAGCAGCTCCGCCTCCCGAGCCATAACAAACCCCAGTCCAGTCGAAGCACATTGGTACACACCTGGACCGGGACACCTGAACCTGTAGACACAGAAGGGCTGATTAAAACAAGCCTTCGGCCTTCTGATACTCAACTGGCCAATTTACTATAGGACGGGCCTTGCACTAACAACAATGATAATATCTTTATTTATTCAGCACCTATTGAAACACAATTACAAATTTCTTTACATAACAGCAAAGAACACATAACATAGAAACCCATAAACACACAGCAATAAAAGAATCAAAGTACTAAATAAACCGTAAAAATTGACAGCATAAAAACTAGTAGCTTTCAAATTAGTGACTGACTCAGTCTGCTGTTTTTCCTCTGGCAGGATATTCCAGAGCCTTTGGGCTCTTATTTCAAAAGCTCTGTTCCCCTTTAGTTTTCAGCCGAGACTGAAGATAAAAGGCCCCTACTAGAGGATCTCAAAGTGCGAGCAGGGTCGTCCGAGGAGTCAGATCATTTAGTGCTTTGTAAGTACATCATCTACCTGGCTTATGACAACACAGTGTGATGGGGATGTTGGAATCATTGAAAGGAGTTGAATTGCATTTTATGATTTGGTTACCTGTACGAAGTATTTCCAGACTCAGTCAACAGTTCAGGTGTGAAACTTAACTTGTCCTAAAATTGAAAAGGCACACAACAAGTTCATTAAACTGGGCTGGAGAATGAATTGATACTTCAGAGGTCAGGGTTAGGGTTAGGAGCAAGTGTCGACCAAACCTAGCTCAACTGTCTCCTTTACTGTGTTGAAAAGACAACCACATTTTTAAGACGATTAAATATAAAAGATGTATGTATATATGTATGTGTGTCTTTTCAACACAGACGAGCCTAGCACATAGCATATGTAAGTACAGGAAAGAGGACCGAACCAAACTATTATTGGAGCCCAAAGCAAAAAGAGATGGGAGCAAAAAATAGAGACGCAAGTCTCAGTTACAGGCGACAGGATCCTCACCTACATCCACTCTTTACTATTTATTCATCACTTCATTATCCCTATGTCAAAATGGCTAAATTATAATTATTATTCAGTGAAATGATACAGTACAAGTGAAGCCTAAAGAACTATTGTGGACAGCAGCAAGGTAAGATATATTAAACCCTGGAGTAAAACTATGGAAGTATGATCACTGGCAGATTAATAAAAGGTTGAAAAACTGACATTTGTATTCAGAGCTTCTTGACACACAAGCTGATGCTGATCTTCTTCACCCTCACTCTCCTCTCCGTTGTCCTCAGACACATCAATGATTGCATTTGATGTAGACAGATCTGCTGAGTGATTAGAGCCATCAGATAGGGAGAAGAAGACACACGGCACATGCATGTCTTCCCCATCTTTCTCCTCATGTTTCCTGTTGTCATCTACTGGAAAAATCTAATGTGAAAAGCTCAACCACAGTCATGTTTAAAATCAAGTTCAAAGGTGGACAATACCAAGTTAAGACTGAGCATTCAATAACATTTACACAGACTGAGATTCAAGACAGGTAACACAGCCAAGACATCATCTTTCCCAACAGGCAGAACAGAACAAAGAAAGAGATCTGCAGTGGTTGCTATGATTAACCAGTGCTGCTAGTACAGCAGCAAATCTTCCAATTATGATTTAATAGCAGTTTACGTTTCTATAGGATATTCTAGAGGGCCTTTACTCACGTCCTTCATGTCTGTCAGGTGCCCAGTTTTCTCCGTCATCCACCCTGTAGGAATAAACACAAACACAGCCGTTATCTCTCATGAAGAGATTTGAAATGATCAGATTCAGTTAGTGGCCTTCTCTTCACTAAATGTAACACCGGTGATTTCACACAGCCAGGGTCCCCAAACTGTTATCTTACTCCGTCAACCTGAATTTTCCAATCTCACTACAAGTACATTCACATGAAAGTCTTGAGTGGAGGGCTTCAATAATGGCCAATCACCTCAGCACCTTTTCATCCATTTTAAGAGCAACTGAAACCATTATAGACCCTCACAGATTAAAATGGGCTGCACAATTAATCAAGATATAAATAATAAATCACAATAAGACATGTTTGTTTCATATAGACCCCAAAATATTTTACATCATCATGATTTTAATAGTTTTTTTCAGTGAAAATTACATTTGTGATGCAAAAATGATCACTCCACACTAATCGCAAATCATATTGCAATCACAGTATCTGTCAACATAATTGCAATGTTTTTACCATATCCTGCAGTCCTAAGTAAAATGAAAGTTTTTAACCTTGTTGACATCAATGTGGTGTTTTTATATGTCACAACGACGTATCATGAGCAAAATAAAAAGTCATTTCCACTTTTGAAATGCAGTGACCCATTCAATCAATCACAGTCACAGCCAGACAGCTACCTCATACCTGAGGAACCAAGGTAGGTGGGTGGAGCCTCTTGCCATAGAGGCATAGAGTAACTAGCAGAAAGGAAAACAAAGACTAGCAGAGGTTTGGAGAGGGATCTGGATGCAGATTCCCCATGGATATATGAAACCTTCCCTCTGATGCCCTCCGGTACCTTTACCTCAACTCTCTGTGATTGGCAAAGTTTCCTGATGATCTGTTTATTTGGATGGTAAAACAGCTTTGTATTTCTTCAAGTAAACAGTTCAGGTCAGTTTACAACAGAAACAGTCTCTTACTTTTTGTCTGAGGGTCCAGGTACATTACTGAAGTCTGGAGGTCCATCTTTAGGACTGTCACAACTGGATCCTGGAAACTCTGATCCGTCTTTCTCCTTCTCTAGATCACTCTTCTTCTTGACTGAAGTCCATGTGACGAGTGAACTTTCATGACTGAAGATTGTAGACATATATTGTACATACACCAATTCATTTCCAATACACTTACATCAAGGAATTGAAATAAAGAACATGTATTGCAAATAGTCTGAATGAAACTGCTGAGTCCAATAACCAAATCAAAGAAGCTGCAATACTTAAATAAGAGCTAAGATGTGTGACAAAACAGCATTATAATCTCACTGTACCTGGAAATACTGAATCTTTGACTGGATGCGAACAGTCTCTAGAGACCACAAAACAGACTGATCAGCATGTACTCAACTCACTACCAACCTCACAGTCTTCAGTATACTGCGGTGTGGACTGTCACGTCCAATGGACAGCAGCTTCACTCCTGAATCCTGTAGGTTGTTGTGAGTCAGCTCCAGCACTCTCAGATTGGAGGGGTTGGACTTCAGAGCTGAGGCCAGAGGAGCACGGCTGATCTCTGATAGCTTACACCTTTTAAGCCTACACCCACAGGATACAGATCAATACAAAAATTTCACTGAAAAGTCGATTACATCAACCATGTGTGAAAAATAAGAGAACATCCACCAGAGAGGGTTGACAATGAACTGACCTGAGAGTCTCCAGTCTACAGTGTGGACTCTGCAGATAATCACACAGCAGCTTCACTCCTGAATCCTGCAGCTTGTTGTTACTCAGGTCCAGCTCTCTCAGATCGGAGGGGTTGCACTTCAGAGCCGAGGCCAGAGCAGCACAGCTGATCTCTGATAGCTCACACCTTTCAAGCCTACACCCACAGGATAAAGATCAATACAAACATTTAACTGAAAAGTCGATTACATCAACCATGTGTGAAAAATAAGAAAACATCTACCAGAGAGAGATGACAATGAACTGACCTGAGAGTCTCCAGTCTACAGTGTGGACTCTGCAGATAATCACACAGCAGCTTCACTCCTGAATCCTGCAGTTTGTTGTTACTCAGGTCCAGCTTTCTCAGATTGGAGGGGTTGCATCTCAGAGCTGAGACCAGAGCAGCACAGCTGATCTCTGACAAGCTGCAGTGGCTCAATCTGAATAAAAGAACAAATAACTTCAAAGGAAAATTTCACTTTATTTCAATCTGTGTATTTCAGATAAATGGCTATTGTGACAGTTTCAATGTATTTATGTGTAGAATATGTCACAGACATGGGAAAAAATATGAATGTATTTTTTAAACTCAACACCTCCAGTATCTGTTTCAGATTAAAAGCTCTCTCTGCGGACAAATCAAATCAAATCAAGTTTATTTGTATAGCCCTTTACAATAGCCGAAAGGTACCCAAAGTGCTTTACAACAAAACCATGAAACAATACATAACACATACAGTGGGTACGGAAAGTATTCAGACCCCTTTAAAATTTTCACTCTTTGTTTCATTGCAGCCATTTGCTAAAATCAAAAAAGTTCATTTTATTTCTCATTAATGTACACTCAGCACCCCATCTTGACAGAAAAAAACAGAAATGTAGAAATTTTAGCAAATGTATTAAAAAAGAAAAACTGAAATATCACATGGTCATAAGTATTCAGACCCTTTGCTGTGACACTCATATTTAACTCACATGCTGTCCATTTCTTCTGATCCTCCTTGAGATGGTCCTGCTCCTTCATTGGAGTCTAGCTGTGTTTAATTAAACTGATTGGACTTGATTAGGAAAGGCACACACCTGTCTATATAAGACCTTACAGCTCACAGTGCATGTCAGAGCAAATGAGAATCATGAGGTCGAAGGAACTGCCCAAGGGGCTCAGAGACAGAATTGTGGCAAGGCACAGATCTGGCCATGGTTACAAAAGAATTTCTGCAGCACTCAAGGTTCCTAAGAGCACAGTGGCCTCCATAATCCTTAAATGGAAGAAGTTTGAAACGACCAGAACTCTTCCTAGACCTGGCCGTCCAGCCAAACTGAGCAATCGTGGGAGAAGAGCCTTGGTGAAAGAGGTAAAGAAGAACCCAAAGATCACTGTGGCTGAGCTCCAGAGATGCAGTAGGGAGATGGGAGAAAGTTCCACAAAGTCAACTATCACTGCAGCCCTGCACCAGTCGGGGCTTTATGGCAGAGTGGCCCTACGGAAGCCTCTCCTCAGTGCAAGACATATGAAAGCCTGCATAGAGTTTGCCAAAAAACACATGAAGGACTCCCAGACTATGAGAAATAAGATTCTCTGGTCTGATGAGACCAAGATTGAACTTTTTGGCGTTAATTCTAAGTGGTATGTGTGGAGAAAACCAGGCACTGCTCATCACCTGCCCAATACAATCCCAACAGTGAAACATGGTGGTGGCAGCATCAGGCTATGGGGATGTTTTTCAGCTGCAGGGACAGGACGACTGGTTGCAATTGAAGGAAAGATGAATGCGGCCAAGTACAGAGATATCCTGGAAGAAAACCTCTTCCAGAGTGCTCAGGACCTCAGACTGGGCCGAAGGTTCACCTTCCAACAAGACAATAACCCTAAGCACACAGTTAAAATAACAAGTGGTCTCGGAACAACTCTGTGACCATTCTTGACTGGCCCAGCCAGAGCCCTGACCTAAACCCAATTGAGCATCTCTGGAGAGACCTGAAAATGGCTGTCCACCAACGTTCACCATCCAACCTGACAAACCTGGAGAGGATCCCCAAATCCAGGTGTGAAAAACTTGTTGCATCATTCCCAAGAAGACTCATGGCTGTACTAGCTCAAAAGGGTGCTTCTACTCAATACTGAGCAAAGGGTCTGAACACTTATGACCATGTGATATCTGTTTTTCTTTTTTAATAAATTTGCAAAAATTTCTACATTTCTGTTTTTTTCTGTCAAGATGGGGTGCTGAGTGTACATTAATGAGAAATAAAATGAACTTTTTTGATTTTAGCAAATGGCTGCAATGAAACAAAGAGTGAAAAATTGAAAGGGGTCTGAATACTTTCCGTACCCACTGTATATAATATACAAACAAAAATGCTGTAGTGCTGCAGCACTGCAGGGTATTAAAAGCCTTCCAGAAATGCGAAATGAGAGGAGCAGATAAAAAGAGTACACCTAAGAGACAGTACTGTCCTAGTCAGAATTAAATGCTAATCTAAAAAGCGGGTCTTAAGCTGCGATTTAAAAAGGCCGAGATCAGTAGTGGTGCGAATGTCAAGGGGCAGTTTGTTCCACAGTCTAGGAGCAGCAACGGCAAAAGAACAATCGCCCCACTGTTTAAGTCTCGACCTAGGGACCTCTAACAGAAGCTGACCCGAAGAGCGCAGGGCTCTGCCACAATTGCGAAAAGTTAAAATCTCTGACAAGTAAGAGGGGGCCAAGCCATTAATGGTGTTAAAAACAAACAACAAAAGTTTAAAATCAATTCTAAAACGGACTGGAAGCCAGTGGAGTGACGACAGCACAGGGGTAATGTGTTCGCGTCTGGACGTGCTAGTTAAAAATCGGGCAGCAGCGTTCTGCACAAGTTGGAGACGAGAAATTGAGGACTGACTGAGGCCAACGTAAAGGGCATTGCAGTAGTCCAGTCTTGAGCTGATGAAAGCATGGATTGCCTTCTCAAGATCCTGCCGACTGAGAAAAGACTTCACTTTGGCCAAAAGACGGAGCTGAAAAAAGCTTGTACTGACAGAGCTAATCTGTTTGTCAAATTTGAGCCCAGTATCAAATGTTACCCCAAGATTTTTGACATGTGATTTAAAAAGGGGGGCCAGAGTGGCAGAATTTGTGGTGAGAACATTCGACATAGCTGGTGAACCAAACAAAATGCATAAGTGCAAAACCAATGAATTTGGTGGCTCTAATCAGCATCGTCGTCCCGGATGCAGTGTTTCACCTGCAGAAAATCCACAGATGTAGACCCTCTTGGAGTTAGCCATAATGACCTTTTTGCTGTGGGTTTTTATAAATTGCATTCAATAAAGCCTGTTTATTTGGAAAGCTGTTGGTGGCTTTTACAGCTTACCAAGGTTAAAATGTACCTGAATTGTCCTTTAGATACTTTAAAGCAGAATTTTGTGATAGAGGTCTCACTGTGTCACAGTGGATGGGTTGAATCGGTCAGTAGAAAGAGATTTTGAGAAATCACTAGTAGCATTTAGACGAAGAATGTGAATTTTCTACCTCAGAGTCTCCAGTCTACAGTGGGGACTCTCCAGATAATCCCACAGCAGCTTCACCCCTGAATCCTCCAGTTTGTTGTCACTCAGGTCCAGCTCTCTCAGATGGAAGGGGTTGGACTTCAGAGCTGAGGCCAGAGAAGCACAGCCACCTCCTGTTATTTCACAGTGATATATTCTGTAATTACAGGAAAAATATCACATCAGAAATGCACAAGAGAAAACATTTTTGCTCACATAAAAACACAAAATAAATCTTTTCAGATTATAGATGTACAATCTAAAGAAAAACACAAAGTGTACTGACCTCAAAGTCTCCAGTCGACAGTGTGGACTCCTCAGTCCGTCAGATAGCAGCGCGACTCCTGAATTCTCCAGATAATTGTTACCCAGGTTGAGCTTTCTTAGGTGGGAGGGGTTGGCTTTTAAAGCTGAGGCCACAGTGTTGCAATGTATGTTTGACAGTTCACAGGCGGAAAGTCTACAAATACACATATGTAATTATATAATATTAATACTCTTGTGCTAGAATTGAAACTTATTTTTTATTTAATTGATGTTTATATAAACAGTATTAATTAACTGCAAAAAGTGATTGAGCAGGTTAATAGAATGACTAATACAAATTCTAACAAAACAAGCTGTCCCACAATGGTTGGCAGATCCACTCCTGCTAATAAGTCAGCATGTGGTGTCAGACTACCCTGCTGTGCTGAGGCAGGCTGGGCTCACTGCCAACCCGAAGAAGTGTGCAGTTGGACGGAGGGAGGTAAGGTATCTGAGGTACCACTTGGGCACTTGTGAATGTAACCAGCAGCGCAAATATACCTCCTAAGCCACTATATGTCCCTCATGAGCCACCTCTACAGTTTATCACCTCCCACTTCCTTTTAATTTAGTAAGCATCAAGATGAGCTTTACATGGTCGCGTGTTTGCGAAATAAATATCTTCAATGTCTATGTTTGCTAATGTTATCCTAGAGTCTGTCTGCCTGTCTGTCTCTTGTGTGTGTCTTGAGTAACCTTTCGGATCATTCCCTTTTCCTAACTACCAATGACCACAACTCTTTATTTAATATGTTTTTTTTACATTGCATATTTGATATGTGGCATATTTATCACCTTCTGTATTCAATCTGTGGAATTTAACTGGTTCCTATTTGGTTTTTTTTAATGTAGAGATACAGTGGCTACTAGGTCCTGCTAGAATACATCAGCACTAACCGAGCCTTTCTGCAGTTCCTCACAGCTGGAATCAGTCTTTGTTTTCCCTTTACTGATGTTCTGTACGTCTCAAGGTCCAACTCATCCAGAACCTCCTCTGACATCAACAGCATGTAGGCCAGAGCTGAGCAGTGGATCTCAGACAATTTCTTCTTTTTTGATTTGTTCTCTGACGTCAGGAATTCTTGGACCTCCTGATATACTGAGTGGTCGTTCATCTCCATCAGACAGTGGAAGATGTTGATGCTTCTGTCTGGAGCAATATCGTGCGTGTTCATTGTCTTCAGGTTTTCGATGACTCTCTGGTTGGTAGCTGGACTGATGTCTGTCCGACCCAGCAGGCCTCTTAAGAGTCTCTGGTTTGACTTCAGAGAAAGGCCATGAAGGAAGCGAACAAACAGGTCAAGGTGGCCCTTTTTACTCTCCAATGATTTGGCCATGGCTTTCCTTAGGAAGTTATCGAGGGATTGATTAGGGCCATTGTCTCTGTCGTCGTCATCATCATCTTCATCATCATCATCAACAATGAATGAATCATCATCATCCTTATCATCATTGAGGAACCCCTTCATAACCTCTGTGTTCCCGTTGGTGTAACAGTGGAACATGTAGACTGCAGCCAGAAACTCCTGAATGCTCAGATGAACAAAGCAGTAGACTGTTGTCTGGAAGATCACCCTCTCTGTTTTGAAGATCTCTGTACAAACTCCTGAGTACACCGAGGCCTCTGTGACGTCGAGACCACACTCCTCGAGATCTTCACAGTAGAACATGATGTTTCCTCTCTCCAGATGTTCAAACGCCAGCCTCCCCAGTTTCAGAAGAACTTCCCCGTCCTCCTCTGTCAGCTCTTGTGGACTCTCATCATATTTCTGCTTCTTCCTCTTTGTCTGAACCAGCAGGAAGTGCGAGTACAGGTCAGTCAAGGTCTTGGGGAGCTGTCCTCTCTGGTCAGAAGTCAACATGTGATCCAGAACTGTAGCAGAGATCCAGCAGAAGACTGGGATTTGGCACATGATGTGGAGGCTCTTAGATGTTTTGATGTGTGAGATGATTCTGCTGGACTGCTCTTCATCACTGAATCTCCTCCTGATGTACTCCTCCTTCTGGGCGTTAGTGAAGCCTCGTACTTCTGTTACCCTGTGAACATATTCAAGAGGGATCTGATAGGCTGCTGCAGGTCGGGAAGTTATCCAGACGAGAGCAGAGGGAAGCAGATGCCCCTTAATGAGGTCTGCCAGCAGCACGTTGACTGAAGACTTTTGTGTGACATCAGACACAACCCTTTTCTTCTTGAAATCCAATGAAAGTCTGCTTTCATCCAGGCCGTCAAAGATGAACAAAAGTTTACAGACAGCGAGCTTCTCTGCTGTGACCTTCTGTAATGTGGGATGGAAAACATGGAGCAGCTTAAGAAGACTGTACTGCTCATCTTTGACCAAGTTCAACTCCCTGAATGAAAGCGGAATCACCAGACTGATATCTTGGTTTTGTAGGCCCTCCGCCCAGTCCAGAGTGAACTTCTGCACTGAGAAGGTTTTTCCAATGCCAGCCACACCATTTGTCAGAACAACTCGGATGCGTCTCTGTTGGTCAGGTAATGCTTTAAAGATGTCGTGGCACTTGATTGAAGTGTCATGGAGAGTCTCCATCTTGGAAGCTGTCTCAAGCTGCCTCACCTCATGTTGGGTATTAGCCTCTTTACTCAGTCCCTCTGTGATGAAGAGCTCAGTGAAGATTCTGTTGAGGAGGGTTTCACTTCCTGTTCCATCTATTCCCTCAGCCGCATACTCACATCTCCTCCTCAGACTGATCTTATGTTCATCTACAACCTCCTGCAGACCAACATCCACTGTACGAAAATAAAAATAAAAAGATACAATTATAAATATAAATATTAGTTAATTATCACAACAATTGTTGACATGATGACAACCACAGACTGATCTATAGTCTTACTTTGTACAGTGCTGGTCTGACTGGCTGTCTCCAGTCCTGGTCTTGTTCTGGATCTTTTTGTACACAGAGGACAGGAGGAGTCCCCTGATGTACCAGACTGATCCCAGTATGAGGTGATGCACTGTCTGCAGAACCAGTGTCCGCAGCTGGTAGAGACTGGATCCTTCAGCACGTCACAGCAAGCAGCACAGCAAGATGGCTGCTCTTCCACAGAATCATGACTCCTCTTCCTCTTCTCTCTGTGTACACAAAGACATTTCATAGATTATTGAAGCAAAAGATTTTACCAACTCTGTCAAGATCACACTTTTTACAGACCAAGCTTTACTTAAAGGATAGGACAGATATTATCAAGGCTTCCATTTGAAAGGATAACTTACAAATGAATTAATTTGAGAAAATATGGAGTCCCTTTATTAATTATGTAAAATATTGATTTAATAAACGATGAAGTGGATGACTAATCTCTGAAGACAATGCAGTTGCAGACCTTCTTCTAAATAAGTATTTTATTTTGCATCTATTGCAATTAAGATAATCAATTTTGATTGATTTGATGTTCTTCTTTGAGTAACTGCAGCAATCTCTACTGTATTGATTATATGAACGTAAAAGGTTGTATTTCAAGGTATTAAAAACTCAAATGGAGATATTGTAGGAAAGCAAGTTGTCTGTGTGTGTGTGTGTCTTTGAAGTGGCAGATAGGTCAGGTCAGTGTATCAAAAACAATTACATTCTTTCTTAAAAGACTGATCAATTTAATGATTAATTGGTTTTCCCTTTGCCCTAATTTTATGAAAGTGCAATGATTTAATTCTAAAGTAGTTAATCCGCTATTATAAATCCTTTGTGTGCCTCAGAAACGTGTGTTAATATTCTAACAGGCAGTTTTAGAGAGATGTATCTGGTCTGGAACAAACCACTTTTTATGGGAACCATTCAGTTGATAGAGCATGAAAATCGTTGGTTTTAAAAATCGTCCCTCCCTCCAGCTGATGATCTATGCAGTCTGTGACCAAACACACAAAGACACGGACATCCTACACACTGGGTTTTAGATTTGCAGAAGGTAATGATGTACTGGATACTGGATCTATCTGTTAAACATACAGCAGAGAGACTCTCTTACTTTGTGTCTGAGGGTCCAGGTTCATTGCTGAAGACTGGAGGATGATCTTTGGACAGAGAGCTGGATCCTGAGAACGTGCTCCACTCTTCCTCCAAATCACTCATCTTCAGTCAGTCTAAGGTCAACCAGAAACACTGCAGGCAGACACACAATAACCATAATATCGAGATATCCTTTCCACTACACTTCACTGCTCACATTTTCCTCTTGCACCAAAATGCATCTTGTAATTTAAATGGGGAGAGGTGCATTAAAATGACACATGCTGTCCACTGTAATGTGTCCCTGTCCTGATTCCTACAGTATCAGACTGTAACTGAAACTTTGTCTCTAATACAGTTAAACATCTGCAGATTCTTTACTTCAGTTCAGGGTATGAACAGTTAATTGAAGTCAAATCCACAAGGGTTGTCACCTGGGGCAGTTCTGGGATTGGCCTCCCCATTATCGTAACCTCTTCGACTCCACACCAGTGGGCTCAAGTAGTAGTTAGGCTAAATTTTGTAGATGGAAAAACTCCTTTGACCTCTGACCTCAAGATATCTGGAGGAAAATTGGTTCTACTGGTACCGACCAAGTGTGAACCTATCGTTACATCACCCATTGGTTTGTGGAGTACCATTTTGAAGGCTCAAGTTTGCCATTGTGGCTGTCGCCATGACAGTTATTTTACTCTAAATTAGACCATCAGTTCCTAAATGAACATCATGCTATACGGTAGAAGATGTGAAACTAGTGACTGAGTCCATGAAACTCATCAGGAAACTATTTACTGAGCTAATAAATCAAATGAGAAGTTGGTTCATTCTCCATTAAAGTGAATGGTACCAGTGTGTTATTGCAGCTAATGGAGCTCCCCCTGCTGGCCTTTACTATTTAAGACACTTCCAAGTTGGTTTCACTTTTGACCCCCAGAGTCCTGCCTGGTTAAATAAATATGTAAACGCCCCTGGTTGTCAAGCGACAGCAGCCTTCACAAAGCTGTAAATAAATGAAACTAAATCACGTGTGTTCAGTTAGTTTCCTCTGACGAGTCTGAACATGAAAATACAATTTAAATAGAGTTATATTTTAGTTTCTGCTGCTGTCACCAACCATTAAAACTACACAAAAACAGTCACATGCTAAATAAGTAAATAAATAAATAAATAAATAAATGTAGACTGTGCTGAAGATAGCAGCAAACATGTTACTGACCCTAAAAGAAGAGCTCCACCGTCTGTAAGTGTGTTTTCAGTCCGTCCGTTGTTCACAGTAACAACCTGCTCAGCTGAAAGTTCAATGTTATAAACAAACTATCTTCTTATTACCGGTAAAACTTCATTTCTCCACTTCCTGCTCAGATACCTGTGGCGCTCGCTCCAGTCCACTCGCGCCACAATTCGTAAAAAGGCTGCAAACTAAAGTTAAAGGTGTATGCCGCCACCTACTGTACCGGAGTATGTAAATATCATGACTGTATTGGAATTATATTCTGTTTATTAGACCTGTTTAACCTTGTATGACCTCGTCTTAACCTTGTTAGAATTACATCTTCTTTCCTACTTCTTACTCTAACTGATGTTTAACTGTATAATAATCCCTACCCCTTGATGTCATTATTCCATATATTTTTCTACTATTCCCTGTTGAATTATTGATTTTACCTCTGACCTTCCAAAACATATTTCTAAAATACCACTATCGTTTTTGTTTAATGAACTTTTAGCAAGTTTATAAGCAACCTCGTTTCCCTCTATTCCAACATGCACTGGTAAAATGAACATCAATACATAGCTGTTGTAGGTTTAATAAAATCCTGCATATTTCCATTATTAAATCATAACTGTTTGTTCTGACTGTATACTTTAAAGTACAGCTGCTGAATCTGAACATATTACTACTTTGATTTTGACCTCCTCTACCCACTGAAGACTGATGACTATTTATTTCTGCTGTGTATTATTAAAATGATTTTAACAATGCTCTTATTGAATTCTGGAATATATATTCCCACACCTACATGATCATTATTTTCATGTTTTGACCCATCTGTAAATATATTTAATTAGTTTTTAAATATTCTTGAGTCAATCTCCCAATATCAAAGTTCCTGGCTGACCAATCTCTTCTCTTTTCTAATATTTGTAGATTATCTTTTAGTTTTAGAAACAGCCATGGTGAAATGTTACTGATGATAACTGCTGGACTGTGTTAAATGGTGTCTAGTTTATACTGTTTAACTTTCTTGTTTATATCCCATCCAAACCCATCTACCTGAGAAAGTTGTATATTCCCAAGAGTTGTGTAGAACTGTTGATGCCATATTTCCGGTTTCTCTTCTGCTTCTGCGACTTCCGGCAGATGCCTGGGTTTCTCCCACAGGTTGCAGTCTGCACTGTTTCTGTTCACAAAGGTTTAATAGTGTCGCTGTTGTCTCAGTGTTTGACTAGTTCTCTGTTCTTCTCATAATATATTCCTTGTAAACACTGACATATAATTAAAAAGGACAAATTATATGCAAAAACTAAAACTTACCCGGTTAAATTAGAATTTATTATTTTATGATTGTTGGCTTAGCTATTCAGTAGTGACCTAATCAATGAATAGAAGCAAACCCAATATATGGTGAGATATGCATATGGATGCATATTTCTGTTGCAGGTCACAACATAGAATTGAATATCATCTGTCTTCAACTTTTACTTTTAAAATCAGCTTTTACTGTCTGTATTCTTCCCTGACAAACATTTTCAATGGGGCTGACATAGCCCTGTTAATCAAATCAGTCTTAAATTATGTCAAAACATTGGCTGTGAGGTTGTACACCCAAAGTGAAGCAATAAAAACTGATAGCAACACAACATTTAAACTGTTAGTGCAGCAATAAACAAATTCAGATCCCACTTTAGTGTAACACAGACATGCTAACATCTAGTTTGTGTCTGCATGTTATGTATGTGCATGCCACAAAAAGGAAAGAAAGAAAAAACCAAAACAGGAAACCACAGTAAGTTTGAGCACAGCTCTCGTACAAAAAAGAGCACAAGCTGCCAACCATTAGAAATTCTCATTGAATTTAACACAAAGTAAAGATGACAGTTGTTTCGGTTCCTGTGCAGCGGCTATATAAAGCGCTCTGAAAAATGTCTGGTTAAACAAGATGGAGAAGAGGTGCAGTGGTGCAGATTGTCTTACCGTGTGTGTGAGTGAATTCATTCATTCACCGTTAAACTGAACTACTTCCACTTGATATTGCACCTAACTGCTGTGAGAGCCATTTCTTTACAGAATCAAATCTGCCAAATGCAAAAAACCGAAATAAATAAATATATAAAAACAGAAGACAATAGAGGAATATGCTGCTGTTTCCTCTGTTTAAAGACCTACAAGACCAATATGCCATGTACATGTGTACCTTTATTAGCAATGTGATAGCCCTCAACAATGAACGAATACTAACAGTTCCCTCTAGTTCCTTATTAAGATAACTAAATAACCTTTCTCTAGTGGGCTTGGTGCTCAGCTATAGGGCTGCACAGACAGGACTTTTTGTGGCATTTTGACATGTCACAGCAGGAAAAGCCCAGGTGTGAATAATAAAAATTAATGATGGCTGAATTCCATTTAGCTGTTTCAGTTTCAGGGTCCTGGAGCTGTTCATGCTTCCTCACCGTCACAATCGGCAAATGTTAGCAACACCTGTGCTTTTCCTACTATGACAAGTATATATATGTATGTATATATTTGGCCACACCTGTTAATTCTTGAATTTAGGTGTTTCAATCAGACCCCTTGCCACAGGTGTATAAAGTCAAGCACCTAGCCATGCAGTCTCACACCTTTGTGATGCAAAATGGGTTGTTCTGAAGAGCAGCATGCAAGCCTTACATCAGCAAGTCAAATACCAAGCGTCGGATGGAGTGGTGTAAAGAGCATCGACACTGGACTGTGGAGCAGTGGAAACGTGTCCTGTGGAGTGACGGATCACGCTTCACTGTTTGGCAGTCAGATGGTCGATTCTGGGTTTGGCTGATGCCGGGAGAACGTTACCTGCCTTACTGCATTGTGCCAACTGTGAGGTTTGGTGGAGGAGGGATAATGGTATGGGGCTGTTTTTTTTTCAGGGTTTGGGCTAGGTCCCTTATCTCCAGTGAAGCTATGTCAATGCATCAGCATAACAAGACATTTTGGACAATGCTATGCTTCCAACTTTGTGGCAACAGTTTGCGGAAGGCCCTTTTCTGTTCCAACATGACTGTGCCGCAGCACACAAAGCAAGGTCTATAAAGACATGGTTTGATGAGTTCGGTGTGGAAGAGCTTGACTGGCCGGCACAGAGCCCTGACCTCCACCCCACTGAGCAACTTTGGGATGAACTTGAACAGAGATTGCGAGCCAGGCCTTCAAGTCCAACATTGTGCCTGACCTAATAAATGCACAAATTCCCACAGAAACACTCCAAAATCTTGTGGAAAGTCTTCCAAGAAGAGTGGAAGCTGTTTTGTCCATATAAATATATGCATGTATGACATGTACTGTAAGAGTCAGTGGACATTTTAAGAGCCAAACATATTTTGGTGTGTCTGAAACAGCAGAAATAGAAGCAGCCTCAGTCACAGAATGTCACAGAACCAGTTTGTTCTTTCCCTGTTTGAAGGCCAACTGCATATTTAAAGAATCACGGAAATGAGGACAAACTGTTTCACAGCTGATCTTTCTATCAGAGTTAGTGTAGGTGCAGACAGTGGTGCTAGCTTACATCTCACATAATGATAAAGATAAGAACAGGCTTCTTATTTTTAGAGTCAGTTTTCAGCTCAGGACGGTGGACACACACGAGCAACACTGACTGACAGTGGAGAAAAAACTTGGTGTGTATTCACATGTTGTTTTGTTTGGAGGTTGTTCGGGTTCCTGTTTGTAAGTTAACCATTTCCTGAGGTTTAATATTGATTTAAATAAGAACGTTGATTTGTTTTCTTTCACTACTTGCAGTATTTTTTCACGTGTTTTATTTGCTTTTAAATATCTGATTTGTCAAGTGTCTTATTTGTTTTTTTAAGAATATTGTATTGGATCAAAAGTATGTTTTATCCAAATTCTAATGCCTACTGGTTTAAATTACTATGCAGTTTTATGGTAAAATATTTTAATCAGTACTGATTAAATAACTTAAAGCCAGTGGTTGAATGTAACTAAGTACATTTACTCAAGTACTGTACTTAAATACAAATCTGAGATAGTTGTGCTTTACTTTAGTTTTCCAATTTTAATGCAACTTTCTACTCCAATATATCTCAGAGGCAAATATTGTACTTTTTACTCCACTTAAGATAAAAAAACAAACATTTTTAAAGCCTCTTGAATTAGCTGGAAAATGCCTGTCACAGGACAGCAATACTACAAAAATATGATGATCTTAACATGAAGCATTGCTGTAGATTCAATTACTCAACAGTGTATAAAGTAGTTGAGTGAGCTCAAACATCTACAGCAGTAAAATGCAACATATACAGATATACAGCAGTAATATTAATCCAAAAACATCCTATATAATAGTAAAACAGACGGGGACCAGTTTACTGCACAGTGAGTACTTGTTTTTAGTAAATTAGAGTAAATTTGGCTAATAATACAGTACAATTACATTCAGGTTTTGAGTGCAGGACTTTTACTTTGCTTTTTCAAATCCTTAATCCTTAATTCACAACATTAAATTACTAACTGCAAAAGTTTAAAAGGGGGCTTCAAACCACATAAATGATTGAATAGATCCTCTTTCCTCGCTGTTGTGAAAAACCAAACTGGCCTCCAGAACAATCTTTGTATTCATGTTGATCAGTGTTCTTCCTCCTGCAGGTCAACTGGCTATGGGTGGCTCCTCCTCTAAAACAACCTTTTTCTGGCAGAAGAAGAAGAAGAAGAAGCCAATGGAAAAAGCCTGGAGTAAGCTGAGGGGGGCGCTACCTAGTAAGAAACGCAGGAAGAAGAGCGTCCTGTCCCTGGATAAACTGAAGTTGGACAATCTGAAGAGGGAGAAGCCTTCCCAGAAGAGATTCTCACTGCCAACAGACAAGAAAGAGCCGATATCGCTGAAAAGACTCTCTCTTGGTAATATAAGGAAGGGGTCCATACAGACTGCTTCTCCAGGAAGGAAGGAGAAGGAGGGAGGAGGGCTGGGGAAAGTAGAGCAGATGAAAAGGAAACTCTCAAGACCCTGAGAGAGAATACAGAGAGGAATCAATTTAGGACTGAAAAATTGAGGAAAAAGTGTCTAAAAAAGAGATTCAATGAGAATTCATCCATCCAGGATCAAAACAAATGGACAATTTAGTGACAAAGAAACTTGAATGTGACAGAAAGACAAAAGAAAAGATGTCAGCAAGCAGGCTCGAGAGAGTCAGAGAGATACGTGTATTAAAAGTTTTTAATGACGTCACTGTCAGTTACTGAGGGCAGATTATCATGGTTGAAAATTACACACAGGAAACCAAAACCTTACAGTGAAAATGGCTCTTTCCTAGAAACATATCAGCCTTACTCATCAGCTGCAATATACTTACCCTAAACCTTCACAATCACTCATCTCACACAGCCCTGTTCACTCAGCAATGCTTAACAAAAAGGTTAAACATTAACATTTCTGGATATTATCCTAATAAACAAAAGCTTGATTTCCCTTTATGGTGGTTTTTTTTTTTTTTTTGTTGGAGCTGCCTCTGATGGCAAATCTGTGCACTAAATACTGTACATAATATCTACAATTTCAATGTGATCATAAATAAAATTTTATATCACAAACAATTTACAAATGAATATTGTGCATCACTCCAGCACAAAGACAGTTTACACGATGCACAGTGTTAGCAGCATACAGTGACAACAAAAAACAACCCAAAAAAATATAAAAAATAAAAGTTTGAGGCAGAAACAGCTTTTAGCACAAATCGGTCAGTTCCCTTTGATATTTACAAGAAAAAGTAAAATATAGAAATAAAATGTGCATCGTAACATGCACACCAGGAGATTGGTGTCTCTTCCACTCTATGAAGCATGAGGCAAAAATGATCTTACATATACTTTAAATATTGGGGTTAAATCTATAAATATCCTACATCTAGAATTTTGTAACAATCTAATCAGAATCTCAAACCCCAGAAGATGATTCTGATTTGTTGCCAAACAAATGGAGAGAGGTGCAGGAATGCTTTAAAGCAGGGTTATAAATTCTAACGAAGGCTTTATTAATGTTAATAAATCATCTTCATCATCAATAAGCCATTAATAAGAATAACTAATGAGTTGCCAGGTTGGGAAGAATCCATTTGGTTGGTGTTTCTTGTCTTTATTTGCTGTCTCTTTGGTTAGATCCTTAAATAGTTAATTAAAAAGCGAGCCAATAAAGGGTCATTAAGTTTATATCTTAATAGTAAACCGTCATGTTTTGTTACACACGCAGTAAATTCTTGATAAAGCGTTCTTTTGGTGCAATAATCCTCCAGGTCTTCAGAAACCAATAACACTCATGCCAGTTCTAATACTAAAATTATGATAAATAAGTTGTACAAAGTGGGTATAAGGGGGTACAAGTACTCAATGTAACTCAAAATCAAAGACATACTTATGAATACATTTCGGTTTGGATGCTCTGCAGCTCTGCAAGTGGCAAAATATGAGGGGTATTCCTACATGAATTTAAGAGCTTGTAAAAACACAGAGCAAGTTACATATTTTTCACAACCTGGAAACGCTCAGTTACAATTTATAACCCTTTATGAAGCCCAGTATGGAGTGATACTGGAGTCCTCCATGAGCTTCAGTGGACTTTGACTGCAACTCCTGTGAGTGAACCCTGGGAACACCAGATATCTAGTGAGTCCATATAAACTCAGTTGCCAGTTTATTAGGTACATCTGACTAAAACTAATGCGGTCTAACACAACAGCCCTGCAATAAATCCTTCTTCAAAGAAGGTTATAATGTTCAGTTTTTGTTTAAACTATTTTAGAGACGTGTTGATTTAACTGTAGGACCATTCTGGAAGACGTAGTCGTCGGTGTTGTACTGCTTTATACAGACGCAATTAAAAGCTAAATGTAAGCCAAATAACAGAAGCACCTCTCTGTATAATGCAATACAGTTCAACAAGACCACAAACTACATCCTCCAAAATGATCATAAAGTTGAATCAACATCTCTAAAACAAACAAAAACTGAACATAACGACCTTCATGAAGGGAGGATTTATTGCAGACTGTTGTATCAGGCTGCACATACACATTAATCCATCATGAGGATATTACTACAGCCATTTGTGGCAGAAATTCTGACTTCTGTAACTCAAGAGAGCACATATTTCTGCTTTGCGACGGTCCACACACTTTCAGTCATTTCTTCCATGCGCCGCCAGCTTGTTCCAGTTGTTCAGTGGCTGTCAGTGCTGCTTCTACCACCACTACCATCTGTTTAGGGAAAAACTGGCGGTTCATTTATGTCCTAACAGGAAATGAGCTCTCCAGTGTCCTGTCCCCCCCCCCCATGTTGTTTAAATGGGCCAGTAATGGAGGGTTTGCGTCCTCATGTTTAAGGTCGACAATAGAGCACAAATGAGCCACTCCATTTTAATTACAAGACACGTCCGCCATCATGTTGGCCAACTGATATTTTAATTAATCAATTCTTCTTTGCCCGATGACCAACTCAGCTTTAACAGACAGAAACAGAGCAGGCGCTGTCTGCAGTTTTTAAGCCCAACGCTACAGTCTGCTGGCTGGAGAAGGACGGATCTTACTGTTTGTATACACAGAACTGTAGATTTCAGAGTCAAGTGCGTGTCTGCATGTTTTGAGTGTGTTGAATGTTGTTTGAGTTAATTCCACTTTTCTGAAGAGTCAGGGATGTCTTCTGTGCCCCCACGGATGAGAGACGCCCCGTTGCTCCTCTCCATCAGCTCGGCAGTACGAGACTTATAGTTCTAAAGATAGAGGTGGAGAGACAGATAAGAATATGAGGTGAGAGTTGAAATGAGGTAAAGAATCGGGGGGGGGGGAGATTAGGTGCAGCAGAAAGTAACAGGAAGTGAAAAAGAAAGAAGAGAAAACGGGTTAGTCATGTCCAAACTAGCAAAAAGAGCTAACCAAGCAGAGAGAAAAAGAGACACGAAAAAAACCTGTTTATCCCTGAGAGAGTGTTTCCACATAGGCTGACAGGATTCCAAACGTAAAGTTCATTCATTGGTTATCACAAAGAAGCAATCATGCCGAAAAGCAGACAAAGCAGCCACGACAGACATGACCAAACAAATCACAGATGTAGGCAGATTTATGCATTTATTCATATTAGTTGTAACAACGTTTGTACAAAAATAGACCCTAAATATGGAAATGTTTCTGAACTGTGAAAACAATACAAACAATTAGCCTATAATAATATGAAAACGAGTATCAACAAGTTGATTCATCTGAAATCTGAAGACAAAGAATATAGTTTGAATATACTGTTATGCCTTTAATAGCTTCTTGTAATGGTATTCCCTTTATGAGTACTTATAGTCAATGATTATTATTATATCATTATTCACAAATGTCCAGCTTCCTCTTAATTGTGTGAGTCACTGCATATTTTACTATCACGGAGAGAGCAAATGCAAATTTGTCCCAACCATCCCTCTCCTGCCTCCTTTCTAAGTCCAATGTCATATATGTAAAACAACCTATCTGTGAATCAGTGTACACGCACACGACACACACATCCCTGCACTTCCTGCTAGCAGCAATAACAGGCTGCGTGTGTGTGTGTATGTGTGCGTGCGAGAGGGAATGACAGAGTGCACATCTCCAAACAGACGCACATGCCAGAGTAACAAGTCAGAGGAAATGTGGCGAGGAACATTAACCACTCCAACCACAAGTACACATCTGGACTGGTTTAACAGTGTACAGCACAAGCACATGATCTAACACACACACACACACATTAGCAGACAGCACGGAGAACATAGAAATGTTCTGCTCATTAACGATTGCATAACACAACAGGGTAATTCCAACAAAGAATTCTGTTTACAGTAAGAGGCAGTGCGGCCATTAAGGCCTCGTTTTATGAGATCTAAAGGGGGTATGATTAAGGTCACTGATGTTTTGCTCAAGTTTGCCTCATGGAAACTTTGACATCCTGGTTGGATTAATGTACATATGTACCGAATTACAACTGTGTCATAATTCTGAAAGCATGATGGGACATATTTTGTGCCCATGCAGAGATGATCTGCACGCAGATCAATTATTGAAGTGACTGATACAAATACTACAGATCTGATGGAAGACAAAACAGCCTGCTCGGAGACCAATTCTCTGACTGGCTGAAATTGTTGCACAACATAACACTGTCATGTTTAGCGAGTTTGCAGGCAAACATTAGGACATACAGAGCAAGGACACAATCGAGGGCAAATGAGCAGCATTGTGTGAAAGGTTACTGAGCACCTACATGGACGACGGGCAACATGCAAAACATTTATTGAGCATAAATTGCTCAAACTAAATGATCCTTTTGCAAATGTCCCATCCTGTTCCCAGAAGTGAGACACAAATATGATGCAATACATTTGAACATGCTCAACCAGTGACATAAAGAACTTTGGAGTGCCAGTAAGTTAAGTCCAGAAAACACAAAAAGAGTTTGGAGTTATCAGAATACGTATGTTCATTCTTTCAGTTTCTATGTTCAGCAGAGAGGAGTAAAAGGCACAGATGTTCTACTGTGTGTAATAGTCATTCAGCTTTAACATGAACAATATGTCTTGCAGCAAGTGGGACGAAAAATGGTGTTTCATTGGTAACAACAGAACCACAATAGATAAAGGTCACCGACCAGCCACAAGTCTCTTTCTTGCTGCTTTCTCAACCACTTCCCTCCTCTCTGCTGGCAGGCAAACTCCACGGACGGCATCATGTAATGTGTTATTAACCGACCCCTGTACACATTAAAGGCACCATAAAGGCTGAAGTAGCAGCAAACTCTTCCTATACACACGAGTCAAAAGGGCGCCATCGCTTTTATTCAAAGCTACATACATTCATCTTCGCTGAACACAGAAACTGAAAGAAAGTTCTGGCTGAGTGTGCAGATTTTTTGTTCTTCCTTAGTCAATGTGCATACAAATTATGCTGTTTCATATGGAAGTTGCAACATACAAGAGGGCGGCACTACGCCGTCGTCACTATTGTTGAAATGACGCTGCAATTGTTAGATTTATTTTGATTGGTTTAAAGAGTGACACAGGAACTGAAAAAAAAATGCACAGATAAAAACTGCTAAACCTCTGAGATAGTATCACAAGATGATCTGTCACTTGAAACCACAGTAAAACACCAATGCACTTCAAGGTTGTTATTTTCCTGTGAAAGCTGAGGGTTCACTGTGTTGAATGTGTTTTACTTTTCCCCACTAATTCATGTACAGTATGTCTCCAATTCATGTACAGTAGATCACATTTTGCAATAGAAATTCTATTGAGCATTTTTTAGGCAGAGCTCAACATGTTCATAAGCTAAGGCTGAAGCTCTGCAACATTAGCACTTACATATTCTCTTCCATCAGTCAACACAGTGATACTGCAGGACAATTGAGTTAATAGTTAGAGGTTTTATATTCAGTTTTAGTCTTGGAAATCATTTACACACACAGAGCGCCCAAAAAGCAGAAGCACATTTGTTTATATTTGGTCAAAGCAGCGACAGACAGAAGGGTTGACTGTAATGACAGTTTTGCTACATATGACTACAGTACACACACACAAGTCACTTTCAAACAATAAATCACCACATTTGCATCTAATGATGAATCTATTTTGACAAAGCTGCCATCAGTGGATGTCTTTGCAATAGAATATGGTAATAACTAACAAGTGCAATCCTTTTTGATATGCAAGGCTCATCATTTTTGTTTGTTTTTAACAATTTTCAGATTAAAAAAAAAAAAAGTACTGAGGGTGTTTAAACCTTTTCTAAACTGGATTTGTGTTCCCACACATTTACTGTTTCGGACCACTGTAACGTACAATAAATGAGCTTCTGAGTATGCACGCTCTTTACACATGCAATAACTGATTTTAGTGAAGTTTAAAAAGAAAAAGACGCAGAGTGGTTTGTTGAAATGTTCCTTTACATTTACATCTGGCTGCTGGATGTTTTTACACTAATTTTAAATCGTCAACCACGATTGGAGAGAAAAGTAAAAACAAAAAGAAAAAGCGGCACTCAAATGTAACCTTCAGTTGTCAAGTCGGCCTAGTTATCTGTTTGTCATTACATATCTGCGAGACTGCTTGAGTAATGGCTGCCATGGTCGTACTCTATGTGGTGTGTCTCAGTGTGGTTTCAAGGCTTTATCTCCTTAGAGCGAGTGGTTGTTTGGTTTGTGATTGCTGTCGTCGGCTCCGTTGCTCTCGGACAGTACCTCATGCTCCATGGTGTTAAAGCGGACTTCAGAGCCGCCCCTTTTGCTGCTGCCCCGCCGGCACAGGCAGCACAGGATCTCCTTGAAGGTCCTCCTCATGTCCTTGTCCCTGAAGGAGTAGATGATGGGATTGACGAAGGAGTTGCACTCTGCCAGCACCAGGAAGTACTTCTCGAAGACCAGCACCTTACAGGGTTCACAGCCCAGACCGTCGAGCAGCAGCACCACCAGGCCGGGCGTCCAGCAGATCACAAAACAACCTGGGGGAGGATTGAGGGGGCAGCGGTGGGGAGGGAGGGAGGGAGAGGAAGAGATCAAGGGTACATAAGGTCATAAAAAGGCTTGTAATAACATTGGAAATCAACAAGGAAAGTCATAGATAAAAAAAGGAGTTGCTAAGAGGAAAGAAAATGAACAGACAGTTTTAAAGAATGTGAAGAAGTAGAGGGTAGCTAAGGGAGAAAGGGAATGTACCGTAAATTCCTCTCTAGACAATGCACACACACACACACAGAGAGATACATAACATGTCAGCATGTGGACTGGGTTTAGTCTGTATGATCAGATTTCATTATCATAATACTCGATTAGGCAGCTCAGGAATTCATTATGTGCACACATTCGAAGCACATTCAGCACTAATATATGCACACGTACAAGCTACAGACGGAAATGAGAAAACGATGTGGACACACAGACACAGACACAGACACACACACACACACACACACTCACACTCACACTCACACTCACACTCACACTCCTCAGCCCCTGACCATAACCTTAACTGTCAGAACTACATGCTTAGCCTCAAATCTAAATAGCAATTTGAAGACATGGGAAACACCCAAAATGTCCCCGCTTTACAAAAATGTCCTCACTCTCAAGGTCAAAAACTCCAGTTGGTCTTCACAAGCTCAGAAGTGCACACCCGACACACTCTCAGTTGTGTCATATGGGCCGGAGAGAAGCTGTTTTCTGTCACAGTAACTAAACTATGCAGCTCCCTGTCAGGACATGCTCAGGGTTTTCCTCGCCCTCTTCACATGCCATAGGTGCTGAATCCTGGCTGCCGAGCGACGGGCAGAAAGATGAGTAACATTTTGAAAACGTTGAGGAATTTAATCGAAAGCTCAAAATGCAAGACCCGGAGAAGGGGAGGCTGGGAAAGAGGTTAGAGGGAGCGAGGGAGCATAGCCAGTTCAGCAAAAAGAAAAAAAACAAGGAGGACTCGGCGGGAAAAGGAGGGAAGGAGTGAATGTGTGCGGGGAGGTGTAAGGTCTGGTTTATCAAGTACAGACAAGCTAAGAGAGGCGCCTGCATGCCAACCTGCATGTGCACTAATGCGTTAAGAAGCTGCCTGTGTTTGTCATTTCCCTGAAGCGTATATACATATACATGCACACACACACACACACACACCCACACATTTATACACATCTGTGTATATCTATAAATGTTATTTATATATGTCTATATATATATATAAAAAACATTCGGCTTCTTACTAGAAGTGATGAGTCACTACTTCACATGAAATGTATTTATATATGTCTATAAATGTTATATATATATATATATATATATAACATTCGGCTTCCTACTAGAAGTGATGAGTCACTACTTCACATGAAATGTAAGGTTATTTCACAGCAGATATATATAATATTTCTGTGTTTTTTCTGTGCCTTTCTTTCTTGAAGTGGCTGGAGCGCCGCTGGAAATCAGTTTGGTTGATAGTGGTCTCAGCGTAAATATCTGATTAAACACACAGTTCTGAAGAAGCAGATTCTAACTTCAAGTTTCATTATTGCTGATCTAATCACAAACATTTACTAAATATACCATCACTTTTTTACAAAAGGAGCAGATCACTGAATTTTATGACCTTAAACAAAAAATTGTTGTGTTTCCTGCTGCAAGAAGACCAAGGACCATCATAGTTTACAGTAAACAAAGTTCTCTTGAGGTGAGGTGCCTTGCATACCGAAATGTCTTACTAACAGGTGAAAAATCTCGACTGAATAGATTTTACTTGATAAGCGGAGGACTAAAACACTGTTTTGGACAAGTGAGGACAAGTGTGTGGGATGCTTTGGTTTACTCATTAATAGAAAGCAATAAGATAAATGGGGAGGAAATGCAGCTAAATATGCACCAGATTCACATAAAGTTAGTAAAGACTTTATACTAAACACAAATAAATGAATAAGTTAAAATACATAAAAAAAATAAATGATGTTCACTGACTCAAATATCTTTGTGTACAGGACTGGGCAATATGGTCTGAAATTTAACAGAAAGATCTAAGTAAAATAGGCTGCTTCACATTCTTTAGCACCATCAAAAGTTATATTATACAGTATATCTACCCACCAACGATGACAATCAATTCAAATAACAGTTTCCAAGATCAAGAATGAACTCTAATGCTCAATAATACAAATAAAGATACTTTTCATCCCAATCTTCATGACATTTTTGCTTATGTATTGTATTGCGTTATTACACACTGCTTTTATTATTGCTGTTATTTCCCTGAAAGCTTTTACTTTGTTTTCCTTCAGTGTTATGTATGTATGTATGTATGTATGTATGTATGTATGTGTATGCCAATAAAAGTAATGTTTCTCTGAACAAGCTTTCCTTCCAAGTACAGTTTCACTAAGGCTGCTCAATTAATCGAAATTTTATCATGATTACGATTCTGGGGCCAAACGATCTCAAAACTAATAAAATCGGGGGGAAACGATTTTCTTTTCATTTTCTGTTGTGCAACGTTGAATAGAAAAAAGCTTTGTCTCAATTCAGGGATGCAGCCCCTCAATTAGGACACAGCCACGGTCTGCATATTTCGCGCATGCGTATTTCCGTCACGCCGGCAAACGTTTTACGTATGAAACAGAAGTGACACTTCGCTGCGACACAAACAAATATATTTACCGTTTTAATGTTTCCAGATGTTTGATATCAGGACGTTGAGCTGAGAACTGACAAGTTGAACGTTGTCCAATTAAAACGGACCCACCGCGGTGACGTGTTTGGTGGAGCTGTTAGTTTAATAGTTGATTTGGAAGAAAGCAAATTGTTTTTCTATGGCTTATCTTTTGTGTTATTTAATTTAATTTAACTTTTTATAGAGATTGCAAGAGTGCACTATGACTGTCAATGTAAAAAGGAGACTTACAAATGTTTATGGGGAAAGGAAAGTGTAACTGAGGACTTTCTTGCAAAGTGTTTTTGACAAATGTCCAATAAATGCAGCGTGTTTCTGAAGTTTAAAAAAATAATCGTTTGAATAATCGTGATTTCAATTTGACCCAAATAATCGTGATTATGATTTTTTCCATAATTGAGCAGCCCTAAGTTTCACCAACATTTGTGTCACTTCCTCTTAGTTATGCTGGGAATTTATGGTTAAAGACAGCTTGAAACTGCAAGGTGGAGCAACGGTGACTACATTTCTCTCTTATGAATTAATCCTCATAAAGGACACAAGCACACGCTAAGCTGTTTGTACTTGTATTAGATTATGGTCAGAATATAAAGAAATTACTTTACCAAACATACCGACATGACTTCAGTTAGGTCGGTGAGAAATTCATAATGTAGGTTTCAGTAAGTTTTTGGTTTATTGCGCAGAACTTAACCTGTATAAACAGCATGTGTGTGTTTCCTCACCCAGGATCATGGAGACGGTCTTCATCAGGGCAAACACTGTCTCTCTGTGTCTCATCTGGGAGGTGTGCTGCGACATCTGCTTGCTCTTGTGCCGCACATAGAGAAAGATCCGGGTGTAGACAGCCAGCATGATGGAGAAGGTTAGCAGGTTGAGAAGAGCCCAGAACACCAGGTAGCTGCGGCTGTACATCGGTGCCATGGTGGAGCAGTTGGGCAGGTCGCACAGGCAGTGCCAGCCCATGGTGGGAACCAGGCCCATGATTATAGCCAACAGCCAGATGAACACAATGATAACAAAAACACGCCGGGTGCTCATTTTACTGTGCAGCTGCATGTTGAAGATGGTTTGGTGGCGCTCCACTGCCACAGCCAGGAGGTTGAGGACTGAAGCGGTCAGGCTGGTGTCAATCAGCCCCTGACGCACAAACCACTGGTACTTAGAGAGCTTAATGGTCCAGGGACCAGTATGAAACATCAAGTGGAGGTAGGCGACACCTAGGAAGAAGAGAGTCAGGGTTTAATTACAGAGAAATGTTTTTAAAAAGAGCTATGTTATGTTGTCTTCAAGGAGTTGTTTGTGTTTTAGGATTATTTTCCTTCCTATCAAGACTGGGACAAACTCTTTAATGTCTGTTTAATGTCTTTGCATGCAATATGAGGGTATGATGAACAAAGCTCCCAGATATTTGGCATCAGTTCAACAGAGTTCCCACTCATTTTAAGAAGTCATTTTTCTTGACATTACAGGTCAGCACTTGCTCACAAACAGGCCGAGTATTGACACATTAAACCCCACTGTTATTCCTCCTTTTTTTAAATGGTGCAAGGTTCTTGATCAAGTATCTCAGGTTCATTATAGTTAGGTTCACTTTTGCGGCACACTTTTTCTACGCTTCCAGTAAATAGACAGTTGTAACATTAGTTTGGCCACAGCCCACAACAGTTCAATTTACATAGAATTAATTATATTTCACAGAAAATTCAAATAGACTCGATGTCATAAAGCTGCTGCAAGTTGGTTCCACTTCTGGTAAACCAACGTTGAGCTGTCAAGCCACGCAGATTAACATACCAACAGTTGAGTTTCAGACATATACATATGTAGGCGATCTGAGGTGTAGATTTGAGTAATGGGCTAAAATACAATTAAAGTTTTCCGGGTCAACATAAATTATTTTCCAGATTTCTAGATTTCCTGACATTTTCAACAACTAATAAATTAATCAGCAAAATGACTCACAGATCAATCATCAATAATGAATATAATCATTAGTTACAGCCCTACATATATACTTATGAAAATACTTTAAAATAACTGTTAACACTGAGACCACTAGTCTGAAGTAAGGAAGCTTCAGAATTATAAGTGCATTTCCATAATTAATAAAGAAGAAGGTCATGACCTGTTAAGGGCCTATAATGCAAGTCAAAACACCCAGAGCCATTGTTTTTTATGTAGGAATGCACATTGGCGCCGTCTTCACGTGTCACTGCAGATTTACCAGCATCACTGACCCAGTGGGATACGCCACCACTGTGCTACTTCCCAGCATCTACACTCATCAACTCTCCATAAAAGCAACACTTCTATCACATTTGCTCCCCAGATGCGACGCTACATGACACAGTGCGAGTGTGTTGCACTTTACACAACAAATATCTAAGACAGGATAGGGAGAGACACAAAAACATCCATGTTTGCATTATTGTGGTTAAATGGCAAAAAACAAAAACAAATAAAACAATCTATTTAACAGTATTAACGATAGAAGTGAAGATGGACACATTTGTTATTAGTATAACATGTAGTGCACATGAAGTAAATCAATTGTACCTGAGAAGAGGTCTGCCAAAGCCAGGTTACCCAACAGGTAGTAGATGGGATAGTGAAAGCGTCTGTTTTTTAAAATGGCACCTATGACCAACAGGTTGGAAAAGATGACGATGAAGCAGACCGTCATGCCCAGAGTGACAATCACATAGTCACGCCTGCGCCAGTGATCGCTGATGTTCTTGCCACTCTCCTCGTAGAAAAATTTGACAGTGCGGTTTAAGTAGCATCCCTCTGTGTCGTCAATCGCCGTATCCATGGTGAGATATCTGGTTGATTTGTGGGATCAGACAAGAGTTGAAGAGGACGGAGAGGAGAGCGGAGACGCAGAAAGTAAGCAAAGGAGTTGGTCTAGGGCGTCATTCAGACTCCCTGGTGGGCTGGAGATCCGCATGCCATCATCTGGATAGGTGAGGACTGGAGGGATCCAGTTTGAAGTCTGAGGCCTTCACTGTATGGCGGTTTGGGATCCACTGGTCTTCAATCTGTGGAAAAATGAAATATTAATTTAAAACAACAAACTCTATGCATGACTTCATGAATTCAACAACGTGAACAACAAATCAAATTTACTGAACTACCAACCTAAATGTGTACTAAATGTGGGCTGTGCTGTTTCATATTTTGCTCTGTGGTTCATTTTGTTGTCACAGTCTTCCGGAGTTCACGTGAGAAAAATATGAGGTCTGGGTGGTTGTTGATGAGGCAGGGGTGCAGTGCAAAGCAAGTGTTAACACCAGCATTTACACACAAACCACTTTAATCAATCTTGCTTTCTTTCTCTTTCTTTTTTTCTGTGTCTCTCCAGCAGTTTGTTCCAAATAGTCGGCAAAAAAAACAGAACACGCGAACAAAAGCAGGTGAGAAGAATAATCAAGTAGTTCTGTTTGTCAAGTATATAAATTCAAAATGTAATAAGATTTCTATGTGGTCATTTTATATCAACTATTTGTTCATTGAATTGACAGAACATGAGCTATATAGTGATATATATTGTTATTAGGATATGATATTTTGGTCATATTATACAGCCCTGTGTATGCGTGTTGCAATTTTTTATTCATATATCAATCTTATGTATTTAAATGGATAATAGCAACAACACTCAACAATGGGCCAAAAACGAGCCAATCAGCCCACAGGTTTTAAGCCCAGAGGTCTAGAAGAGAAGTTAATTAACATAGACTACATAAACCATATGGCTTGGCTTTGTGGTTGAAATCATCATTACGATATTATTCAGGATTAGAGCTATCTCCTTTTATTTAAAATTCAAACATGTGAAATCACTTTCACTTACATAGCCCAATCTCACATATTTGCCTCAAAGTGCTTTACAGCATGCGACAGCCGCAGTCTTTAGACCATGCTACTGTTCGCACAACAGAAAATAAATCTGCACTTCTTTTGGTAGTCCTCATTTGTCAGCAAAGAATGGCACAAATTCTCTGGTTCCAGCTCCTCCAATGTAACATCTAGCAGATTTCCATTGTCTTACATTGCAGGACACTGAATATCTTTGGGTTTTAGACTCAGAGAAAACATTTAATTACATCATGTTGGGCTTTAGAAATTGTGACTTCTTTCGCAAACGTATTGGGACTGATCGACATATATGGTAAATGGACCTGTACTTGTATAGCGCTTTCTAGTCTTCCGACCACTCAGAGCGCTTTTACACTACGTGCCACATTCACCCTTTCACACACTATCACACAGTGATGGCAAAGTCCATCGAACAGAAACTAACATTCATACACATTCACACAACATGAACGGCATCGGGAGCAATTTGGGAGCAATTTGGGGTTCAGTATCTTGCTCAAGGATACTTCGACATATGGCATCAGGAGCCGGGGAACGACCCCACAACCTTCCGATTAAGGAACGACCCGCTCTGCCTCTGAACCACAGCTGCCAATATGTTATCCGATATGTGCCAATATGGTATATAACAATATACTCATATTAAACAATGCTTGTAATCATATATTGGTGTCACTGCAAAGTTTATCCACTGCTATCTTTTAACACTGTCGCCAGCCGCACAGAGTAAGTGACAAAAAGCAGCTCTCAGCAATGTCAACTAGAACTGGTTGACATGTTAAATTATTTAACATGTTAAAGAATATTTAACTTAAATATTCTTTAATAAAGTTATTTGTTCAAGAAAGCAGCCTTCTCAGTACCTTTGCACAGTTTTATCAGTAAACAATCAACACAGAAATGGTACATTTTTATTCCAGCAGAAATTGAAATAAAATGTGAAAACATACAATGAAGCAGATTTTAGGTTAAATCATTGAGTCCTTGAATGTGCTATGGTGACTTGTGTTTGTAAAGACTGTTTTTTGTTTTTTTTTAAGGTTCATGGTCAGTAAGAGTAAGTCAGTGCTGAAAAAATGATGCATCATCTGTTCCAAGATTAAACTGTGTGAACTTTTGTAACCCCACAACAGTGTATTATGTATCTCTAGGGGTAAACACACACAAAGAACAATGTGAAACCAGCTAGACTCAAACAAATAATATAGCCTGCCACAGATGACTTTTACTGATTTGATTGTTGTCATAACCCACCATTATATAGTTTTAATCCAAAAAGCAAAAATGGATCTTCCTCACAAAGCTGACAGAAAGTCTCAATTAGCAGCAGCAATCAACATTATTCTATTACAACTGAGCTCAAAGAGCAGCTATCTTTACAGGCTGACAAGTTATGACAGGAACACTGGAGGCTTTATGACTGTGATGCTATAATTAAAACCAACCACAGCTCAGGCTCAGCATTCACTTTAAAGACATGCAGTCAAAGTGCAGCCAACAACAATGCGCTTTAATCCTCTATTTACCGTAAACCTGTATGTAGCGTTTTGAGTCAACAACACTCCCTCACACGTTCTCCATTTTCCTGTGAAACCCAGCGCAGGACGACGACGACACGCACTGTACCGCCGGCTCCAAGTTCAACTCTCTCAACAATGGAAACAGCAGAGCAGCTCCCTACAGCAGAGACACACCTCACAATTACACAATCCAGCTATGTAACTCAATCTCAATCCAAACATGCACAACACGCACACACACACAGAAAGGGAGCCTCAGTGACCTACTATCCTACCAAGGGTGTGTGGACAGAGAGACACAGATGCCAAATGAAAAACAGAAAAATGTGGAGAGAGTGAGAACTTAAGAGGCTTCAGAATGAAACGATGGATGAGACGTAAGGAAAAGGGTTCGATTCAGGCAAGCAACCTAAAACAGTTGAAGGACTTTTAAAAAAGTGTAGCAAGAGCATGTGAAAGGAACTTAAAGTAAAGCAAGAATAACTCTTGAGAGTACAGGAACATAGAAATAGAAAGGGGTTGTGGTGTGTGTGCAAAGGTTTGGGCAAACAATTCTCATAAGTTCTCATTTGCGTGGTGTCCAGAAAGGAAATGAGAGACACTTTGGAACTGAAAGTGTCTCTCTTGTAGCCTTTGTACTTGTTAGAGACATAAACACTACAAGAACTACAGTACACACACACACACACACACACACACACACACAGGTGCTCGGTTTCCGATCTACGTCACGACAAACCATATGAACTTTTTTAGTTAAGCTTTTCAATTGTCTTCGCTACTATCACAATCTTGTGTTTAAATACCAGATAACAACTCAACGATTTACGCTGACTAAAAACTTGAGAGCATGCTCGGCTTGGCACTTTTTCATGCTGCAAATCTTAAAAAATATGTAAGATAATCGCATGGGAAACACACAGGAAGCTTAATCTACCTCATTTTAGAGCTGCAACGATTCATAGATTAGCTTCCAACTTAATTGGCAACTAAAAACGTCATATTTTGCCCTACCGTTATTTTGTTGCGTCACAAGTCACACTCTTCCAGCGTTCATGAGAAAAATATGAGCTCTGCAGGGGTTGATGACGAAGGAATACAATGGAAAGTAAGCGTCTATTCACAAACCATTTTAATCTGCTCACCTTCCTTTCTCTCGCCCCCACACACACACACACACACACACACACACACACACACACACACACACACACACACACACACACACACACTCGCACACAACACACACACCAGCAACTCGCTCCACTTCGCCTCTGTTTCTCTCTCTGTCTGTTTTTTTGTTCTAAATAAAAGGAGAAAATGTATCAAATCTGAATAAGTACCTCTTATTTGTTGAGTATATAATTCAAAGCGTAATAAGATTTACATAAGCCCATTTTATATAAACTATTCATTGAATTTACAGACAATGTGACAATTGTGATATATATATATATATATAATTATCAGGATGTTAAATTTTGGTCATATCGCCCTAAAGGGCCCCAACTGAATTTTTTCCACAGCATTTAATCACACAGGTTGTGATTTCATTAAAGGTTCTTATCTTTAGGCAAAACTTCCAAACTTCTAAAACTTAAAAAAGCAACTCTGGCCTCTTTCGATAAATGACGTGTAGGAACGTGTTTGTCAGTTCATCAATAATCAAAAGCCCCCCACATATTTCCCCCCATTATATCATATGTGTGTGTCCCGCCCGCAGTCTAGTGTTGACTGTACACTAAAACACCGGTTTTGAGCGTTTGGTGTCTTCTTTAACCTTTATTTAGACAAGTAATCTCATCGGGACACTGGTTCTCATTCTCAAGAGAAATCAAAGCAGTCAAGTCAATTTTAATCTGTGTAACTTCTGTACCAAAGGTCACAAAACAACAAAGCTCTTGCTCATAAAAAGTGCAACAAAAACGGTACAACTCCCCTCCTTTAGAACATAAAAAGATCAGGACTGAAGCCATTCTTCGAGTTTGATGTTGCTCAAGAAAAAGTGGACAGAAGCAAAGTTTTCAAAGGCTGAAAATACCTGTAATCTATTTTCAATATTTGATTAAGTTCAATAAGGAACATGTCCTACATGGGTGTGTATAGATCATGACACAGAAACAGGTTACGCAGCTGCAGGTTTGTGACACTCACAGGATGTGTATCCACCAGAACCTTAGCAGTGTACAATCCGGTCCTCGTTGTACCTGTTTCACACCCGTTTCCTACAGCTGGCGGCTGTTTTCGGCAAAGCTCCAAAACCAACTGTACACTACCTGCCGAGCAGCAAACAGCAGACGGGTAATGCACATAGTGGAGCATTAAGCAGCTGGTGAAGAGCTACTATTGTAAAATACATTAAATACTGTAATAATAAGGTTTCCATACATGACTCCATGTATGAACAGTTGAACAGTTTGGGAAATACACTTATTCACTTCCTTGCCAAGAGTTAGCTGACAAGTTTCATACCATCAACATGAAACCACAGACAGCAGCCAGTTGGCTTAGCTCAGCGTAAAAAGACGGGAAACAGGGGTAAAGAGCTAGCCCGTCTCCGGAACCACACCGTTTCAGAGAAAATGTTAAGACACAGTTTCGCTTAACCAAATGAGATTTTACCATAGAACATATCGGCCATACTTACCACAGCCAGGCTAGCTGGTTCCCCCTGTTTCCGGTTCTTGTGCTAAAAGCTACGCTTTCGGGCTGCTGGCTGTAGCCTTAAATTTAGCGTACACACATGAGAGTGGTTTAACAATTAATGTCTAATCATAGCTTATTGTTTCCAGCATAGCACATTTAAACATTGGGTACATCCCTAAACATGCCATCATTGTGTTTGAGCTGCGAGTATTTCCTTCCCTACCAAGTTCACTGTGGCGCTTTCACTCTGTGTGGCTCTAAGAGACAGAGTTTGCATGTGTGTGTTTTCATGCATCATATGTCTTGTGTTTGTGTGTGAATGGACTGGGCTGAATCAGTAAACACCAGTTTGAATGCAAACCGGTCATTACCAGAGCAGCCACACCCGAGTCTCTTCTCCCTCCTCTCCACTAACTCTCTGAAAGTAGAGCCTTAGCACATCAACCTCAGCCAGCACTTCTTTGCAACAGGAAAGATTTATAGCACACGCACACATATATCTGTGGCTAAAACCAATACTGCAGCGGAAGTGGTGGTGGTGGTGATGATGACAGGGGTGGTGACTGTAAGTCCAGGTAAAAACAGAAATTCTCCGGAATACTCTCTCTGGTTGTTTTTGCTTTAATTAACCGCCTCTTCTACAGCGCCTCCATCCCGCTGTGCAGTATGGACCTGCAGCCGGAGGGACTGACCGGGTGCCGTCTGCACAATGATTACCATTAGCCGCTTAATCACACAGACGTATGCACAGACACTTCATCCTGTGGCCGCACAAGAATACCAATGTGGTCGATCGGCGTTATTGTGCCAAACGCTGCTGAGCAAACTACATAAATACACTATATATGCATCTGAACTACTGGAGCCATTTTTAATGAATTGCCTCATATCAAATGCTGAGGCTGCTGTATGCACTTTAGGGTTGTGTATTTAAATCTCAATATCTTACTACGGTAGTCTCTGAGTAAACTGTGTTGCAGTGGTTATATTAGTCAGAATGAGGCATTTATTACTTGTGGTTTACCTGATGTGTTATAAAATGAGAAAGTGAAAAGTTCAACAAATTCAAACAAGTTCATAATGTGTTTCCCCTCACTGACTCACAGGCAGTTTTTCGTAAGATCTCTTCATGTTATTACCCTTACAACTGTGTTCAACATGAGAGACTGCAGTGACTCAACTGTCCCACATCCTCCACATGCAAATGATCCGATAATAAGTTCACCTGTTGAGTCATTTATCGAGAAACAACTCTCAAACATGAACATTGACTGCTTTACTTCCTTTTATATAATTCTAAGTTGAATATATTTGGCTTTTGAACCATTGGTGTTGCTGACAAATAAATCAGAATTGAATCCCCCCCAAAATACACTCAGCCTCATTGACAATGAAAATAACTATTAGTTGCAGCCCTTAATAGAGGTTTCCCCTTGTGGAGGCAGAAGAGAGTTTATTGCAGTCTAACACAAAACCACCTAAATTTACAGCCTCAAAAAAACTGCCATAAAGTTGAGTCAACACTGTGTGAGTGTCAACAGAGACTGCACAGCGCTCACACTGACAGGATTTACTGCAGGGCTGTTGTGCTGGACTGCATCAGACTGTACAGGTAACTAACTAACTGGTAATACCTGCACTGTAAAATGTCAATCATAAAAAGCTTATCACGTCCTATGTCTATCTGGCTGGAAACCAGGACGCACAGGTGAAGCATTTTGGTTTGCCACCTTGGATATCTGTGCTGTGGTTACACCCAGACACGGCTCAAAGGGGAGGCTGGATGTGAACAGGACCGCTTGGTTGGAGGGATTTTCTGAGAAAGGCCACGGTGAAACTGACAGCGTTGTTGAGGATGTTCAGGCTGTAATGAACTCCAGACTCCGTCCAAACACCGCTCTGACACAGCGCAGATGCCTCGGCGCGCCGATGGGAGCCCCGACCTCTCCCCCGGCGGAGGAACAATAGAAGAGCACACACACACACACACACACAAACACAACTCTGCCTTTCTTCTCCAACGCGTTCACTCTCACAGCAGAGGCTTTTCATACAGAAAGACAACTAATACATACAAGGGGGAAGAAATCATGCGAACTCACCTTTCCTTGCGTCTGTGTATAGGAACTCGTTCATCAAGTAAATCCAGATCCTGAGTCCCCGTCGAGTTGAGAAACAATGCGCAGCCGTACCTGAGGTCACCCTCTGAGCACAAGGTGAACAATTTACAATGAAAAAAGCGAATTATTGTTTTTCTCCGTTTCTATCGAGGCTCCATTCCAGGGGTTTTTTGGGGTTTTTTCGGGGGTTTTTTGCTTCCTTTTTTCGTCCCAGAAGCTCAGACTTGGCGAACAGAATCCGTCACCTGTGTTGGAACTTTTTCCTTTGCTTCCGGTAGTTTAGGCGGGTGTTACCTGTGCGCAGTGATCCGCGCTGTGCGTCCCTGGAGGAGCAGAATGGGTGCGGCACGATACTACGCTCCTGCTGCTGCTTCTCTCTCTCTCTCTCTCTCTCTCTCTCTCTCTCTCTCTCCGACAAAGGAGCTGGTTAGGGCTCTTTGGTATTCTGCTCCTGCCAACCTGGGACTCTTGGTATCCGCCCCAGCTGCCCCCTGTTGGCTGACAGGGAGGCACAGCAGCCAATAATGGTGGAGCTGAAGAGTGATGGGCAGTGCGAGCTGGGGTCGGTTTATATGATTGTGAGAGCGGTGGGAGGTGAATAATTGATGCCCAAGGTTAGCCGGAGGTCTTGTTTCTCTATATAACCTGGCAGAACTGGAACTTTGTCTCAGAACAAATCTGTTTTCAGTAAACATATTTATACAAGAGCTATGAAGAAGATGCATTATTGTGCATGGGTAGAAAGTAACTAATACCATTAATCAAGTACTGTAATTAAGGGACTTGTACTTGAGTGCTTCCATTTTCTGTTACTTTATAAGTCACCCCCTACATTTAATTTAGATTACACAATATAATCAGCATTCTAAAGATAATAAAACTATCGATCCCCGGGGGGGACTTCACAAGCGACCCACCTTCACCAGCTTCAAGTGCTAAACACATGAATGCATCAGTAATAATAATTCAGTGATATCACACATTATTCTGCAAAGGAGTACTTTTACCTCAGGTCCTTTAAGTATATTTTGATGCGAATCAGAATCAGATTTATTGCCAAATAGGTTTTTACACATACAAGGAATTTGTCTTGGTGCAATGGTGCTTAAAATATACAATCACACAAAAATATATAAATCACACAAAAATATACAAATAACACAAAAATCACACAAGAATAAAGTACTTTTTAAAAATATAAATAAATAAAGATAAGAATAATATAACCAAGTAATACAAAGAAGCAAAGGAAATAAAGACAATAAATAACTAAACAAATTACAATGGACTAAAAACAGATAAACTCCTCTGTCAACTGATTAGTAGGATGTTACTGACTCCTTCTTTGTCATCTCTTGGTAATTGAAAGAACTGAAAGAAACAATGCCACAGCAGGAAAACCCTGCCAAACGTAAACAGTAGGAAGTTTAAGGGAAGGAAGGAGAGAATGAGAGAAACAAAGAATTAATGAATGACAAAAACAAAAGGCCACAAGACAAACAAAGAGAGGTGATTTTATGAGCTTGTGAAAGGTACATGTGTGATCCCTGGTTTGACTCCGGTTGTGGACATTTGTTTCTCTGTCTACCTCATGTTTCCTGTCACCTTTCAGCTGTCCACTGTAAAGGGGAAATGCCTAAAATATTTTAATCTGCTGCTGCTGCTTTAACAGTAATAGGTAAATAGAGAGTCTCAGAGTTGTAGACTCAAAACAACCATACAGTAAGTTCTTTACACCACTGTCCATTACTGGGGGTTTTTGAAATCTCAGAGCAGCTGCAGCTTTCCTTTTGTCATGAAGCTTAACTAATCCATTTCATGGTTTGCTGCATTGTATGGATAAAGAAGTTGTGTGCATGTTGATACATTAATAGGGTCAGGATTACAACCACATAAGAGACATCGTTGCCTTACTCTTCAGGTAATAATAATTCAACTGCGTGATTTAAGGTGATTTAACCTTTTCACTCCCAGACCTTTTTTCATTCATCAGACCTACTGACATTGTCTTCATCACAATCAGATCTGCCTCTAATAGCCTACAGTACAATCATGACAATGACAGCCACAGAAACAACACCACCAACCTCCAGCAACAATAGGCTTGCTCATCTTTTATTCAGAAGATGAGGGCACGCGGGCCGCTGGCAGCCCAGTTCACAACCCCAGTGAGTGGGCATAATCCAGAGAGGCTGTTTTTACATCAGACAAATTGAAGCTGTATCAGGCCATCTTGCCTTTCTTCCACAGTTTGGTACAGGACTACATGGGACAAACTCGTAGCTTATGATGGGCTGTTTACACGTGATATTGCTGCAATAAGGTTTTTATTTATATTACATCAGAGGCCAATCAGAAATGCAAACTACAGCCTCATAATGAAAATGAGCAGAGAAAAAGGGAAGGGAAAAGATAAGGAGGAAATAACAGCACGTCTGTGGGCAGACTGAGATGGTGCAAGAATTAGGAGACAGGGCGAGGAAAGAGTGAACTCTTTCCTGTTTACATAAATGGCAAAGTGTGTGGAGGTTAGCTTGTGAGAAATGTGTCAAGCGTGTTTGTTCAACATGTACAATCTGCTTTCCTTATTAGGCGGGTTGCGTGTCTCAGTGTCCAGCCGATGTGTGTGTTCCAGCGGTCATAGTTTCCAGTTTGATGTATTGAGCCTTTCCATTCCCTTATTTCCTCTCAGCGTCACAGACAGCTGCCCGGAGGCTGCGTGCGCTATCGCCATGGCGACAAGGATGCTGATTGCCCTCCATGCCTTCCGCACCTGTTTGTGTATGACAAAATAAATCTTTCATGTTAGGTCATAATACCTACCAGGCCAGGGTTACCAGCAGGCCAGAGTAATATACTAATACATTTAAGATTTGAAATGTGCTCATATTGGATCATGAATTATATCTGATGGCAGTTTTCTTTGTATTAGTGAACATTAAACAGCGGCAAGAGAGCACATGGAACAGGCAACATGGAAAAATTGATGGTGACAAAACCTTGATTGATTTTCTAGGATCAGTGATTAACTTTATGGCTTTGGACTGATAGTATTAAGGCATGGTCAAAACAGCATTTAAAAGTGGGAAAGGTTGCAAAAAAATGAATGAATTTCACTGGAAGTACCACGATCAGCAGTTGTAGCTGTGGTCATACACTATTTCATAAAGTTCCTGTTTGACATGAGGAACAATGACTATTCTATTTCACTGTCAGACCCAAAACTACGACAAAAAGGCAAGAGTTGGGCAAAGTTCCATTGAATTTATTTTAATTATCTGTTGCAGAACAGTGCAACAGTTGGGTCTATGCTGAGAGCTTCTCCAACCACAGTAAACACATGATATGACAGTAATAATGTTTTACAATAATACATCATATAAGTTGACACAGCATATGGGAGATTTTTCCAAATGCTTACCTACTAGTTTTAGTAGGTAGTCAGTTATTTCAACTATTTATCTGTTACTTTTGGCTAGATATTTTTAACTGCTCTCATCCTATGATCATAACCAGAGGCTGAGGGGCAGGGGCAAGAAAATGACGAGGGCACTAGTGTAAAGATGTCAGCACCCTAGATAGAGGGCACTTGTCACCTGTCTGTCCAGCTGATATAGCTATCACACTCATTTTTAATAACAATGTGGGAATCACTGCCCCTGCTCAGCATTATGTGACCAGGGGCTCATAGGGCAGTAATGAAACCGCAATCCAAAAACAGTCAAAGGGTTATTTTAAAAAAAAGTTGCTTAAAAAGTCGAAGCAGACTGAAGGAAGCTCTATTTTAGAACAGGAAGCAGAAAACGGAGGAAAAGGAAATGTGTGGATCCCAAGACAACAACGGAGGAAAAGCAGAGGTGCTTCAGAGTGATTTATCGAGGAGGGCGTGAACACTTTCAATCAGTGTGTGGTGTAACAGCAAAGACGGAGAGTGAAGGCCTAGTCAACAACTGAATGACAGCCAGATCACCTCACCCATGTGCACTATAAAACAAAGAGTCAGAGCACGAGAGCGAGTTAATGGTAAGCAGCAGCATGTGTCAGCAAGTATGCAAAAACTGGGTGTTTGTCAGAGTTATGTGGGGTCTTGGGCAATGTCTGTAGTGTGACTGTATGTGTTTGCGTGTGCATAAATCACATATGGAGTTGCTTATTGTCATCTGGCATCGATTTTGGGAGTGCCTTGATGTCCTAACGATTGCCCTTGTCAGGGATTTCCACCCCTCGCTGCTCTTGATGCCATTAACGGGAAGACTGTGGCGGTTCTTACTCAATCTGAGCCCCGAAGAGGAAGCCATACATGGCCATACATGTGCAGTACAAGCTGTTGGCATGTGGTACTGCACAATGTCAAATCCCCTCCACCCCCCTCCTCACAAATGCACACATTTTTCTCTCTCAAAAGATGACACCAGACATGTAACTTTGAGTGGACGCAGCCCTCTGTGTGGTCAGGCCTGTTAGAAGAGACAATGTGGAGTTTTTAGGTTTGGTTTGCTACAGCAGAGACAAAAGGCCTCAATATGAACATTAAATGTATGAATGTGTGTAGAGATACACTGTCTGCTAAAACGTTCGCCATATCAACTTTATAAGATGATAATACGCTCAGTTCAGGTACAGCTAAGTCAGATACAGTGGTGCATGGTTGTGTTGAAACTGTCTGAGGAGAGTTGTTGATTTAACTGTATGATTATCTTGGAGGATGTGGTTTGTGTTCCTTGTAGGCACGGCACTGCTATTTAACTTATAATAAGTTAGACAAATTCATAGAAACACCTACCAGTGTTCCTGTTATACTTATTATTCACATAGTTGTTGCTACTGAGCTGCTTCCTGGTTATCTTGGAAAGAGCATTAAAAAGAGCATTCACTGTTTCTTCTCTATGTTTTGCATAGAGAATGTTATCTTGTAAAGCAGTGGCTTTGTGTCGGAGTCCTCCCAAGAAGGGTCACAAAATATATCTGAGGGGTTACAAAATAAGTGCGGGGAAGCAGACAAAAACACATTTCTCCCTCACAAAATGATGTTTATTTTCTCAATAATTTGACCTCTTCAGGTGTGTAAAACTATTAAATCAAACAGTAGACATTACTTTGTTTTAAAGCGTCACAAGCGAAAAACTATTTTCCTTGTGTTTCCCTTTTTAATGTAGAGGAGAAACAAGGTATTGCATATCACAAAACAGAACTAAATGAAATATAAAACTGTGCTTAAATGCTTAAATAGGTAAATGCACCTGTCTCCTATAATGGTAGATATGAAACAAACTGAACCTGAACAGAGGAGGTCAAGAATGCTGAGAGCTGTGCTTCTCTGCCGCCATGAGAGGATCACATGACTGCTCCACGGACACTCAAAGCTTACTCATTGAGGCAGCTCTCCAGTATCTGTTGCCACACGCAGTAGTAACTTATGTTTCTCATTCCTTTTCTGCTATTCATTCACATATGCCTGTCATCCTTTTATTGACTCTTGCTACATTTTTGCTTGGTTGAAGAAGCCTCAAATACTCCCAGGTTCCCTTTCTCCTCTTAAATTCATAAATCTCACTTCCAGGTTGCCACAAACTCTCAGTCCTTACTATTCTCACATTCCCAGACTATTTAGCTATGCACTCTTTCTCCTGTATATCTAGAGAAGGAAGAAGCGAGTGCAGCATACCAGCAGCATCCCTTATCTTTATGTTGGGCTTTTCTCATCCTCACCTGATAAATTCATGGCCCCGCTTGGCAGCTTTCCCACATTTAGTTTCACTGACCTCTCCTCCAAGGAAGTGGGGGTTTTGGAGATGCAGTAAGGTTTCTGTCACGCCCTGGATTTGATTTTTATAGGTCACATGTTATGCAAAAAACACAAAGGCACTCATTTGAAAGTCAAAGGCGATGCACAGGGAAAGCTTTCTGCTTGCTGACTAAGATAAAGAGCAGTTGAACAGAACAGATCATCACAACAGCCCGGTTATCAGTGTACTAGGCACATTATCAGACGGCTCAAGGCCACAGGAGACAGTTTAGGATACAATTTAAATAACAGTGTGTGCACCAAGGTTTCAGATGTGTGATACGCGAGGGTCGAGGCAATTTCCTACAATGCAAAGAGGAGCGGTGTCCAAACTTCCTTTGGATCTGTTAAAATCACGCAACTGACCACTCACCACAACATCCTCTGTTGTAAAAATACATCCTGCACAGTGCTCCAATTACAGAGAATCCTTTAACACCTTCAAGTCTCTTGAAACCTTCTGTCCACTTTATTATTATTATTATTATTATTATTATTATTATTATCATTATTGGGCAGTCAAAGTTCCCCCTCAGACTTTGTACATTGTTTAATGCATCATAAAACGGTGCACTTTGTAAATCAGGCTTATTAAACGTTTCCTAACAATGCAAAGGAGTAAACTCTAGCAATAAATGTCTTTTTATTATTATTTATTATTATATTTTATTATTTTATTTTACCTTAATTTTTCCCTCAGCAAATTATTTGGTTTATTGATAAGAAATATATATATATATATATATATATATATATAGGGACGAATGTAAATAAACAGTTTAATATAGTTGCAAATGATTTCCTTTACATCTACACATTTTCTTCCCAAACTTAAGTTTTATTTATATTTAATGCTACTGCCATCTTTGATAATAAAGGTGCAGCTGTAAAATATCTTATATATCTTATATATACTCATATTTTATCTTTATCACAATATATTAGAAAAATCTATGGTTTTTAATTAAGTTTTCACTTTTCATTGTCCTTTCTTTCACCATTTTAATCATACCTCTGTATGTTGTAACTTCTTAGTTTTATTTTATTCATTTGTTGTTTTTAAAAGGTTTTAGTATTATTATTATTATTATTAGATGGTACATTATTACCAGATCTTTTATTATTATAATAAGGTATCTATATCAATATCAACTCTTCTCGAGGCTTCCCACCAGATCCTGGCTGCCGTTCAGCCACAAGAAGAATCAGTGAGGTCGGACGCTAATGTTGGGTGTAAACTCGCTCACAGTCTGCGTTCCAGTTCATCCCCAAGGTGTTAGATGGGGTTGAGGTCAGGGCTGTGCTGGTTAGTCCAGTTCTTCCACAGGGGCACAGAGACACTGACATGTTCAAACAGGAAAGGGCTTACAGAACCCAAAGATAATATTGTTTGCTACAAACCATAAAAAAAAAAAAAAAAAAAAGCCTCTAACTAAGGCTGCTAAAGCTACTTTGGACTATACAGGGTATGTTAAATACACCCCACTGAATAAAAGCTCAAACTGTACCTGAACTTTTCTTTCTTTATAGCGCCTCCCTGTGGCTGGAGACATACAGTGTGTGTGTTCAGTGTGTGTTCAGTGTGTGTGAGTAACTCTCACAGTGCGGAAGACAAAAGACAAATACAAGGTTTTTAAAGATTTTTTTTAAATATTATTTTAATACTTTTCTTAAAAAAGATGTTGTACTCCATAATCTGAACAAGATGAATCTATTGACCTCAATGCCTCACTCACCAACATACCAACAGGTTGTTCTGGCTAAAATAAATCAGAGAAAAATAGCAAAGGGAAAACAAAATAAACTCAAAACAATCAAATATGAAAAGGGAAAAGAAATGAATGAAACATTAAAAAAAAAAAGTGATTATAGAATTGAAAACACTCACAGATCTCTGGGCCAACCTAAGGAAACCCGGAAAACCTCCCGCTTCCAGAAAAACACAATGGCACACGACATCCCAAAACAGTTATCATGGACGATGAAAACATTTTAAAAATAAAAACTAAAAAGACATAAAGATGACAAACATGAACCTATTATACAGACTGTAGAAGCTGTGAGGAAGATAGTGGTGGACGAGATGGCTAAGAAAGACTAAAAACATGTACATGATGAAAGGAAATAATTAAAAAGAGAAGATGCAAGAAGTAATGAAAGAGTTAAGTGCAGATGTTGAACAGCTACAGAATGATGGGGCCTTGTAAAGTAGTGACATACAGTGAGTTTGGAACCGCTTATTGAATATTACAGAGCAAACTGCTGCATAACTTTGAATTTAAAAGGGGGTAAAGGAAAATTAAATAGCAATAAAAACTTAGCCTTTAATATAAAGTGAAAAGATGATGCATTTTACATGTAAAAAATGTGAATGAACTTTCAGCACTCAATAGATTGGTTTTGGCATAGAGTTGAGAAAAAAAAAACAAACAAAAAGGTATGAGAGAGAATAAGACAGACGAAACAATCCTCTCAATAGAATCATAAAAAACTTTTTTTTTTCTTCTTTACAGTAAATTCTACAAAATCAAAACCAGAGCTCAGAGATGAACACAGAGACGAGCTTTGCTCCCCGAAATCCAAATTCCTCTCATGTTCTTTTTCATTGACTTTTCGTCGTATATAATATATATTCATGTATCTATTTATATATATAATATGTATAATTTGTAGGGTATGATTGTTAGTTTACAGGCCAGAGCGCTAAGGCAAAGGACACACTCTGAAACTTTTAAAATGCCATCATTCCTTCCTCGTCGCCATCGGATGTTCAACGTGCACGCACACACTGAGCATCACCTGAAGCCTCCGCCTCTCCAATTAGTGACCGAGGAGAGAGAATTAGAAGGAAGTGAAGGGAGGAAAGATGTCTTAGAAAAGTGTGTGAATGTGGCCGGGGGTGTTGCGTTCCCACTGTGTCCTGAGAAAACAACCGACTCTCAGATGACCGCTGAACCTGACAAACTAGATCACACCAGCCCACCCCTCCCAGTTAAAGTCCAACTTAAAAGAATAAAAAAAAAAAAAAAAAAAAAAACGAGATTAGAAGAGAGGAAAAACCAAAAATAAAAGTGATCTGTCTGTTTGTAATTTGTTCACCCGTTCCTTTTAAGTCCTCTTCACTCCTCTCAAGACATTAGAGAAAAAGGTTTTTCACTTATTTCTTAAATTAAATCCTCCTCTTCACCACCATTATTATTATTATTTTTTTTTAAATGTAAAAGTTCTGTCCCCTCCTTTTCATTCTGTCTTTCTTGTTTTCCTTGAGGGAGCCAACTATCTTATTATTTCACTGTCCGTTTTCGACCTTGAAGACTCGGAACCAACAACCATAAACACCAAGCCAGACACCAAAACGTATCTGAGGTTGGAGGAAAAGAGGGTTGCTTATTTCAATTTCACTTCCCCCCCTCTCATTCACATGACACAAGCCAGCTGTTTCAACTACTGAGAGAAAGGGACAGTTACTATCAAGTTTGTGTATGTGTCTGTGTGTGTGCATTTGTGTGAGCAGCGACCATGTGTATCAGAGCATTGTGGTTTATATATGTGTGTTTGTAAATTTGCTTATGTGTGTCTCTAGGTCCTTCTCTCACTCCTATCATCTGCTTTTTCCCTCTCAGAACAGATTCTCTTCAAAGATGGCCATCAGGTCGCTCTGGAAGTTGATGTCAATGGTGTCAGCCATCTGCAGAGAAGAAAAACAAGAAGCCTTAAAGACGGTCCTTAAAAAAAGAAAACAAAAATTTGGTGTTTCTGTTGTTATAGTTGAGTGCGTACCGCCTCTCTCCTGCGCCTCTCCTGCTCACGGCGGCGTGCCATCTCCCTCTGCTGGTCGGGAGTGTTCTGGGCAGCCGATGGGGGTGGGGGTGGAGCTTGTGGCTGTGTGGGTGGGGCCTGTGGGGAGTGAGTGGGCGGGGTGGAAGCCGGTGGTGTTGGAGCAAGTGGTGACTGTTGCTCCTGGCGTCGGCGGGCATCGTCGTGCGCTCGACGAGCCTGCTCAATGGTGTCCTCGTCATCACGGCTACGAAACAAATAAATATTACAATATATTAAATATAAGTAAGAATATCATCAGCTGATATTCATTTTCTGAGTAAAATCTACAAAAAAACAATGGTGATGGTAATGAGACCAGTATGATTATTTCCTCTGATGTAGTTGTTCATGCTGCTGGCTTCTGCTTTCCACATACACATTTCTCCATTTTCCTCCAACCTACCGTAGTTTTACTTGCTCTCTCCTGGCCTGTTCGGCCTGTGCTTTCAGCTGTCTCTCTCTCTCCTCCTTCTCCCTGGCGGCCCGTCTGAACTGTTCGAAGCTGTCGCTGGAGGAGCGCACGGAGGAGGCCGGTGTGGACTGGGACCTCTGAGCCAGGCTGGCCCAAGAACCCATGTTCTTTAACTTCACATCCTGGGAGAAGACAAAGAGAAGCGGGTAGAAAATGGCAGGTTAAATGGAAGGAGAGAAAACAGCCAGATGGCGTAGTGTAGCTGTAATGTGGCTGAAGACATTATCTTCTCATCTCCGACCCATACACACCTGTGTCTTCTTAGGAGCAATAGGAGTTTTGGGCTCTTGCTTTATTTTGTTGTCTTGCTGAGAGCAGGGGGGTGCTGGGGAGTCTGGGAGGCGGGAAATGGGGCGAGAACCATCCAGTGACTTCAGATCTAATCCTAAGGAAACATAAATAGGGATTAACATTAATTGATTAATATGCAGATTAATATGCAATAATACTTGCATAAAGTTGACAAATTTGGTCAATTTATTTTTACTACTCAAGATTGAAAGATAGAAAGGATACGACTTACTCTTGTACTCACTGTGTTTGATGTCGGGTTTATGTGAGTCTTGACGCATGGCAGGGCTAAACGGTGAGGGGGGCAGAACTGGGGACTGGGAAGGCTTCTCTTCTTTGACCCCCACCAGATTGGACCTCTGCTCCTAAAGGCAGACATATTATATTTACATACAGAGTCTGTTATCAAGAATCCAAAACTAAATTAAAATGACAGTTTTGTCAAATGTTTTCAGCATTAAAATTGGCGACTTTAAACATTTGTGTGTCTCTAACCTTTACCTGGATCAAGATACAGTTATGTTCATAAAGCACACCCGATTTTTGTTTAGGCACATATAGTCAACACACATACCAGGCGTAAAGAAGTAGGTGGATCACTCACATGTTTCTTGGTCTGTGTGGGTGACTGCTGTCCCATTGTATGGAACTGAGGCATCTGAGGAGAGTGCATCATCAGGGGAGAAGGACTCTCACGCATGCAACCTAGAAAAACAGAAGAAATATTGCAAATACTCATCTGGAATCATCAAATCCAGCACTATATTTAACTAAATGTGCATTGACACCTACAATATGGTTATGTCTACTCTACTGGTTCCCAAGCCTAAGGGTACATTTTGTAAATGAAAATAATCATAATAAGCATAGTATAGCATCTTTTATTTTGAGGTAATTTCAGTTACCACAGCAAAGTATCTTGAAGTGTTTTAATATTTAATAAGCGCAGTTCTACTTGCTGTTTCATGCTTTTAATGTTGGTTTGATTTTTAAGCAATTGCAATAGTATTTACTTGACTTACAACGCCCAACAGAACCTATTCATTAATAACACGTATTCCTGTTTTAGGAATGTGTCCAGATGCAGAGTTTGGGTAACCACTGCCTTGAGTATGTAACTGTACCTGTTGAGAAAGGCTCTGCTTTGCTGCGTGGTGATGGCTGTTGTTGATGTTGTTGCATCTGTTGTACTTTCTGCTGCAGGGCCACCCCCTTCTGCTGCTGTGACACCGACGTGTGCGTTTGTGGGAACGGCTGCCGCATATGTGCGTGGCCTGAGCTGTGTCTCTGGGTCAGGGGAGGGATGGGCGTTGTCACAGCCTGCGTATGCATCGACGGCATCAGTTGAGAGGCGACCTGAGCAGGCGAATGGGTGTGCGAGTGTAGCGGCTGCGGCTGTGTGGTGGATCGAACCTGGAGCGACTGCAAGAAGTTATGAACTTGACTGAGGGGAGGGATTTCGGAACTGGTGGGTGTCGGCTCTTCGTCGTCCTCCAGGAGGGCTTGAGGGGGTTGCGCTGAGAGAGTACCCAAAATGCCGTGCGATGGGGGTGAAGGTACACGTGGGCGGGGGACAGGTTGGGGGAGAGTTAGTGGAAGCGAGGGCTGAAGCTGAGGCGAGGAGGGTGGAGGGAGGGAGGGGAGTGAGGACGGGGGAGGCTGTGTAATTTTTGGAGGAAGTGGTGCTGCTCTGTTGCTAGGTCGTGATGGTTGCTGGGGAAGAGCATTGTGGATCGCTGCAAACAATACAAGAAGAGAGGGATGGGGAAAGTTAGAACAAAATATAGTTAATATAGATTTTTTCCCTTCATAGACAAAACATTTTGATAAAAAAGAAAAACAGTCGACAGCTGAACTACAGTCCCGAAAACAAAATCCAGAAAATGAATGCTGGGTTGACAGGTTTGTACAATTGAAAAACATTTCTGAGCAAACAGTGAAATGATTAATCGGTTGACAGAAACTTAAAGCAGCAATAAAGAACTTTCATTTTGTGTTGATTCTGGCGGCCTCTGTGGACAAAAGCAGGAGTGTTTTCACAACCTTGTTTAACTGAAATCTTCTCGCTGATGTGGTGTTTGCCTATGTAGATCATATAGGAGGCATCAGTATGAAACTGTTTCATAACGAGTTAAAAATTCCTTACAGTAGAATTGATGTACAACAATTCTGATGATCACAGTTCTTGAAGTAATTAGCTTAAAGCTTAAAGTGCAAAACATTTGCCTCGCTAACTATCTCACAGGAAAACATGTTTTTAGGGACAAAACTGAAAAATAGTCAAAAGATAAATTGATGATGAAAATAATCATTACTTGCAGGCTTATAATACATCAATATTGTCACATTCATGGCGATTTCTAAAATTGCCTACAGAGATGCAAGCTGTGCAAAGTTTGACTGAAATGTACCTGGTGAAGGTAGGATGGGATGTTGGTTTAGGAAAGGGTGCGTCTCAGTGGGCGTCTGTCCAGTGGGTGCGTTTGCATTGAGGAGACCAGACACAATAGGGGCACCGGCAGTAGTAATGGTTGGATTGGGCTCTGTGTTCGACTGTGTCAAGTGAGGGTTCATGAACTGAGCCAGAGGATCAAATCCAGAGCTCAAAAGCTGGGAGGAGTCCAGAGACTGGACAGGGACGTGGACAGGGGGAGGGGGTACAAATGGTGGTTTGGACTGGACCACTTGAGGCTGAATCGGAGGCTGAGGAGCGACTGGGCCCGCTGCGCTACTGAGGGACTGGTGCGGTCTCTTGGTGTCTTTGTTAGACGAGGTCTTCTTCTGCTGTTTGGGAACCAGCCCTGGTACAGACAGACAGTATATGAAATATAAGAAGGAAATACAAGAAAAGCTGACATGATGAAGAAATACAGCTACTGTTTCTCAAAATAAGATATGCTGACAACTGTTGTGGGTATACATTACCATTCTCAGAGTCTTCACTATCAGAGGAGTCGCTGCTATCTGAAGATGAGGATCCTGTCTTCATCTTTGTCACAGTTGTTTCCAGAGACTTCTCTACTGCAACAAAACATACCAATAACATTTAGAAACTGATAGACTGAGACAAGACATTTAGCCAGTTTGAAGAATACAACAACATTGGGAAAAATCAGGATTTAACCGTTGGGCAAACATGTAGTGATCCCTTCTTGTTTTGTCTAGGAGCTGTTAGACAGGAGTAACTAGTCTTTTACACAGCATTTAATTAGGAGTGGTTGAACAAGACATTCCTGCATCAGTACTATGACATCAAGAAGTGTGGATCACACAGACAAACAGCTTACCTGACGGCCTTTTCTTCTTCTTGAGGCAGCTGGAGACATATTTCTCCAACTCTCTCAGCGTGGAGGGCTTCAGAGTCTCAAAGTCAATCTCGATCTCATCTGGATTGGAGTTCTTCAGCGAAGGCTCGCGCGTTTGAATTATATGCACGACGCGGCCCAGTTTGTCGCCGGGCAACTTGTTGATGTCCAGGCTCAGCTGGCGCTTCTCCTCGTACGACATCGGCTTGCACCTGTCAGTGGACCCACCCCCAAATACATCTGGGGAGGAAAGCATGACAGCAAGTTGAAACATGGCCATTGTTAAAGATTCCTTCAAATAAAAAATAAAAAAATCAAGCTCAACATATCTCTCACATACATACCCATGTCATCCTCTGCTTCAAGAGAGGCCGAGGGGACCAGAGGGGTTGGCCCAGGCTGAGGTGGCACAGCTGGGCGGCTATTTTTAACTCCTTCTTTCTTACTGTGATTGACAAATGATTAGGTTAGCTCCAGTTAACGCAGCTATAACATCACTTCTCTTATCAATTCTGTAAAAACCTACCCAGGCTTTTTCCTGTCCTTCTTTGCAATGATTAGCTCCTTGCTGCTCTTGTTTTTCTTAGAAGTCTGAAGCACCACAGCAGGAGGGTTCTCCACAAGTTCCTCTGCTCCCATCTTCTTCTTGTGCTTTTCTTTCTTCTTCTCTTTCTCTTTCTCCTTCTCCTTCTTCTCCTTCTCCTTCTCCTTCTCCCTCTCCCTCTCCCTCTCCCGCTCTTTCTTCTTGGGCTTGCTGGCTTGGGGCTGGGAGAGTGCTGCTAACTGTTCATGGACAGCTTTTAGCTAGAGGATACAAACACACACAGTTGTAGTCTTAAGAGATGAAAAGAAAGACAGCGTGCATATGTGTTTCTCCGTGTTTCAGCATTCACCCACGTTCGGTAAAGCTGTTCTGCGTGGCCCACCCACCTGTCGTGTCTCATAAGCCTCCCTCCCCCTTCATTTTCCATCCTCTAACCTGTTCCTGTAACTCAGCCAATCGCTGTTTCCTTTCTTGTTCTGAGTCTCCTCCGGAGGACTCCGATTCGGAGGAACTGGAGCTTTCGTCTTCTGAGACAGCAGAAGGAGGCAGGGCTTGTCGAGTGGAGGGGGCAGGGTGGAGGGCCGATGATGGGGTGGGAACAGGGGCGGGCTCCTCTGGCTCATCAGGCATTTTGGCAAAACGCATCTCAAACACGTCCTGTGAGGACGGAGGACGGCAGGAGAAACTGTGAACTCTACTTGAACCACAAACCAGCACAAACAGTGCCAAAGAGCAATGTTTGCAATGACATTTATAATCATTTTATATATATATATATATATATATATATATATATATATATATAAAATATACATTTTAAAGACTTGGAAAACTGAAAACCTGATGCGTATGCCAAAACACTCAAAACAGCTGTATCATTGATAATGTAAACAAACACAGTGAAAGGTGTATGCCATCATCATGGCATGGGGGATATAATAGCTAGATGTGTTTCACACAGGAATAATAAACTAGGGTATTTTGTTAACTTGGAATTGGATCTAAAATGTAACCAGGTAACAGTGCCAGACCATTTACACTATTTGGCCAAAAGTATATGGACACCTGAACAATACAACATGTGACTGTTGAGCGTCTCATTCTCAAACAATGGGAACTCTGCTGGGCAGGATTGTTGAATCAGGCTGCAGGGAAAGTTTTAAGAGACACACAGATGTCCACATACTTTTGGTCATATACAAGGGGATTCCAGGTGTTCAGAAGCCCCAAGTCTTCAGGTTCACTGTGTGGCATTAAGCTTGTTGTAATTTAATTAACAGCAAATGTGTTTGTTAATACTGTAAGCACCACTAAAGGACATTATAAACTGAAATAAAAGGGCCTTAAGGCAATACCTGAATTATAAGCTAATCTTATAGAAGGGCCCCGAGTTAAATTCTATATTAACTCAGTGGATGTAAGTTCTAATGATATCATTTTTTCAGTAATACTGTATATTGTGCTTAAATGATGCACTTTGTTGAATAAAACAGTGCTTAATGATGTAAACACAAACTACTTAGTAAAATATACACATTGCATATAGAGTGGGATAAAAAGGCCTCCTCACAGGGCATTTTTATTATGGATTGCTTAAATGTATGATGTGTTAATTACCTGCAATTTGCGTGCCATGCCAACCACATCATGGTCTGGGGGATTGTACTTGTAACAGTTGGAGAACATCAACCGGACGTCTGCTGCAAATTCTTGAGCGTCTCTGTACTGTCTGTTGTCCAGCTTTTTCTGAAGGAGACAAACAAATGCACCAGTTATAAAATGTATTCTTCATTTTTTAAGACCAAACAATGTTGTGTGTTTCTGAGGGAAGAAGGGGTATCTTATTATGCTGTATTTTAGGTTCTTTTTACAGGTAGTTATTATCACCTTGATGCTGCTGAGATCCATGGGGTGCTTGATGATGTCGTGGTAGTCGTGGAGGCCAAGAGCTCTTACATCAACAGGCTTGTAGAAGGGCCAGGCATATGCTACATGTTTCTTGGACAGCATCTCTCTGACTAGGCGTGCGCAGAAACGCAACTGATCCTGCCGCTTCTGCGTAACTGTCCCTCCCGTCTCCAAACCGCCTCCCAGGTGGTGCTGAGAGTCTGGCTGCAATGCATCTTTTTTGGGTTGTTTAGATGGGCGACTGCTCTCTCGGCGCGGCCGAGTCTCAGCAGAGACAGGAGGTGATTCACTGAGCTGGTCGTTGGCTGTGGGTGTGGTGGTGTCTGCTTTCCTCTTCTGGCTCTTCCTTTGCTGTTGAAGCGTCAGAGATCAGAGGTTAGAAAATTACAATATATCAGCTTGTGATTAATAAGAATGGCTGCTGACTTCTCCTCACCTTGATGAGGGCAGGGGAGCTCTGCAGCATTGGTGCAGGATGGAGGCCTGGGATTGTTGGGACTGGAGGGGGAACAGAGGTCATGCCCTGGGCCAGAACGTCAGGTGTTGAAAGGGGAAATGGAGGTCCCAGATGGGGTGCGTGGGAGGTGGGTGTAGGAGGCACGCGTGGGGGCTGAGGCTGGGCCAGAGGCATGACCAGAGGCATGACCAGAGGCATGACCAGAGGTTGGGTAAGAGGCTGGGCCAAAGCTAGGATGGGAGGGCCTTGAGGGGTGGGTGCAGCACGGATCTGTGGGTTGATTGAAGGGGACGAGAAGCCTCTTGTGTGTGGGGTGGTGGAGGGGGACGATGAGTCCTGGCCTGAATCCGACTTGCTGATCAGAGCTGCAAGGAAGAATATAAACACAAGGTCCCAAGATTAAATCAAGGACCAGGGCTCCAGACTAACTTTTTGCATTGGTTGCACTGGTGTGCCTAACTTTTTTTTTTTTTAGGTGCACCAGCACAAAATTTAGGTGCACCCAAATTTTTCATTGCGTTGCCTTTAACGCCACAAGGTCACCTTTTTATTGCTCTCCATAACTTTCATATAATGTGAATGATTTTTAAACAACAATAAGGTGTAGAGAAATGCTTGTCTTTATTTGAAGCACAATTATATATAAAAAGAAAAATAAAGTGTTTAAATTGCTTCACTGAGCTGAAATTGAACATTTCAAGTAAAATAATTATTAATGATAATAATAATGATTACTACTACCTGCCGCTGAAATGCAGCTGGGAGAGTGGCCACTTTCTCCACAAACACTTGTCACGGCAAATGTTTTTTATTTCCGGCCATATTCTGACCGCACTCCTGACAGTACACGCAGTGCATTGCGTTACGTCCTTTGTTGTACCTCAGCCAGGGAAATTGTTTCAGCCAGTCCTGTCTGAAGGAATATATTTTGACCTTTTTAATTTGGGTCTTGGAGCCGGGCTCTATCCCGGACTCGGTTGTCTCCTCCTCTGGTTCCGAGTCTGATGCTGTCGCCAAAGGACAGAGGCTTGGCATCTCACCAGGGACCGAGGGCTCCGTGTCTTGACGGGATGGACTCTCAGTAGCGGGGATGGATGGGATTATAGTAGTAGGGCTGGTTGTAGGCTTGGTTTTCTTAATGAAAAAACTTTCAATATTTCTGCCTCTCTTCATTTTCCCTCGTTTTGTCGCGTTTATTTTATTTTTCCGTTTCAGTTAGTCAGCTACTCTCGCGCTCAGGTCGCACACTTTCATTTACTTCTACTTATACTTGAGCATGGGGCATCATATACTTCAATCCCAATGTGCTATGCCCTCATACACTCTAAATGTTCTATATTTGAATTGGTGCCTAAATAAAAAACAATGGTTATTATAGATTTATGACTATAAAAATTTGACACAGTGCTTGGCTGCATTTCAAATTAATCTTCAGGATCACAGCTTTCAGATGATGTATAGCATGTATATGTGGCATATACTGTATATACTGTACATACTGTACTATCTCCACCTAAAGATCCCCTGCTCCCCTAAAAAAAAAAACAACAACCCAAAAATGGGTCTACGTGAGGGGAGGGTGGGGTGGAAGAGGTTTAAACCTGTTGGACGGATTATGAAATGTTCCAAAAACAGTACAGGACATGTCAATGAGCCTGAAGCAATCAAGATTTGATTTAACAATAAATGTTGCATGCTAGTTGTAGTTGATGAAGAGGGAGAACCGTACAGACAACATAAGAGCTTGATATTCAAGCTTGACTGGTTATGTTAGCACCATTTACTTGTCACTGCAATGCAACTCATGAAACATCCTTATTACAGTCTTTAGAGAATATTGAGAAAACACACAAACACAATTACAACTTCTGTCATAATGCCCAAACTCCTTTGTTATTGAAAGGAGGAGGGAGGCTCTTGAGGCAGCCCAAAAAAGTATTATACTGACATTTTTAAGTACATATTACATTTGAAACACATACCTGGCTCCCGTCTGCTGCCTCGGCGTCCCTTACTGACCACAGCAATCTCGGTCTCTTCCTGTGGCATCTCTGTGATCTTCTGGAGAAAGTGCTTCTCCAAGGCCTCCGCCATTAGAACAATATCATCCCCAGGCTAAACAAACACATTCACATGTTTAGAAGGTATAAGCTCTTTGCACTGATGCTTTCCTTGAATAGGATAATGTGTTGCTTTATTGCCTCAAATTCAGGGAAGTCACATGTAACTAGAACTTAAGTGGCCAATGGCTGACCTTGTTGTAGATGTAGCAGTTTGTGAACATTGTGTTGAAGTCTTGGATACACTCCTGGGCATTCCAGTAGTAGTTGTTTTCCAGCCGTTTTTTTATCGTGCCCATGTCCATAGGGGTCTTGATTATCTTATAGTAGTCCTTAAAGGAGAATGAGAGCAGGTAGAGAGAACTGGATAAGCATCATTTCTGAATGAAAGTAAATGAAGAATCTCTTTCATCAGTCCAAAATACATTAGAGGCACCGAACCCTGGCACATTTAAGTCTGTGATATTCCATATTTTTCTTGTCAACAAATCCCATAAAAACTAACAATGAATTGATTCTACTAACATATATTGTCTGTGTAGCCAGGACCTGAGTTTATTTCTCTCTGATATAGACCTCCATTGTTGGCAAAAAAAGAACACACACACACACACACAAAAAGATTAAAAACACATCAGTAAACCACACCATCGCACTGGCTGACATGTTCGTTTATTGTGATGAAGACGGGCACTTTGGATTATTTTACATCTATTACATGTGTCGTCCTGCTTCTGTAAATACTAGTGCACCAAATCTATGGACAGAAATAGCCCCCAACAAATACAGTAATTACTGTTTGAGTAATGTTTGCTTACAAACACTGCCCAGCTGTTTTATGAAATTGTATAGCCTTCTTAAAAAAATGTAAGTATCTATTTGTAATTCAATTGGGGTTGGGGATTAAGGCATTGTGACAATTGAAAAGCATTAAGAGAAAAAACGTGTTTGATTTTTTGGTCTTTTAATGGGATTTGTTGACAAAAATATAAAATATTGCAAGACATAACCTTTAGTAGGACCACACAGCATATGAAGTATAATATTGAGTATATGAAGTGAATTTGGAGTGGTCTGTGCATTATTTCACTTTCACCTTCCTCTTCTGAAAAGCCAAATTCTGACAATCGACCCCAGGAAGAGTAGCAGTTGTTTTGCTAACAGTTAATGGGGATCCAAATAAATAGATAACAGTGTTTCCTCTATGTTGATTTTGGAGCGGCGGCCCGTCGCTGTTAAATTTCTGTCGCCACGGTATCAGAAATGGGGCAGACGCACAATGTAGTCACGGTTGCCTTTTAAATGATCCTGCCGACATAATGCACCCTCGTTGGCTGACGCTCACATTGCAATTTAACAACAAGTAGAACTATTCAGAGGTTATTGGGGCTGTCCAGTTTAACTCCACATACTGTTGTGTTGATGTAGCTTATTGTCAAAACGTTTGCTTTCTTCCAAGTCGACTATTAAACTAACAGCTCCACCAAAAACAAAAAAAATCCTATAGGAAACACTGGATAAACAATAAACAACAGAGACGTATGGCAGAAACTGCCAATACTACCGTCCCAGGTGTTTTACAACCTCTACAATTTTCTCTAAAAACACGGAAACACACATTAACATGTGACTCACAGGCAAATTGAGTTTGATGGCATCTACAGGAGCTTGGAAGGGCCATGCAAAGTGATGTTTCCATAATGCCTTCAACACCTCTTTAAGCAGGTACTGAAAAAGAGCAAAATCATACAAAAAAAAAATCAATCAAATTTATGTCCAAACACCTGACATGGTTTACATGTATAAACACACAAACTGAAATCTCCAAACCTGTAGCTGGTTGGTCTGTCGTTTGGGTTTGGAGGGGTTCCATGTTTCGGGTGGTGGAGGGTTGAAGAGGAGAGGGGGCTGGGCAGAGGGAGGGTTCTGGCTGCCGCCTGCCTCCAGTCCGTCTCCCATCGTGTTGGTGGGTTGCAGTGACTGAGCAGACAGTTTAGGCAGATTGGACCTGGCAGGGGCAGGTAGGACCGGGGGGACCCCCCTCAGGCCATTACACTCCTCACTCGACTCTCTGGGAGGAAAATCGACAAAGGCATCATCAACAACGCTGCCACCACTGTTACCATTACTGTGCTTGTTAAGCCAACTCTGATTCAACTTCCTCAGGATAGGCAGCCAGTATCGTTATTACACCTCAAATCTGAAACCAACCCACAATCACTTTGCCTCAATATCAAGCAGTTTCTTTTACTCTCTGTTTCACTGCCAGTCCACAGTGTCTCCATGTTGCTCTAAAACTTCAGCTTCAATGGCATCGGTATGTGAGAGAGAGAGAGAGAGAGAGAGAGAGAGAAAGACAACTTGGCAAGGTAGGTGCTTTTTAAGAAAAATAAATAATCTTTGGCATTGTAGCTGCTCTGATAGCAATCAAGTGTGTCTTAATTTGTTATTCTCTCCCTAGTTGTAGTTTGTCTTAAGAAAAAAAAGTATGTGCAAATAAAAAGGTACGTACCCAGACCAACTACAACCTTAAATGTGTTATAATTAATTATAATGTTAAATGTCAAACAGTTTGAATCAATATTGACTCATTGCTTAAGATTGCAGCCTTTATGCCTCACCAGGTAACGGTGGATTTGGAAAATGTAAACAGATTACATATATCTACACTTGTATAAGCCCTGTCCAGCATTTACTTAAGCGATAAGGCATTAGATACACTATGCTACTTTCAAAATACAAAACCACTTAATATTCCAGTTTACAAGAAGTCATATTGTATTTTATTGACCGACTTAAGTTTCAGAGCTTGTCTGAATCAGCTGATAGAAAAAAGGTGCAATACATACTGATACTGTTGCATATAAATCATTAAAGAAACACCCTATGATGATGGCATGGCGTTTCCAGAAGATATATCTAATTTTTGATTTACAATGCAGTGGCTGTAATATCTACTATCCCAACACCATTCAAAATTATCCAACCGGCTTAATGATGGTCAAAGATGCTGAATTGTCATTTTATAATGGAAATATTGTACAGGGATATTTTTTAATAACAGGACAAAAAACAAAAATGTGAGAAAAACCTTGAGCTCTCTTTTAGACGATCATCCAACAATTACACTTGGCGGTACTACTGAAGTGAAATTGTTTGTGTTGCCAGTGGCAATTTGTGGGTAGGTACTTCAATCACAAACTACACATTAACATTCAATTACCATACTGAATAAATTTGTTATTTATTTATTTACACACAGTTATATAATGCAGCTATAAGGCTGGATTATTGGTGCGGTAACAAGGCATTACAGTATACCAGGATATTTAGAGATCCTGAAGGTATGAATTCAAATACTGTCAAATATACAGACGTTCCTCTTTCTGGTGCATCGAACATATTGGCTCTTAGACTGTTTATTTGCTGTGCACTCAGTTTGGATTTGAGTGGGTATGTTTACTTGTGATTCTTCGTGGTACTTCACATTGCTGCTTTTAATAATCACCACGGTCTCCCTCTGAGAAGAACAAGAGTCTGTCCATTCTGGATTAAAAGCTCTCTTTTCGCTGTCTACATTTCATGTCTCTTTATACAACATGCCATGTGAAAGTACTTCTCTGACTTGCTTAATTCTCCGACTGTCTCATCTCGTCTCCCCTGTGTCACACAGGCTGTGTCTCTCTCACTCACTGAGTTGAGTCGCAAAGCCTGTTAAAACAGAAATGCTCCAGTATGTTACAATGACTTGCTGCTGTCACCAGCAGCTCAGATTTTACACTTTTTTAAAATACAAATACCGCCATATACTGTATACCTCAGTGAAATGTCAGGAGGTATGAAGGTATTAAAATATTTACAATTTACAGTTAAATGTTAGGTAATGTCGTGGAGAGTGTGGGGAAATTAGAAATCACATATGCCTCAATAAAAAAAAAGGATACAACGTAATGTAATAATGTAATTCAGAACCTAATCGGTACATGTATGCAGTATTCAGTAGGGTTGGGTACCGAACTCTGTACTTTTAAGGGTACTGACCAAATTACGTGGGTACTACCAAGGATCGATTCACGTTAAATACATTAATGCCACATTTCGGTACTTGGGAGCACATATGTATGAGAGAGTAAGGTAGAGAATAGAGAAAGAAGAGAGAAAGAGAGCGCCTGCAGCTTGTTCAAGTCACAGTGAGTCAGGTTTTGTAATACACAATGCAAAGCTGGCCAGGGCAACACGTCTAGCCGGAGGAAGCACCTGGTCGAACGCAAAATCTACAAGCTGAAAAGTGTAACATTACCATGTTTGATAGCCTGAAAAGCCAATTAAGTCCTCTGCAGCAGTCGCTAATGTTAGCACGCATGCAGTGCTGAAATTGAACCCTCCAGGTATGAGGAAACTTTAAGTCAGACGTCAACAACTTCATTGACACCTTCCGGTAATTAATTAGCTAGTTGGATAAGTTGTTGCTGGAGATAACGGTCTTGGTTGACAGACAGACCAGAGTTAGTGTCTCTCCCTCTCCTCTCGCACCATGTGCAGGCAGGAGTGAGTGGGTTACTATGGTAACGGGGAAGCTCTGCGTCTCAGTCGCTCCGACGCGTTATCATGATTACCAATAAGAGGTTATTAGAAGGTTAATATGCCAGTGAAAAAAATCATGAATGTGATTGGGAAGATACCCTGGCAAGAGTTGCTCTCCTGATTGAGGCTGTGATGTGTGGAGGTCGGCAAGAGTGCTGATCAAAGTGACATGATTGTTGATGATTATTAATGATTCTTATGCAGCGTTATGTAACGATTTTTAGTATGTCCGAAACAAATCGTATATCAACAGCACACTGTTTACAGGGAAATATTACAATATACAAGCTTTGAGGTAATAAGGAGTTTGGACTTTTCTTTTTACAACTTAAATTACATTTTTGTTATTACAGAGAGAGCATAAAAGGTACAAAAGTGAACCCTAGTATCTAGATAAACTGACAAACAGAAGTTTCTTTCAAACAAGACATTGGCAAACACCTTGTATGGTGTAAGGAATAACAATGACTTTCTACAAATTAATGCCAGCATTGTACTTCAGAAACTGAGACTGAAAAGTGTGGAAAGACCAAAATTTGCTCAACATTTCTATTATTAAGGCCTCAGTAGACCAAATGGTCAATTCTGACACATTTAAATAATAAGAAGACACATTATTTTCTGCAGACTCACATGTTTGTTGCTGTGCAGCTGTGGTCTAATCCAATTGTGTGATCATATCTCAGTTGGTGAGGCGGCGATTTCCTGAGGTAACACTTTTGTCAGTGACACGCTGTGGGGGCAAGGAAACCACAACACACAGATAGAGTGTCACACCTGAGAGAGAAAGATACGAAGACGTATGAATTCAAATTCAGGTCAACATATCACACGTTTGGCTGTTTCCAACTAACATTAAAATACACTGCCAGGTACATGTTTGGCCATGGTGTGTTGTAAGCTGCTGTGATCGGAGTCCATAAAAGAACCAGTGGTATTTATGTACAACAGAAACAAGCATTGCATTCCCTCATAACATGTTGGAAATATGACGGTGCTTTGATGTCACCTGCACCTGATTTTCTAACCACTTCATTTGAGGCAGCATCTTTTTTTTTTTTTTTTTTTTTTTTATTAATTCCTCCTAGGCAATATTTAAATGGATTCACAGGCAACCAATAAAATGTTCTGTCCAGACTTACACATAATACACTGTACACAATTCTCGACCCTAGCTTTGATGCCTTAATAAAAAGGTTTCTGAGCTGTCGTAAGCCTTCACTTGACTTCCTCTCTGATGTCTCACACCCCTGTAGTGCAGTCATACATCAGCTGCTCTGCAAGCGAGCCCTTATGAATGCGTCTTCTGATTCTGCAGACAATCTATGTCTTCTAGGACTTTATTTCTCCAACGTAAGGACAAAAAGGACCACATGCACACTTATATAGAATGTATTGGTACGTTCTTTATTCCCCAGGGAATTACACAGTACAACGAGCTATTTGTAAGAAGAACATTATTCTTTTATCATTTTTAATGGGGCACCTTTCATCGTGTGCATGTAGAGAAAGTGCTGCTATTTTACAGGTTTGTGCCGTAGTTTCTCTTGTGATTTACATTTCAGTGACTTTAGACAAACTAGCTGTAAAGAATGTGAGTACTGCAATCCCTATTCTCCTATTGACGAATACACTGAACCCTGACCTTGAAAGTTTCTAGATGGCATTTGATAGGGTATGTCACAGAGCTCAAAGGTCCCTATTTTGGAATTTCTCTGTGAGACTATCTGTCCATGCTCAAACAGAGACAACAGCTTATCTCTTGTGAGCTGACATGTCTGTCCCTTTATGGTCCCTTGATTTCTTCCACCAAACACACAAATCTTCATTTTAAAAGACGGATTAATGCATCCAAGCATATGTCTGCTAAATAAATGAAAACAATACTTGCAAATATTAAAAGAGAAATCCCCCTTATTTTGCTACAGGTCCATTTGACTTTTCAACAGCCTCAGGTTTGGGGTCTCTCTCCTTCCAAAACAAAACCAAAACAAACACTGCCACACCAGACAACTATAACGTTGTTGTGAACCAGACATTTAGAAGTGGACTGTGCGCGGGAATATTGTGAGATTTTATATATATGTATGTATATAAGGTCACAATCTACCTTATCATCAATGTATATTAATATAAATTCTAACTCATCAGCATCCTGTGGTTGAAGCTTTAGGCTTTTTTTTTTTTTTTTTTTTTTTTTTTTAAACAAATCCAACTATAATCTGAGAATCTACTCAACCCAGTTTACCCGGCCGTGACACTATGCAACAGCATCCACATTATGTATACAGTCAACACTGGGCGCAAAAACAGTGTCGCAGCTAACACGCTAGAATAAACAAAAACAGCAAACGTCAAAACAGTGAAGCGAACAAACGCAACAGGACACCTAAATTAAATTATTCTACACAATTTATCAGCCATTTTGCTCCTATTTCGTATCACGTAGCTGGATTCCTCACACCAGTAAGGTAACATTATCAGAAAGGGGGAAAAAAAAGCACAGACGCCAACGACGCTCAGTGTTATAAAATAACGTCACTTAACAGCAAACAACGAGCACAAACACACACACACACACACACTTTAAAAAAATAAAAAAAAAAACTTTTTTCTTGCACCTTTTCCTCGCTAACCTTCCCTGTCAGCGCATCGCCATGTCCACTGAGAGCACAGTGACAGCTCCGCACGTAAACGGGCCTTTCTGAATACAACCTGGACCGCGTTGGGTATGCTCGAAAAATGACGTACGTCGCCGCTTCAACACGAGCTCCTGCGCCATCGCGCGCAAACTACGCTGCCGAGAGGACGTAACTTGTGTCACGAATACGGCCTGCGGGGCTACAAACAAACAGCCTAGCCGCTAGCTGGGTTAGCATGAGACCCGACCTGCAGCTAACGTGCACCTTGACAGCGCGGAGTGTCAAACGCCAGAGACAACGACCTCAACGCGGGTCCGGAGCGGAGAAAACATACGACGCGGAGTAGACGCAGTCACGCAAATTCGCGCTAACTTTAACAGGCGAAATAAATCATCTATCTCGTGTACCCGAACCGGCGCAAGGCCTGCGGAGACAGCTCATGCTTCGCTTGCCGAAACGCACACTGACAGCGCGCGAAAAACGCCCCCGACGCCCGTCGTAAACGTTTCACCGTATCCCCGGTGTTGTACGCTTTCGTTTGATATACCAATGTCATCTACGCAACAGGGATAAAACGCTATTTTTTTACCTTCTTCGGTCGGGTGTCAGCGCTCGCAGACCTTCCTCGCCCCAAATCCAGAACAAACAGTCCCGTTCGACGTCGTGACGTCAGACGCACGAAGGGGGCAGGCCGAAGTCTGTCAGCCGAAATGTCACACACACACACACACGCACGCATGCGCACACACGCAGGCACACACACACAGCTCCACCTCCTCCCCCGGGTTAACATCATGCAATACCGTGTAATGATTTCAGTGTTTACCGGTAAACAGGTTGGTGTTTATCATGATTTATGTCTTTGATCCAGTGTTTTCCATTGAGATGCTTTAAGTAAATAACTTGCCCACAACGCATGTTTTTATTATTGTTTTGTTACTATTCACCACAGAAAGTGCGGTGAGGGGATTGAGCGCATTTTGGTGCGCAGGTATAAGGAATTCCTAGAAAGTCACAGTACGAGGGACATACAAGGAATGTTAAAATAAATAAATAAATAGTACAACAATAAGGCAACAGAAGAAGTAGTGCTCACACAAACAAAAAAAGGTGTGTATAAACAATGTATTATACTGTAATATAGGTGTATGGTTGATGGTGTATGCTTGAAAGAGCCGATGTACATATACATGAAATACAGTTCAATCTGTTAAGTGATCAGTAATAACTAGATGCCAGTCTTAGTGTTGTAATAATGTAAAAAAAAAAAAGACACAAAGTGCAGAAGTAATTAAATACATTGATATTATTCTTTAAACTTTGCATTTCGTGTTTTACAGGATAAAATCGTGTTTATGTTTAACCCTTGTAGTGCCTACATGTTTGACACACTACTGGTGATTGGTGGTCAGTTAAGCTACTTTAAACATGCAAATTGTCAACAGAAAACAGTGAAACAGTGATTTATTCAACAACTTTATTTCTTACTCAGAGCGAAACAAGTGTTTGTTACATGACTGATACGAATTCTTTATATTCCACAATTATTCTACAGACAGTCCCCTCAATTACCTCACAGCTGTAGAATAAAAAGCCCACCCTGTTACAGATTTACCAAAAAGGTTGGAAAATCATTCCTTCACCATCAACACTGGCAATGGACAGAATGCTATGGCAATATGTAACTTTTATATGAAAAAAAAAGTACTCTCTTAACCTTACAATACTCAAGATTTCTTAAACAAATTAATCGAAAGCAAGAATAGTTTAAACGAAAAGGCACAAAAAAAAAGTATTAAAAAGGAATAGTTCGACATTTTGGGAAATACAGGGAGGAGATTAGCTTGGCGTTAAGACTAGAAACGGGGGAAATCCATAGCCTAGCTCTCTCTCCAAAGTCCAAAAATAAGTCTATCTACACCTCCAAAGAGAACTGGTGGGCATTCATAAGACAGTTGTAGTGTTTACAAGTTGAACTATTTTTTCACAATTTTCTCATCTAAGTCTGGGCAAGAAAAGTAAGTGTACTTCCCAAAATGTGGAACTGTTCATTTAACAAAAATTAAATTATATAAACTAAAGACATGAAAAACGGTGGGAGCAGGTATGTATATTTCTTAATAAGCCTGACAATGAGACTGGATTAAACGGGACTGTGGGGGTCACTGACTGGTCCAGACAGATGTTAAGGATGAGAAGTCACACTGGGTGAAAAAGTCATTCATCACTCTTGTCTTCCTCTTCGACCTCTGCTGCCTCTACTCCTTCTTCCTCCTCGACCTCTGCTACCTCCACTCCTTCCTCCTCCTCCTCCTCTTCCAACTCACCCTGCAATCCCTCTTCGCCAATCTCATCGTGCACCACGTATCCCTCCTCTTCCTCTTCTCCAACTTCAAAACCTTCCTCCTCTTCCTGGTTCCTCTGCTCCTCCTCCATCTTTTCCCCCTCTGTTGCTGCTGCTGATGCTGCTGCTGATGATGTTGCTGCTGATGTTGCTGCTGATGCTTCAGCCTCGCCCGCCTCTTGGCCAGTCTCTCCTTCAGCCAAAGGCTCATCTTTGACTGGTGCCGCATCTGTCTGGTCGTCTGCTGTCTCACCGGTCAGCTCCAGCTCAGACACATCCATCGCCATGGAGTCCTCTGGATCCTGGTCGTCTTGGTTACCCGTGAATGGGTTTTCACCCTGACAATAAAACAACATTTATATGTGTTAATTTGTTTGTCTACAAGTCCCTACATTCATGATCAATTAGACTGAAATCAGCAAGGTTCAAGTCTCTACATATGCATGTCTCAGAGATGGTATGTGTATAGCTCATCTTTCACTAAAAGGCTCAACGATCCACAAGACACATGCAATAAAAACATGGACCTGGCTTAATTCATGTATCCATTATGTGTTTTGTATTTAAACTGCAATCCATTATGAATGATAAGAGTGTATCTCCCTATGCCATTTAAAAACATGAACTGACCAAATATGCCCTATATTTTGTCACAATAGGAAAAAAGCAACTAATGATATGGTATCCTTATAATTCTTTTCTAACATTTTTTTTTAATTTAACATTTTTCTCAGATCAAGAAGATATGAAGTGATCTATAAATGCAGCAATGAATTACTAACAGATAAGAGCAACAAAGTTTGATGTTATGAAACTAATGAGGGATGTGTGCTGCTTTCACTGTGGTTTAACTATGGTTAAAAGCGTGCTATTACACTGTGACCACAAACTTTTACCCTTATCTATTTGCAAAGTCAATAGCTCAAAAGAGCACTGGTAAATGTGGGACCTTTTCGTACCATGCATTTTGGTTGCCAGCCCATGTTCAGGTAAATGGCACTGTACATACCTTGAGGTAGCTCTCCAGCTTCTTGCCAATGAGTTTGTGGTTAAGGATGCTACGAGCAACTGACAGACTGGCCCTCTTGGACTGCTCCATCATACCCTTGAATCAGAGAGAGAGAACAGTCCGAAATCACACATAGGACAGAGTGTAAAACATCAATACAGTAAGTCATTTTTACAAACAGGTACAGCACATTTAGTTTTCTATAGAATCAAACGATCTGCCATACCTTCCGGTTGTAGTTATGGTCAGGAGACTTGATGTGTTTCTGTATAAGGTGGGGCTGCATGGGGATGAACAGGTCACACGCTGCACAGTGGGCGGCTTCCACCTTCCTCATGAAGTGCTCCATACCGAGATCTACACAGACATGAGCAATATTTGCAATGAGCAATCACTTAAATTCTCTCCGTCATATTTCACCCCCCCCCACACACACACAGCTTACCCCTGGTGAGGTCCTGCTCTTTGTACACCTGACAGATGGCGGCACTGTGGTTTTCCAACTGCCCAACTCTCTGTTCTGTCTTCTTAAACTTGTTCTGCAAATACTCCTGCAAAAGCAAAACCAGTTTTTATTAGTTACACTTTATATAACAGCTTGTTTGAGTGTTTTTTCTTTTTTTTTTTTTACAAAACTAATAATAACCAGGATTGGCCACACCATTCAAACCAGCAGTTTATGCCTTTGTAAGCAGCCCTTAAATATTGTACTAAGTTATAATGAATAACTAATTGTTTCCTTTTAGTAGGGCTTATGTGTAACATCTCTTAAACTCTGTAATCGTTAAATAATCATAATTGGCATTTTGGCCATAATCAAGCAGCCCAATTCTAACGTAACGAAAACACAAATATTCTTATTTTCAGTTCATTATACGTTAATGAAAACATACCTTTGAATATTATAGTCATTTCTACCAATAGAGCTTCCAAAAATATTAGATGTTGGACCTTTAAAATAACGTGCAATTCAATCACTTTATGCATCTAGAGCAGACCGTGTACTGTTTGACAAATCTCAGTCACCTGTAGAAAGTCTGTAGTGGGCTTGGACAGTTGGCTGGACAGGAACTTAAAGTGGTCCTTGTGGAAGCGACTATCGAGATGCGTTTCCATTTCCTCCTTGTAGAACGAACGGAACTTGCAGACTGAGCATGCAAACATCACCCTGAAAACAAGCACAGTGTGATGAAAAGAGGATGAACCTCAGTCTGATTAGAAATAATCCAAAATGCTCAGCAATCAAAGCGACTGCAACAAAATATGTCAAAAGGTGAAAACAAAAGGTAATCAACTACTCTCAACAACAAAACAATACTACTACTAAAACAATAAGAAAGAAAGCAAATAACAGAGATAATGGTAGTTATAGCCAAGTAGTAAATCTTGAGCCAGGGGTCAGGGGGTCATCCTCTCACCTTTCCAGGAAACCCCTCCTCTTCCTCATTTTGGGGTGCTTGTCTTGACCTTGGGTTGGGGTCTGTTTGCCCTGTGGAGTCGTCTTCTTCTCCTCTTGTTTGGGTGAAGCTAAGCACAAGCACAACAGCAGATGTTAGGCATGTAAAGATTTCCCTGGGAGGGCAATAGTTGATGTAGACCAACAAAGCATAGCGTAATCAGTGTGGAGCAACTGAAAATAAGCTGACCTTTATCCCCATCTGCAGTAGGTTTTGTCTCCTGTGAAGAAAAATATCCCATTACTCATTTTATTAGGAAAAAGGAGCTGATAACTTGTAACAGGTTACATTTTTATTTAGGAATAAAAAGTGATATTTGGATTCTTCTGTTCAAGCTCCATACCCAGTGCTATAGTCCAGCTCAGACCTATAATCTCTTCAATATACCATATATATAAAGTCAACACATTCTCTGCCATTAACCAACAGTTGAAATCAGCACCTCCTCTCTAAATAAAAACCAGTGTGAGGCGTTTACAGAACAACACACAGGACAGTGTTTATTTTAGCCTTCTTTGACAGTACTATGGTGAGTGAGTCTCGTAGGCAACAAACCTGTTAACGTTATATAACAATGTTATCTCTTTGTCATTTGCATTGCCTTTGAAATAATAGTGATTACTTACATTTGAAGAAATATTGTGTTGTCTAATTAAATTAAGTGGTTCAGTGGTTTAATAATGGGTTTAATAATGGGGTAAATTAATACTATAGGGGGCACATTTGAAACTTTATAGCTCCTGTCAAACAAGCCTAATCTACTCACCGCAGCTGCAGTCTTTGATTCACTGTCGTCACCATTTTTCTCAGCTTTCTCTGTTGAAACAAAGCATGTCAACATCAGGGCAAGATAGACATACAACAGTTGTTTGCCAAGTAATGCTTGCTCAATAAATTACCTGGGGTAGCTTCTGAGCCTGCACTTTCTGTCTTGTTCATCTTTGACTCTGGCTCATCAGCGGCTGTAAGTGTCTGCTTTCTCTTCTTCTGGACATCCCGCTGTGGTTTCACCTGCTACAGTAAAAAAAAAAAAATCAATTTGCACTCACAAATGCATTTTTTGACAAAAACTTATGGACAACCAAAACTTATCAAGACATCAATGAACTCTAGACTTCATGCTTGTCAAACCCAATTAGCACATTTGACATGTCTTCCTTCTCTGGGCATTTCCACATCACTAATGTTAGCCTTATCTTAACGCAACAAACAAAAACAAAATTAAAAAAAAAAAAAAAAAAATCCACAAAGTGAAACCATTCAACACCCCCACAGGTAAACAAGACAAAGAATTGGGCAGGGAGAGATGTCACTTGCCTTTACTGTACAAAAAGGGCAGTTCCATTGGGGCATTTCTGACCACATTAAATAAGGGCTGGGCGGAGTTAGAGGGGCAAGTGATGTGTCAAATGTGTCTGGGATGATTTGTGACAAATAGCTTTAAATAGCACATAGCAGGCACTAGCACTTTAGGCTTCACTTGCCAGTTGGTTGAGAATTTAAAAAAAAGGAGGGAATCAGAAAGGGCTTAACTTTTGCCCAGTGTCTGAGGAGGCCTTATTTGGCTGGAGGTACTTACTTTGTTGAGGGGTCTTTTGCGGCCTCGCTGGCGGCCAGCCCGTGGGCCCCCTCCAAAATGCCTCCCAGGAAAGTCGTGAGGCCCTTGAATGGAACCCTGATGGAAGCCCCCACTCTCAGGGTACATGCGGTTGGACAGGAGGGATGGGAGCTTGCCTCTACCACCTCCTGGAGAGTGGCCGCGGTGGGACTGGCCACCACTACCACTTCCCCGCCCACCTCCGCCTAATGGAGTGGGGTCAGACCTGCGGCTTCCAAAACCTCCTCCAGCTCCTCGACCCCCAGCACTTCCACCCCTTCTGGGGGAACGTCGGCCAGCTCCAGCCCATCCTCCACCTCCAGAACCTCCTCCTCCCTGGCCACTGCTGAAGGACTCCCTCATATTCTGTCGCATTTTAGCGACTCCATAGGAAGAGGAGGGGCTGTCAAAGCCTCCTCCTCCCCCTAGCCCAATTCCCCCTCCGAAGCCCGAGCCTCCTCGCTGACCCAACAGCATGTTGTCCCCACGGCCATCGCCATACCCATAGCTACTGCCGCCAGATCTGTAGAGATCTCGGGAGGAGGTGAGAGCGGAGGTGCGCGAGTCGAATGACTCGTACTGGTCATACCTGCGGGAGGGAGGGAGGGAGAGGGTTGATAGAGAAGAGCAGAGAGCAGGGGAGGCAGGGAGGGCAGTCAGGTTTGGATCTCTCCACCTGCTTTTCCTTCTCCTCCATGGTCTCGCTTTCTCCATTTGTTTTCTTGTCACTCCCAGCTTTATTTCAGAAACCACATTAGATCAGAAATGGATGATCCAAAACAAGTTAACACTTCGCTTGTGGTCTTTTAAAATACAGTAATGATTTTTCTCTTCTAAAGTTTACAGAAGCTCATCCAACCACATTCTCTGTTGGAGGTCAAACAGTATCCTGCAGATTAGGGAAAATGCAGTTTCTTAGGCTGTGAAACCTTGAACAGACATAAGCATGGTCCATCTGAACCAGTGATGTCTTGAGACAGGTGTAAGAAGCGAAATATCCTGGGAAGTGACTGTATTATGGTAAATACTGAAGAAAGGGGATGAAACATATACTGGGCTTTTTTTTCCCCGTGAGTGTTTTTGCAGATACAGCAGGCAACCTTCAATTAACAGTTCGGCTTGAAAAGTAATATCAAGCTAACACCTGTAAACTCATCTCTCTTGCATAACCTAAAGCCAGAATACAGGGTTAGGTCACATGGAGGATGAGAGAAACAAAGTGTGTGAACAAATAAAAACAAAGTCAAAACAAAGGCAATGTTCAAGGCGTGCTGGGTAACGATGGACTGGCTTTATGTGCAAGGATCTGTTACAAATGGAAAGGTTGGTCTACAATTCCACCTCCAGTGAGTGGCCATGCATTTTCAAGATGTCTACACAACATTTTCTTCCCAGCAATCAGACAAACCACAACATAGCAAATGGGGAGCAATCGAAGCTTCCTCAGATGCTGAGGCATTCAGATGCAACCTGTGAGCAACTCCCACCATTTTCATCCCTAACCGGAATTGAAGCATACACGTTGGGCTTGTTCGAGATGAGCCAGGCCTGCCCAGAATCTATCACTGGCGAACGCCGCACCATGCATGCCGGTTAGATTTGTGTCCGACTTGATGCCAACTTGCTCTGATGTTGTTCACACACGGGCCAACAATAACCTCACGAGATCGAGGCGTCCACAGTTTTTTAAGCACTTGCTCTCCTCCGACTGCAAGACCCAGGGCATGGCGGAGAACACCTGGCTGACACCTGATCAAAGAACTGATTGGCTCTTAGTTTTGACAAAACCACATTTTCCTTATTTTCTGTGTGATTCTAATATTTCCCTCTAGCTTGCAGGCTGTTTCGTGTCTCAAGTTGTGCAATGAAGGTTTAATTCTTATTCATCATAATCTTGTGTGATTGATAATAATAAAGGTAACTGATATATCCGAATGTGGTCTGCAAACTACAGGTAGAGATGACTTTCTGTATACTCTTTGAAGGCTGGTAGAAACTGTCCAACTTGACTGCAGCTTTATGTCACCGCCCCCTGCTACCGTCTGATCTTGTCGACTTTACAAGCAAAGCGCAGTTCATCTCGAACGAGCCTATTTTCACCAAGATTGAGTGTAAAGTGTAAAGAGTAAATAAATGCCATAGCAGGTTAACACAGCCAAATTTACTCTAGCAACCCGACCAGTATCACAGCTGAGTTTCCAACCACATTGGCATGGTCTTGTTTATTTAACAGAACTGTGCCCAAACTAGGACAATACATGTTTTACATTTAAATTACCAGTAGCATTAGAAGGCCTAAGCATCTTTTTATATCACAGCAAAAATCTGAAACAAGATATTTGCTGAGATACTTGAATCTAAAAACAAGTTAAATTTAACTGGTTGGATAATGTATATGCATGAGGCAACATTCAGAGACAATGTCCTTAACCAACCACATGCCACATTGAGATGCTAGTAAAAATAAATAAATACTTACACTACTGGTAAATGTAATACTTGCACTGGCATGGATGTGTGGTAGTGGACTGATGAAGACAGTATGGAACAGAAAAGGGAAAAAATATTACCTGTCACCTCGGGAGCTTTTCAAACCCCCCTCCAACTGAGTGAGCATGTCCAGGCGTTGATTAATCTTGGCAATGACTGCATCTGCATGTGTGCCGGTGGATGAGAGCAGGGACGATCCTGAAAGACCTCTCTTCATGTGGCCTCCTCCTCCTCCTCCTCCTCCATAGCCCCCGAGCCCAGACATCGAGTCCTTATAACCTCCCCCATACAGGTCAAAGCCACCAGAACCTAATATAGTGAGGGATTAAAAGATGTTAAATATGACCACACTCACCACCGTTACTATATTAATAGATAGTGAAACCACTAGTCATTTAAGAAACATCTGACTGATATATAATATGCTCTGGTTTGTGTAGGAGGAAACCCAGCAATCAGCCATGAAGTGTGGGTGTCCTTGTGTCAGTATGCAGTGCCAGAGTGTATTCACTCATTTCTTCACCTCTGCTGCCTGATCCTCCTCCTCCTCCTCCTCCGCCTCCTCCTCCTCCTCCCCAACTGGAGTAACCTACAAAAGGGATAGAATACATTGGCATTGATGAAGCTGATATTCAAACTTGAAGCGCGCAGACATTTGGTTACCAGTAAGACCATATAGCTGTGTAGTTACTCATCCAGGTACTAATTTGTCAAAAAGAATATAAAAAGATAAATCCACTGGACTTGTAGGTCGATAAACTAACTTAAACCGTGTTCAACTCTTCCAGCAGCCAGTCGTTTTCTTTACATTCTCCTCAATGAATGAACCCTCTAGCTTTATGTTTCGCTGGTTTAACTTATATATAAAAGAAAACGCAGAACAATGTTTGTGAAGCTTTGAAAGCATTTTGTTGAGGCGGCCATTTTATTAACTAGACTTTTAAAAGTGGGTTATTCGCCACACTGACTCCATTTTATTTGAATTGACCGGCTAACTTTGACAAAGCATTTAACACGCCCTGAAACAATGGGGCCTCACAGCCAGCTATGTTAGCATATTAGCAAATAAACAGCCCGTAGGCGCAGTGGCTATGTTTTCTTAATATTAGCTCGCTAGCTAACGGGGCCTGATATTTTCGAGATGAATGTGTTAATCTAACAAATCAGTGACTCGTTACCTCGGCGTACAGGCTACTATTACTAAGCAGTTAGCTGACACTGCTTTGTTTCAGGCTACAGCAGGCTATGGGTTGCGCTGTTGCTATAGCCAACAGCTAATGGTAAAGGTATCTGCACCGCACATGTCAGGGTAAATAACGATATATTTATATTTATATATATATATATTCACATAGCGACGCATGGTAGCCAGTGTGCATTTACCGGAACCGTAGCCTCTGCTGTCCATGGTTGTATTAGTGCGCTGTCCGGGGTATCGACGTGAGCAGCGGTCGCTCCAGCAGCTTGACGCGGGGAGTATCGCTCTTTGAAAGCGGCGATGGATCGACTGCGTGGGGTCCGACGCGACCCAAAAAAAAAAAAATCACGTGACCGCCAAGGCCTCGTTGCGTCACACGTAATTGGTACGTATTCCCACTGACGTATCGAGAGGACGTGAGCTGGAGAGGAGTTTGGTTTCTACTTCTCAAGTATTGCAAGTCTAACAAGGCTGAAGAAGAAGTGTATTTTAAAATGCTGCGTTATGTATATGCTGTTAGTTGTATTATTGCGAAGTTTATAGATGTTGATGATTCTTGTACTTTTTGTAATCTTAATACAGAAACAATTTCACATCTTTTTTTTTATTGTGATGTATCTAAAAGGTTTTTTTTATGCTGCTAACTGTCTACTCTCTTGCCCTTAAAGATGTTATTTGCTACAATGTTGACCCAGAAGATAATGCTCTTGAACACCTGATGAACTTTGTTATCCTATATGCAAAATTCTTTATTCACAAACAAAAATTCGCAAAATCACTACCTAAATGTGCTCCTTTTCTCCTGGAACTGAGCTCTTTGCTTAAATCTCTGATTTTGTTAAATAACCAAAAAAGTAATACCTTACTGAGTCATTATGAAAAGTTTTTCGCTGAAGCCCCTGTTTGAACTATCTATTTTAATTATTATTATTATTATTATTATTATTTTTAAATTTACTCTATCTTTGATTTATTTATTAATTGTATACCTTGTAGTTTTGTACATTTAAATTGTTAAAAAATAACCAGGATATTGGTGATGTCCTGTGATTTTATCTAAGCAGTCAGTTCCAAATATAAATTATGTAAGTTAAAATGAGAAAAACAAAGCTTCCCATTGCACTGAATGGTTCTCTGTCAGCAGTCTTTGTGCATCGTGAGAGCACATAATGAAAGATAAAATAACATGTTCCTTGTATTGATGTTCCAAGCAGCACAGGGGAAATACAGTGCAAATAGTAGACAAAATATAATAATAAAATAAAAGTATAATGTAACTAATATTATTACCTACATGTATTAGTATTAGTTACTCTACTAGTTACTAGGGAAAGTAATATTATTTTACACTGGGTTGCAAAAATGTAGGGAGGGATAGTGGATCAGTCACATAAAGTCAGCACAGTGTGAGTCAGTCTATAAACAACCAATAAGTCCAATCAATGTTTAAAGGATTAGCCTACATTAACTAACTTAAATTACCACCAATGAACTGAATGGAAATTTACCACATTAAAAGTTCCCATCAAAATAACTTTGTCTGATGTATAATTTAAAAAACTTACAAAATGTTTTTGTTTTAGACTCCACAGAAGTTGAGAAGCAATTCATGTCAATTGTTTCATCTAGACTGAAACAAAAACTCCCATAAAACATCTAATACTAGAATGTTCAGTCATACTTCTTTTGTTATGTAAAAGTCAGGTGTGAATGTAATTAACAGCAACACATTTAACACAAAAAACCCACATAAAATAATGAAAATCCAATAGTTGAGTGGTAAATAGGACTTAACTTAAGCTGCAAACTAACATTTTGTGAGTTGACAGTAATGGAGGAAAAAATCTGTTTAAGAAATCAGTTTGTTGTAATTTAGTTTTAATGTAGATATTACAATTAAAATGTCATGGTACAAGACTGTAATACAAGTAAATGGATATGTTGTGTAGGGGAGGAAGGAAGCAAAGAGGCTTGTTCAAAGTTATCCCCAGTACATAGAATAATATGAAATTCAAACTGTAAATATATTACATATATATAACATAACATTATTATTCGACAAACAAGAAAAAAATACTACTAATAAGCAATAACAAGAAAAGTATGCTAGTAAAACATATAAAAAATGTAATCTTTTCATGAACACTGTTATAAAGCAAAGCTGATTTGTTTTTTTAATTCCAGCAGCACAATGCAACAATTTGTTTCCCAGGAAATTAACTAGAGCATCTGACCAACATCAGCATTATTAACACGCATTAGGCCTTCAACAACGGATGTGTGACTTAGACAAGAGCCAACCCACAGTGATTGCTAAGGCGAGAAGCAGATATACGGATAAATGTTCATATCTTTTTGTGTTATCAGGATTGGCTGAATCACGCACTCTGATGTTAGAGGTGCCTTTGCAGTGCTCAAATCTTGTCTTGCCAACTTGAATATAAATGATCAAGACAGACATTTTATCACATATATCTAAGCTGGTATTCACACAGTGTCTTCTTGCTGCGCTGCTGCTGCTTCTGTCTGTGCTGCAGGATTCATGTCCACAAGTGCGAGGCTGTCATACAGGGGGTCCATCTGAAGGGCAGAGAAAGTAGATGACAGAGGGAACACGCACATGAACATACAAAAAAACAGTAATTTCTGGGTCGCAGGTTGTGTACTCACCTGGCCAGTTGACGTTTTGTCACTTGGCTCAGCAGCGGAGGTCAGAGTTTTCTTCTTACTGGACTTTATTCGTCTATATAATACAAATTACTAACATTAAAAAACATACCTATTAAGACAACAAGAAGACTTTAAATACAGGAAATGAATGTACAAAAATGGAAATGTCAGACTTTCAAGTCTTTTACCTCATGATCAGGTAGAGGAGAAATACAGCAAGTGGGGTCACTGACAAAAGAACCAATTTTACTGCATTCAGTTTTCCTATTTCCTTTACAACTGGAGAGAGATTGATATGAGATATAAGTTATAGTAGTAGGTAGCATATTTCAAAACAACAAAACAATAAAAAATAAGACACAAAATAGTATGTTTTAGGTTTTGGCCCTGTACTTAAATCATGATGTCCAAAGTCCTCAAGACGGAAGTGTCTGCTGCTTTTCTTTCCTTATGTAAATGAAGTGTCCTTGGTGGTTGTGTTAGAGTCACAACAAGCTATTATCATGTAACAGATTACTTAAAACCTGAGACATTTTCTTTCAGTTTCAACGGCATAACCCAACAACTATTCAATCAAAACTTAAAGCCATACTCACCATTGACAGTGAGAGTTTCTATGGGGGAGCTGATGTTGTTGTGGGTTTCTACAGCACAGGAGTAGTTTCCTGCATGGTGACACCTGACTGGGTCTAGAACCAGGTGTTTGTTCTGGTTCTCTGGCAGGGTCAGAGGTCGACCATTCAGGTACCAGATGAATTTTATGTCGTCAGTCAGAGGACAGCTGGTACTGCAGGTCAGTGTGACTCTCTGAAACTCTGTCATCACTGCAGCAGGAGTAAACATCACTTCCAGACCTGAAAGATGGTTTTATTAACAAATTAGAGACATTGTTTTAGAGGATGTCTGATATTTCAGAGAACATACAATATGCATTTGATATTTAATAAATGAATAGAAAAAGCAGAATGCAAGGCTCTTATACACATGGCTAAAGGTTCAGGCAAAAGTTTATTTGATATGCTAAAATTTTTATTAATTTAAATGTCAGACAACACTGATCTGAATTTGCCAAAACAACTATGAACTTTATGAATTCAGGGTTAAAGCTACACAATTATATGAAAACTGTAGATTAAAACGTTTTTGGACTCTCTACAGGATCTTGCAAAGTATATAGATTAGTCTGAGGCACAGTTGTTATGGGAATACAAGAAGCATAAACATTTTCATCTGTGATGCAAGTATTATCTGATTAAGCACAAAACAGACGTTTAAGATTCATGAGTACACTCTGCTGACAGCTGTTATTACATGGTGAGGGTGAAAGAAATTCCCTATTAAAAGATATTAAGCTAAAGCACTACCTGTGACAACTAAAGTCACTCCAGCCAACTCAGACTGTTCCAATTGTTGGTTAATTTGCTGGAGTCTGAATGTGTATTCTGCTGAGTCATTCTTCTTCAGGTTATTGATACTCAGGATGTGAGGAATCTTCAAGTTATCATAATACTTCACATCAATCAGCTCATCAGCATCCTCATTACTTCTTTTTTTAATATACCAAGATGTAGACTGTGGCAGCTGGTTTTTGGGATAAGAATATTCACTTGTAATGTCCACTGAAGAGCCTTGTAGAGCACAGATTCTCCTGTTGACATAATTCACACTCCAGCAGTTCTCATCATCAACACCTGGAATACAGATTAAAGAATTTTAGCAACAGCTTCATTTACTTACATAAATCTCAAAGAAAGCTTCAGAAATGACTTCCATTACTGGGATTTCAGGGCGACATAAAGAATGGCCCTAAGAGACCAGATAGTGTCCGCTTGAATTTTTCCATTAGAGCTATTGCATTTTATTGTAAGGGGTTTTATGTCCACCACCCATGGTGTTTAAACAATATAATTTAAGAACAAATGAGCTTTAAAAAATACCATAAAATGGTTTATACTCACAATCTTCACCAGAGTGCAGATCTTCATGGCCTTTTACTGCACAGGAGTAGATCTCAGAATTAGACCGGAAAAGTGTAATATCTTGATTCTCACAGTGACTGTTTAACACTCTGTTCCAGTACCACCTATAGGCAGTATGAGGGTCAGCCATAGGACAGCTGGTGTTACAAGTCAGTATAGTATGGCTCTTCAACTTGGTCTTTTGAACATGTACTTCTGTTGGGAGATGATAAATACACTTTACATCAGTTACTTTGATTTATATAGGGATGAGAGTTAGTTAGCGTGTGTGCATGTGTGTGCGTTTGTAATCGTTTGTGGAAACTTAACCTGTTGGATATGTGATGGAGCAGGGCTCATCCTCTGATGTCTGCTTATAAGAACACATTTTCCCTTTAGCATAGGTCACAGTAAAGCAGGTTGATGTGACAGAATCTGAACAAAAAAAATCCCCAAAACTATTCAGTATTTTGATAATAGTCTGTCATAAGATTTATCAACTTGCATTTTGTCACTCACCCACTGAGACTTCAGGGGCTCTGAGATCCTCGTAGCCTTTGATAGCACAGGAGTATCTGACTGCTTCCTCACTGCTGACCAGCTGTTGGTACCAGGGAGACCAGTCCTGATAGAGGAACTCTCCGTTCTTGTACCAGATGTAGGCTGCAGGGGTTTCAGTCAGAGGACAGCTGGTGCTACACATCAGTGTTACTGTCTGTCCCTCTGTGGCAGGAATCACCTTTACCTGCAGGTCTGAGATGATGGTGAATAAAATAAGAATTAATATACTGATTCCATTCTTAAAGTAATAAATAACTGACAGACACTGTACCTGCAACATGGAGCTTTGTTCCATTGCGCCAGAGTTGTGGTTGGTCAGTATTCTCTCTGCAGCAGTAAAAGTTTGCATCACTCTCTCTCAGATCATTGATTGTTAGAGTGTAGTTACTACCCTCAATCATGTTGTATGTTACACGATTTCCTTTTGGAGACAGCTCATGACTGGAGTCGTTCTGGTGTACAGTGTACCATTTTACCATTGAAGTGGGATGTTCAGCTGAGCAGGGCAGATCCACTGATGAACCTTTTAAGGCACAGATGATGTTTGTTTGTCCCTGAACACCTTTAACAGAAAATGTTATTAGTTGGACAGATTTATACTTGTATATTAACCGTGACAGTATGTTATACAGTAAATTAAGGCAATTTTAGGGCCTTATTCCAGTTGTTTATGTTATAATATAATCTATAATCTTCAAAGCTGATATGCAATGGTGTCTTTAATCTTTGTCTCTTCTTTTTTCCTCTAAGATGTGTTCATTTCTTTCAAATTTTAGTCAGCTTAGTTTTCCACGATTTAACTCCAATGCTTATGTAAAATATAATTAATTTATTTTAATATAATTAATTATATAATTGATTGATAGTTATATAATAACACATATCATTGTCATAGTTAAGCATTAAGGGATAAATAATGAATCATACCTGAGATGTACAGGATGAAACCCATAAACAAACATCCAGCTTCTGCAACCAACATGGCTGCTGTGGTCCTTCACTTTCTAATCAGAAACAGTATTTGTATCAGCCTTTTTGGAAATGGCTATGTTATATAAAAATGATCAAATGTAACTCAGCCATCAAAACTGACATCTTCACAAAGTCAAGGATGAAGAAGACAGAGGGGATTGGTGATCTGTTGTGGACAAACAGCATGTAGCTCTGACGTCAAAATGACTCTTCCTCTTTCAGAGATCAACTGATTCTGAAGTTTAACTGTCTCTGAAAACATTTACTTACTATCTCATTGCCATGTATCTATTTTTTTATTCTATTCCTTTTCTATTCCTTTTCTTACATTTTATTCTCTTGTTGACATTTTCAAAATATTTAACTGTGGCATGAACTGTGTCAATGTTTTGAGTGAGAGAACAGTGATGTGAAGCTGCAAGTGACAAAATGTTTATCTGTGTTTTTGTGGGGCAGAAAAAAGACAGGAGGAAGCTGTGGGTGTTACCTCACTTATCCTTTAATACATAATCTGTTTGCTGTCCTGTTGGTTCTACATCAGTTTAATAAGCTCAATGATATATTTCCTCTGAGAAATACCCCAAGCAGAACAAAACTATTTAGAGAAATTAAAAGTTCTTCTTAATGCAAAGTAGAAACTTATGGTCAAACATATCCACAAACAATACAAATCATCTTAAAATAAGATCAAAGCATCAAAAGAATTCATGCGAATAAGTTTCAAATATTAATATTTGTGACCCATGAGTTAGGGAAAACATGAGAAATGATGAAACACCATGACAACAAATGTGCAAGGCAAAAAAATAAAAGAATAAAGAAATTAATCATTTAACGCTTACTTTTGTTTTGTAAATGTTGCTCAAAATAGAAATTGTTGTAGTTGTAGTTGTTGTAGTTTTTCTATCTTTCCAATTATATACATGTATGGCCTCATTCTTTATGTTCTGAGGACATTTTTAAGAAAAGACCCTCCTGATCTCCTAGTACATCTCCACAGCCGCAACTGCCAAATGTGGACATATTTCCTTTGCGTGCAGCTGTTGCCCTCAGCTGTGGCTTCATATTCACCCACATAGCAGGTACAACACCAACATGTTCCTGTTTGAAGCAGAATTTCACATGCTAAGTCACACTCTTCAATGAAATCAGTATTTTGCTGCTATAGTTTTAAACCAAAGAGTTCATTTCTGGTTTAAAGAGGTTTAAATAAATACAAACACTTATGCATGACAGCAGATTAAAACAAGGTAGAAACTAGACTCATCTTAGAAAACAATATGTGCAGAGGATGAGCAAAAAAGGATTTATGTGAACAAAAGTCTGTTTTACACTCACAAAGCTAAAAATTAAAGTGAACAATAAAACTTGGTGCAGCTGTATCTTTGTTTTCAAAAGCCCAATACTATTTATCACTATTTAAAGTTTCTACTTATTTATTGAAATAACAGACTGCAAAGATTCAAATAACCAAAATTATTGGCTCTACATTACTGGCCCACACACCTTGTCACACTTCCTTGTATCACATAAATTAAAAAATACAAATACATAATTTTACATGATGCATTATCTCATCATAACTTACAATTTAAACATAGTGTTATATATTTTGCAAAAGTCGTAATATCTTAAATGTGTGAAAACAGATACAATCTGTATTGGATGTTACTACATGACTAAATGGGTTGTGGTCTGGAGGCTGTGCAGCTCTTTTAATTACAGCGACTGAGGCATTCAGTGAAAAGTGATGAACTAATGAGATATACACGCATATCCGTGCACAACAGTGTTTCTGATATCAAAGCTGCATCTGGTTGAATTATTTTTTTTTTGGCCACTTGGGAACTGCAGAACAAGCTCGAATGTGTGCTTATTTACTGTATATCCAGCCTTCATGAGCAACATTAACATTCATTTTGAGGCATGTTTGTGTCTGATGTCCACTATGCTCACCAGATAGTCAATAGCATCGTCCTTTCTACTGTTTTATTCTAGGCACATTACACTGGCTTTATCTGAGATTTACTAAATGAAAACAACTGCCTACTATGACAGGAATTGACAAGTATGCTGAGACTGAACCTTACGGTAAAGTTGTGCTGTACAATCAAAACAAGCTTAAATGCTAAAAACTGAAAAAAGAGGAAGATAGCCCCTACAGCAATAATCGGCAATAATCTATTAACTATTATCTTCATCATCATTATGAAAATGTTTGTTTTTATTTAAATACTATCTATAGCTAAAATAAAATAGACAACTGAAAGCGTTCTCTTCCATCCAAATGTACTGCAAATTTGAACCAACTTTCCAGAAAACTGGCAAAAGAAACTACACATTTATAAGTGTCAGCATCCACTAATTTCTTCTAAGAAAGAGAGTGCAGGAATTACTTCACAGGGATGTTATATCTTAGAGATTTTCTCAAAAGTCATTAGAACCTAATTTTAATAAAGGTCAGATATTTTACTCAACCCTTCATTTGTCCAGCTGGAATCCAGCATCCAGTGTTCCTGGTTTAAACATTGCCCCAAACTGGACTAAACTGTGACAATAGGTAATTAATATTCATATATTTCTTTCCCTATATCATACATTAACCATATTGAGCACTATAAGGGGTTCTCCAACAGGGACACTGTGGCCTGTTTGTATTGTTGCTGATTCCACCTGTTAAGTACCCCCTTAATCAAAAAGATAGGTCCACTCACCTTCTCTGTGTCCAGCAAGAGAACAGCTGTATCCCTTTCTCCCTTTTGGTTATATTGAGGATATTGAGAACATGTTTTACATCATGAAACCCTTGTCTTCCCTTGTCTAAACCTATTTTGATTATCCACCAACGTATCCCTCAATGCTTCAATGTACATCCTCTAGTCAATTGACAATGCCAAAATTTTACGGAGGATTTTTGTATCTATATTTATCAGACTTATAGGACGCATATTTTCATATGTAGTGTTAGTTTTACCAGGTTTTGGACATAGGAAATTCAAAGCCTCTCTTATTGGATCTGATAGATAACCATTAATGTAAAGTACATCTAATAAAGATGAGTCATCAGTTTATTTTTATGTGTCTTCTTTGCATGTTTTCTTTTTGTGTGCGGACCCCAGGAAGAGTAGCTGCTAGTTTGGTAGCAGCTCATGGGGACCCAAGAATAAAGAATAAGGAATCAAGTCAATCGGGAGGCTCTGGTCCTGCTGTTTTCTCTGTTTGCACCTAACTTTATCCAGTTTCCTTTTTAACCTATAATCTTGGGAATATTAAGTTTGTCTAGAAATTGGGTAACAACACTAATAGTGTACCCAGATCTATAGAGGTTTTTATAGAAATTCTGAAATGCTGTATTCATTTCCAAGGGATCAGCTGTTGTATTCACCTTTGCATCCATCCATATTGGTAATTGCACTCTCTGTTTGCTGTTGTTTGATGCGCCATGCAATGAGTCTACCAGGCTTTTCTCCTTGATTGTAGTAAATTAGTTTGAGCAATGGTAGAACACCGGCCGTGAGCTTTTTAGCTCAACGGCATTCTGCCAACGGACATCAGGGACCTGACCAGGCACCCCTCCATCCTCACCATCAATTGGGCTCATGTCTCTTGTGGGATACTTTAGAAGTTGTCCTGATGACACCACCGCTATGTTCCTGCCTTTAAACCTCCAAACCATTGAAACAACTAATAATCCAGGAAAACCTCTTTAAATCTCTTAACCAGGGAAACCTGTAATCAACCACTGAAATATGTTATTCAATTTCAATTCAATTTTATTTGCACAGTCTTAACAAAAGTTTACTCAGGACATTTTTCAAATAGAGCAGGTCTACATCATACTCCTTATATTATAAAAAAATATTTCTTTCCTCCACATTTTAAACAAAACAATTAAGCATTTTTAAACAGGCCAGCAGGCCAGCAACCACCATGCACCTACAGGAGACACACAAAGAGCTCAGACGCTCCTGCGGTGGTCCACGACTGAGATGTTTGATGTCGGGAATATTATTTATTTTACTGACATTTTAGACATTTAACATTTTATTGAGAGTTGTTTATTTAGTGACTTCCCTGTGTAAACTATACTGTTGCTGCTCTAGAAAAGTTTTTTCGTTATATTTAATACATAAATAATTTATGATAGACATTTTTCTTGCCTGAGTATAATGTGAAAAACTACAAACTGTGTGTATTTTAAAAATAAATAATGAAATGATAATAGTCTAAAATTATACATATCTATCTGGGAACCATACATACAGGAGATTTTACCCTATTTGACGTTCTACTTGGCTTTGCACAGAAACAGCGGGTATGTATCTCAGAGAAACAAAGTACTGATTCATTTTCCATTGTACAACCATCAACATTTATGCAATATATTACACTGGAAATCTTACTTTAACAAACAAACACGACAACCCCCAATATCCCCTCACACATCAACCCGTTCTCTCTTAACATCTCCTTTCATTGTTTAATAAAAATCCATATAAAGTTTATGTCAATATCAATCATAGGGTTCCCACATGGTCATAATGTTATAGCTATACAGGTATACATTGTTAGTAGTTGCAGCAGTTTTCTTCCAGTTAAAAGCTATCGTTAATTTGGCCTGCAATATAGCAAAATCAATCAGTTTGTTTTCTTTGTAGTCTATAGTGGAATGTTCATTGACAAAATGGTCATAATTTCATAGATCACCTCCCTCCAGAATGTCTTAATTTTGTTGCACTCCCAAATACTGTGTTTAAATATTCACCAAGCTTCACTCTTAAAACCAATATCAGGTATATAACTGTTATTTATATATCATAAATATTAATATTGCATTATTTTTACTGATCACTTGGGCGCAGAAGAAGTCTTAAAATGATCCAACTGACAGTAGGATAATGTTGATTACAGTAAAAGTAAAAACATGTAAATCGAAGACTGTCAAGGTTTTTACCTCATCCACAGGTGGAAGATAAGTAGAGGAATCGGGATCAGCAATGCAACTGCCAGTCTTACTGCATTAATTATTGCCATTGATATCCCTGGAGGTGGAGAAAGATGGATGTAGAATTTGTGTTACTGGCTGCATAGATTTTAAAAGAATACAAAAGGAGAAAGGGGATGTATATTTGTATACGTATGTTTCCTCTTTCTAATTGTAAGGTAATTACTAATGACTTAACTGTTCATTTCAAATTAAAAACCGTGCAAACCTTGAAGAACGAGAGTCTTTTCATATGAGCTGTGGGTTTTGACAGCACAGGAGTATCTTCCTGCATGCTGACTGCTGACTGGGTCTAGAACCAGGTGTTTGTTCTGGTTCTCTGGCAGGGTCAGAGGTCGACTGTTCAGGTACCAGATGTAGTTTGTGTTGTCAGTCAGAGGACAGCTGGTACTGCAGGTCAGTGTGACTCTCTGACCCTCTGTCACCACTGCAGAAGGAGTAAACTTCACTTCCAGACCTGAAAGATGGTTAGATTGCTTACTCTGTGTAAAAGAGGCATTTTATTTGAAGTTTGAAACTTTACTGTGCAGTCAGGAACACATTATACTGTAGTTACTAAGATCTGATGTTAACAAATCTTTTAGTAAAACATACTAGGTAGCAGCTTCTGACAGTCACTTGGGTGGGTTTTGTTGACTATATCTGGGTGTACCTGTCAGTGGTACATGGTGAGCAACACATTCTCTATTAAAATAGTATTATTCTAAAGAACTACCTGTGATAACCAGAGTAACTCCTGGTAAATCTGACTGTTTCCATTCTTTGTCATCCTTCTGGAGTCTGAATGTGTATTCTGCTGAGTCATTCTTCTTCAGGTTATTGATTCTCAGGATGTGGTGATTCTTCATGTAGTCATAATACTCCACATGACCTGCAGCCTTAATCAGCTCTTTAACCTCTTCCTTCCCACTTCTTGTTATTTTAAACCAAGATTTAGACTGTTGCAGCTGGTTGTTGGGATAAGAATATTCACTTGTAATGTTCACTGAAGAGCCTTGTAGAGCACAAATTTTCCTGCTGACGTAATTCACACTCCAACAGTTCTGATCATCAACACCTGCAATATATATGAGCATTTTAAAAGTAGTTGATAGTTGGTTTCAGTATGATCATTAATTACAACAATGACCATGAACTAAGTGAATTTAACAGAAGGGATGAATATTCATTTTACTTTTCCTACCTGCCAAAACCGCCCAGCTCTCGATACCAATATCAGATATTCACTGTAGCTAGCAGATGCACAGATTGTGTTTTTAACGGCATAAAGGTTATAAAATTCAACATTATGATAAATGACTGGATAGCGGGAGGTTGAGAGTGCCTCCCCAACATGTGACGCTGTGCGTATTTTACGCACGAGGCACAGCAGCGTCTTTACTAATTATTTAAATCTCCGGATCTAATTTTAATTAATGCTCTGTGTTCTTCTACACATCCAAAAGGTCACACACACACATACACACACACACACACACACACACACACACACACACAGTCCAGGTCCATACAGAGAACTTGTTTGGAATAAAGAATCCGTCCTGCTGATGAATCCTGAACTTCATTAGAAAAAATATTTCAGAAGCTTAAACGTTTAATTCTGTTTCCTCTGTGCTGTAAAGTTTATAACTACAGTTTCTATTTTTGCTGCTTAAATATTAATAAGAAATTTACTGCGTGCACGGAAACGTTTGTTTGACTGAAAGTATCCTATCTGATCATTACAAAAATCAACTGCGCTGCTGTGGATAATTTAAAAGGCAATTTAGCTTACAGGGACCGGTAGAGGTGGACTGAAATGTCCATGGGTGGGGGGTATCTAAACTGGAGAAAACTATTCGTTCAGGAGGCTGATTTGATGGCGCCAGAGCCCGCAGGTCTCCGCACAAACACACTTTTCATAAGAAAGCTGCTGCTGATGTTGAGCAAATGTTAGCACGTGTTTTATTGCTGGAAATGTGATTATGCAAGTTGGTTCATACTCACAGACTTCAGCAGAGAGCAGACCGTCGTGGTCTTTTACAGCACAGGAGAAGCTTTCGACAAAGGAGCTGGAAACAGGAAACTGTTGAGTCCGGTACCACCGATCGGCAGCTTGGGAGTCAGTCAGAGGACAGCTGGTGCGACAGGTCAGTGTGACAGGGCTCTCTGCGGGAGTCTTTTGAACATATACCTCTGTTGAGAGATGGTTAGAAAATAATACTAAATAAATTTAACAGTAGCTAATTAAAGAGTTAATAAACACAATTCTACTAAAGGCATGATCTGTGATTTTACAAGTTGGTGATTGCTGTGTGAAATAGGGTAAGAAGAGGTGTTTGTAAATGTTTGTGGAGTGTGGGGAGAACCTGTTGGATATGTGATGGAGCAGGATCCATCCTCTGATGTCTGCTTATAAGAACACATTCTCCCTTTAGCATAGGTCACAGTAAAGCAGGTTGATGTGACAGAATCTGGACAAAAACAGAAATATGAAACATTATTTAGACTGGTGTACACAGTCACAGTACTTCATGAGCTTTATAATTTAAGGTTCCAGTTCCTTATAACAAAAACCTTCTTGATAGTATGAAGGGGTTTTCTCCCATGATAACAAGCTGAATGTTGTCACTCACCCACTGAGACTTCAGGGGCTCTGAGATCCTCGTAGCCTTTGATAGCACAGGAGTATCTGACTGCTTCCTCACTGCTGACCAGCTGTTGGTACCAGGGAGACCAGTCCTGATAGAGAAACTCTCTGTTCTTGTACCAGATGTAGGCTGCAGGGGTTTCAGTCAGAGGACAGCTGGTGCTACACATCAGTGTTACTGTCTGTCCCTCTGTGGCAGGAATCACCTTTACCTGCAGGTCTGGATAATTGAGTACAAAATTAGATTTCATATAAGGATATGACTCTTGAAGTAATAAACTACTAGCAGCCACTGTACCTGTAACGTAGAGTTGAATTCTCCAGGAATTTTTCATTTTGACTGCATTCTCTTTCCATCACTCTCTCTCAGATCATTGATTGTTAGAGTTGGATGACTCCCCTTAGACATGTACAGTACATGATTTCCATCTACAGAGAGTTCATTCTGAACATTCTTATATCCATCCCAGAGTACAGTGTACCATTTCATGCGTGAAGTGGGATGTTCAGCTGAGCAGGGCAGATCCACTGATGAACCTTTTAAGGCACAGATGCTGTTTGCTCGTCTCCAAAGACCTTCACCAGCTAACATTGGGACAAATATATGGCTTTTAATCAGTGAATAATGATATACATGAATGGATTCTATCTATCTAGTTATTTTTCAGCAGGCGAGCTGATAATCTGGCGAGTTAACATAGTAACATTATAACTCAAGCACTTAACTAAAAAAGTGATCACTTTACAATTCATCATTCATTAGTAAGTATTTGTAATGAAAGTGAACAATCATTAATACCTGAGATGTACAGGATGAATCCCATGAACACGCATCCAACTTCTGCCAACAACATGGCTGTCTGTAGTCAATCGGCTTCTAATCAGATCACAAATGTATAAATATATTCCTCTAAATTATAACCTCTGCAGCAGTCTGAAGCTGGCTGAAGGCTGAAGAGGACACAATGGGCTCTTGATCAGTGGAGGCTCACACAGCATGCAGCTCTGAACACTTCCTTCCTCTTGATGTAATTATTATTCTTAGTACCAAGAAGCTATGCAACATGCAGCGATCTCAACAGCAATACGTGTTCACCAAAAAGGTGTTAAACTGAGAAATGTGAAGGTGTCAATGATCTAAGTGGTATCTGCGGATGGTTTGTTGTTGAAAGGCGCTAAACCTGAGAAGACAAAGCCACACCTCAACCTCCACTGACCTTTTGTTCATGTATCACAAAAATGTATTCATATTGATGTCATGGTATATTTTGTAAACTATTCAAACATCATGCTAAAAGGCAGAGAAACATTTGTTCCAATGAGTCATTTGAGGGATTGCCATGAAATTTGGTCCAGACATTCAAAGTCCCCAGAGGATGAAGCCTGCCACCAGCAGCTCTAAATGTTCAACTTTCCAGTGAAATGTCTAAAAGATGTCTTTGGCATAACATCAAAACTGTTATTTCTACACATTATGTTGATAACTTTTTGAATGTATTAAACTAATATTCTTACATTATAAATCTTAAACATCTACTTGTTTTATTCCCACAAAGGTTTGTTCACACATATACAGCCATAACATTATGAGCACTGACAGGTGAAGTGAATAACACTGATTATCTGGTTATCATGGCTCCTGTCAGTGGGTGGGATATATTAAGCAGCTAGTGAACAATTTCTCACAGTTGATGTGTTAGAAGCAGGAAAAATGGGCAGCATGAGGATTTTAGCGACTTTGACAAGGGCCAAATTGTGATGGCTAGACGACTGGGTCAGAGCATCTCCAAAACTGCAGCTCCTGTGGGGTGTTCCCGGTCTGCAGTGGTTAGTACCTATCAAAAGTGGTCCAAGGAAGGCCAACAGAAGAGCTACTGTAGCTCAAATTGCTGAAAAAGTGAATACTGGTTATGACAGAAAAGGTGTCAGAACACACAGTGCATCAGAGTTTGTTCCGTATGGGGCTGCATAACATTATGAGCACCAGGCTGCCCAGGTGGTCATAAGGATATGGCTGATCGGTGTATGTTCCCCTTGTGATGATAACTTTATTTTATCTAGTGCCATTATCAGGGTAAAATATGTCCATTAGTTTTACTAAGAATCTATTAACTGTATTTTTGCTGTTGAATTTCAATATAGCCTATTGTATTGGCTCTTCAGACAACAAAACCGTCAATACTTTAGTTTATAACCAAATACCTGTAAAAGTAATGAAATTCCAACAACATAGGCCTTTTGGCAGACAGACAGACATTTTTAATCAGAGCAGTAATTTCATCTCATCAGCTCTTGAATGCTGTCAAGTGTGTTAAAAACAACATACAACTATATAATGAAATATAAAAACAGGCATTTTTGTTCATGCATGAAAAGAACAGTAGTAGAACACATGCATGAGTTCCTCAACTTAAACTTTCCTGGTCTGAGATTGAAGGCTAAAAAAAGATAGTTAGTGGGCATCTGAACAAGATAGTTACACACTCTGTGCCTGTTAGGCCTGTGTCCCACGACACTCTCCAGGGTGCTGATCCTTTGGCTGGGAGCGGCTTACAGCAGGCGAGCACTCACATTCAACCAATAACTGTGTCTAATCATTGACTTCAACTGTACACATACATACTGTATATACTCCCTGTTGGTGTTTCCATGGTTGCTGATTCTGAAGGTCAGCTTTCATGCCACAGTTATCTTCCCTATATTATTTTCAGTGTCATTGTTTGACACACTCAAAGTTTGAGTAGTTAGATAGCCTTGTTGGCTGTCATGTTTTTTTTTTGCCAAGGACTTCACTGCATTCTTAAAGATCTCCTCCACACATATATACAACTAGTCTGCGTATAAAACAATGTGGGTCAGATCTTAAAAAGGCATGTACTCCTTCTGCCTCATTATAAATTCCTGAATCTATATACCAAATCTGTAAATTAAATATTAAGTTTTCCTGCTGGACACCAGATGTTTCCCACTTCACTGTAAAGTCCATTTTCAGTGTATGTGCACTTGTGGCTTCAAGTTTCTAAATCACTCTTATATAAGTTGCAAACTTGGCCAAGATTGACTTCGAAACCATGACCATAGGCCCTGGCCTGCCCCTTAAAACCAGATTTTCAGTGAGCACAGAGAAACTTTCCACTTTCAGCAGATGAATGTGAAAACATCCTTCTAGAGTCAAACTCTGCACATACATCATTCTGCAGTGAAGCCTAAAACACTCAGCTGTAGGAACAAGAGGAAAAACATATTTTTGAGTGGAGGGGAGCTTTAATCTTGGCAGACACTGTACAGATTATGCTTGTGTGGGTTCTATAGCAGCCTAAAAGGCCACAAAATGAGAACATACCAATTGTTCTGTTGAACAGTTTGCCATCCAGCCTGAAACCCTTTTTTCCCCCACCTTCACTGCTTCTGTAGTTACTGCACTCTGCCTTTGGATGGCAGCGTAGTGTCAGCATGAAGCTCACAGGTTCTGGTTGTGCAGAAAAACCAATTAAAAGACGGAGTGTGAGTAAACACAATGGATAAGATCAATAAAAACAGGTAATTTCTGTGCAGCTTCACAAAGACCAATGATCAACCATGAACTTGCTCAAATAATACCAGTAATACTTCAATAATAATGATTATAGTTTTTTATTTGAGTACAAAAGATTTTTTAAAACATCTTTATTACAGTGTAAAAATTACTACAAACCTTACAATGACACATTTAAGCCGTGTTAATATGTTTTAGCCACTCTGGAAAAGAAGAAATGCACAACAAACTGACAAAGTCAAAGCCCTGACTTACTATCAAACCCAATATATCCATCAAACTAATATTAATAATGTTATATTAATGTTTTCAATTGGATCCCATAGTATAGGATTTCAAAAGTACAACTAAATACATATGCTGTTGTTGCAATAGCTTTGACTTAAGAGAAATTATACCTAAATGATAAAGACAGGCATTTTTTTCCACACGGTGCGCAGTGTCGGCGTAGATACATAACCAGATGGGACACAGTGTCTTCCTACTGTTTGCTGGTTCTCTCTGTGCTGAAGGATTCACTGAGATGTTCTCACACTGCGAGTCCACCTGCAGGACAGTTAAAACAGAGTTGACTGAGGGGAATACAAGATTAAGTAAAAATAGAAACACATAAAAATAGAAGAGTCCTTTACCTCAGCCACATGTGGAACAAAAGTAGTGGAATTGGGATCAGTAATATACCTGCCAGTCTTATTGCATTGATCATTGCCATTGGTGTCCCTAGAGCCAGAGAGAGATGGATGTAAGATTTGTGGTACTGGTTGGAAACAAACTTTAAAATAATATGGTGACAGAGTGTTGTATATGTGCTATTTCCATTTACAATGTCTGAGTTACAATTGCAAAAGTGCTTCTAATACCTACAAACTGTTCAGTTTGAATTAACACCCATGCAAACCTTTAACAGTGAGAGTCTTTTCATTTGAGCTGATGTTGTTGACAGCACAGGAGTAGTTTCCCGCATGCTGACTGCTGACTGGTTGTAGAACCAGGTGTTTGTTCTGGTTCTCTGGCAGGGTCAGAGGTCGACTGTTCAGGTACCAGATGTAGTTTGTGTTGTCAGTCAGAGGACAGCTGGTACTGCAGGTCAGTGTGACTCTCTGACCCTCTGTCACCACTGCAGAAGGAGTAAACTTCACTTCCAGACCTGAAAGATAGATAGAAAGTTAGATTGGTCAGTAAATGTAGAAGAGACATGTTTATCTTTGAAACTTGACTGTGCCAACTGGATAAACAGTCCTTTAGAAGAAGAAACCTTTTAGAGAGTAAAAAAGATACATTGATCTGCTCAGAATGTGAGCCATAAAGGAAAGATTCAAAAGATGAACTCCTACATAACTGGTTGGATTTTGATGTACACAGGCAGCCTTATAACGCTTGAACTGGCTCCTGTTCATGTTCAGCTGTTTTGAGTGGAGTTGAAGCAAAAAACAAACCACAAAACTAAGCAGGAAAACACTATAATAGATTCATCAAAATGTGTCTGGACAAAGCTACTGTGTTTGACAAAGTATTGCATTAATTAGCACATTAAGTCTGAACCAGCCTTTCAACCGCAGTGTACGGACAGAGTGTAGTTTGCTGACTGCTGCTAGTATGTGATGAGAGAGCGACAAATTCTGAAAGATATTCAGGTATTAAACCTAAAAAATTACCTGTGACAACCAAAGTCACTCCAGGAGAATCAGACCATGTCCATTTTTCATCACGTAGAAATATGTATTCTGCTGAGTCATTCTTCTGCAGGGTGTTGATTCTCAGGATGTGGCTGCCATGCATGTTGTCATGATACTCCAGATGACTTGCATTCCCTGTCAACTTCTCAGCATCATCTTCACCACTTCTCTTAAATTTATACCAAAATATATGGTTTTTGTTGATTCTTGGACTGGATATATTTACTGGGTATTTTCTGGAAATGTTAACTGAAGAGCCTTCCACAGCACAGATTCGTCTACTGGCATAATTCCCACTCCAGCAGGCGCCATCTATGCTACCTGAAATAAAGATCAGACAGCAAAACACGCTCCATAAAGCAGCAGATTCAGGTGATGATTCTCTGTAGGGTCATCATTACATTACTTTAAGTTTATTTAAAAAATAGCTAACCTAGACAACTTTAATTCTATTGCAGACATAAACCCTGAAAATAGTTAGAACATCACTCTGTAAGTAGCAAAAGTGAAATGGGCAAAAACTGATAAAACATTAATTGGATCTACAGAGAAGCTTAAATATAGTTAGCAACATATTCATATCTACCCCTTACTGTTTATTCTATTAAGTACCTCTATAAAATATGAGCTCTGCACTTGCTTTTTGCACTTCTGCTTAACTGCATTTCATTGTCTCAGTACATGTTCTCTGTTTAATGACAATAAAGGTATTTTTTAATTTTTTAAATTTATTTCTTAAAGGTATGTTAGGGCATTTCTTTCTTAATTGTTTCTCATTGTATATTTTTGCTGATAAGAATTAGAGATTTTAAGATTTGTAAAATTTTGAATTCAATACATTTTAGCATTGTATAGCATTGTAGAGTATTTTGACGCAATTACTTAAAATCTGCACTAATCAATGTTCTGCATGTTTCTGTTTGGTGATAAAACTGTAATAAATGTTGGTAAATCACAAATAAATACTCCTTCTCACTGGCCATCTCTTTCTAATAAGCAATCAGACCAGCTGTCATATAGTGAGTCAATAATAAGAAGTTACAAGAGACTGACATTCTAATTAATCATAAATCATATCTGCAGTTATTGAAGCTTAGAAGTTAGAAGCTTTAAACCCTTTAGTTTTAGGTGTTTCTGTTGTTTCCCTGTGATGATCAAACATTATTATTTCCTTTCTATGGCCACTTGATGCAAATGTCCCTTAGTTATAATAGACCATTAAAGCTCATTTATACTCACAGACTTCAGCAGTGTGCAGTTCCTCGTAGCCTTTTATAGCACAGGAGAAAACATCGTACGAAATGAACAATGTAGGAACTGTTAAGTTTTGACTCTCAGAGAATCTATAAAGGCGTTTTCTCCAGTACCACCTATAGGCAGTTTGAGGGTCAGTCAGAGGACAGCTGGGCGTACAGGTCAGTCTGATAGAGTCTGCATCTACTCTAGTCCTTTGAACATGTACTTCTGTTAGGAGATGATAAATACACTTCAGTTACTGTGCCATGTTATATTAGTTAATAAAAATGTTTTTAAATTATTATTCAAATGAATTATTTGATTATTACTGACTGTAAGAAATAATTTGTGAAAGTGCTGCCACTGTCAGTAACAAGGTAAAGTTAGGTATTGTTCCTTTTTTAAAAAGGTGTGTGTGGTACGGTATGTACTGAGACATCCAGTGACTGTCAAAGCTCCACATACCCACGACACAGTTAGTTGCCTCTACAGTTCTAGCAGAATTTGAGGGTGTAGTTACCCTTTAAAGGGTGTGCAGGTGGGAAATGTGTGTGTATGTTTGGGGAAATCTAACCTGTTGGATATGTGATGGAGCAGGACCCATCCTCTGATGTCTGCTTATAAGAACACATTCTCCCTTTAGCATAGGTCACAGTAAAGCAGGTTGATGTGACAGAATCTGGACAAAAAGAAATGACATTCAGTATTTTAATAATAAAGGTATTCACAGTATATCATAGCTTTACAATTTAATGTTGCAATGAGTTATTAAAGGGCAACTTAATACCTCCTGAAAATCTTGTTTTTGCTGACCTGCAGTGGTTTAACTTCTCACCTTGCTGTAGAGATGTACAGGTGTACCCCAGGACACTGTGACATCACTGCTGAGTGATAAGTTGTGCTATGTACAGTATATATGATTGTGGGATTGTTGTATCAAGATAGACGATAAAAAATTATAATGTATCTTCTAAGATTTATCTAAAATCTACAACTTAAAGAGCATATTTAGCTTGATGTTACATCACATAATAACCATTGTCACTCACCCACTGAGACTTCAGGGGCTCTGAGATCCTCGTAGCCTTTGATAGCACAGGAGTATCTGACTGCTTCCTCACTGCTGACCAGCTGTTGGTACCAGGGAGACCAGTCCTCATAGAGAAACTCTCCGTTCTTGTACCAGATGTAGGCTGCAGGGGTTTCAGTCAGAGGACAGCTGGTGCTACACATCAGTGTTACTGTCTGTCCCTCTGTGGCAGGAATCACCTTTACCTGCAGGTCTGAGGTAATGGTGAATAAAAGAAGAGTTAATATACTGATGCCATTCCAAAACCAATAAATTACAGCCTGTCACTGTACCTGTAACGTTAAGCTCTACTCTATGGCTCCAGCAGTGTGCTGCTTTGTCAGTTATATTTCCGCAGCAGTAAAAATTTGAATCACTCTCTCTTAGATCATTCATCGTTACAGTGGCTTTACGCTTTCCAGCAATGTAAGTTGCAGAATTTCCATCTCCAGACAAGTCAGTCACAACAAACGTGGAGCCATCCCAGTGTACGGTGTACAAGTTTATGCTTGCACTGGGATGTTCAGTTGAGCAGGGCAGATCCACTGATGAACCATTTAAGGCACAGATGCGGTGTACTCGACCCTGAACACCTTTGACAAAAGATTTTATTAACAAACATCTGCACAGATTTATACACTCATAAAATAAGAAAAAAATAAAATTACAAACTAATATTGATGACTAGAGATATATTGCAAACAATTTGTGTGACTACCTTGAGAGCTGACTAAATTTACTTTGATTTGCAGATTAATTATATTTTCATTCATTCAAACATGACTGCCTTTTAGCATCGGCATAGCATTATCATGGTGAGCATGTTGGCTCATGGTGCCAATAGCATGCTGACATTGGCAGAGGACATTATACAATTGTTTTCACAGGATGAGTAGTCCTCCTTGGGATTAAGTAATGTGACCTAGACGTCATCTATCATACATAGAGTATTATATTAACAAATTAGGAGGCTATAAAAAGGGATAAACAATCAGTCATACCTGATATGTACAGGATGACACCCGTAAACAAACACGCAGCTTCTGCCAATAACATGGTTGTTGTAGTCTCTAAACTTATAATCAGAAAAAAATGAATATGTTAATATTGAATAATAAATATTGAGCATTTGTATGTCTTCACAATGATATTCATGCAAATAAAAAATAAATATACCAGTCAAAACAGCTGTGTTTTTACAGTATAAAAGCTGAAGGGGAAAGAATGGACTGTTGGTCAGTTGAACAATCAGGAATTACTTTGATACAGACACTTTCTCTCTATAATATTCTTTTTCACATTTTCATTCAACTTTCTAAAATATTGAATGAAGTGTTAACTGTGGTTTGTTTGTGATGGAAACAAACTGAGGAGGAAGCTGTGGACACAACCTCAATGACTTTATAAACTAACATGTTGGTCCCACATTTGTTCATATTAATGCAGCACAGCAATATCCCACTGTTATATTTGTTAAAAAAAATGTTTCAGTCCATATGTTTATGTTAAATTCTTCAAAGTCTTATTGAAAAAGAAATCATGATAAAATAATTATACAATATAAACAAATAAAATGAAATCAGTCACAAGAATTTGCATCCGTGTGTAACTATAAAGAAAAATATAAGAAAATATATATGGAATTAAGAGAAACTATTAAATGCTCTTAGAATTAACAAATAACAGCAAAACAATGAACAAAAACTACTACTCACTCACTTTTCCAAATGTTCGTGTGAAACTGATTCCTGACTTACATTCTTACTTATATTCTTATAATACTTAGATAACACCCAGAAGTATTTAGAAACCCCCCCTACTTGATGTCCTACCCTTCCAGACCCTCCCCATTATTACCAAATGTGGATGTGAAACTCTTGCCAGTGCTCTTAACTTACATATCAGCAAATACGTCAAATTCAATCAACTTCCTATCTAACATTTAAGCTGCTCATGGATGTGGTTGACATGTGTTACGCAATACTTTTTAGAATTCTGCTAAAGAGAGAGAGAGTTATAAGAAATGAACCACAATATTTGAATGTGACATTTTTTTGTTTACTGTAATCACTTGGTTGCAATCTGCGAAGCCACCAAACCACACACTAAATATAAAAAAACAAAACATGAGAAATACTTCTGAATACACATCTAATTAACTGATAACAAACAGTAGAAAACACGAATCACTAAATCACCCGCTTAAGTAAAAGCACGAGAATCAACGATAGTTCCCACAGCAACTATCAGAGGAAATGTTTCCAATTTATCTTCCAAATATGGACATACAAGGTTTCACTTCCTTACTGTTAGCTCCTGATTCACTGTATCAGCAAAAGCATCTTTACTGAGTTTTGTACAGAGTTCAGACATCGACCTGCAGTTCACACTGTAGCTACACATGAATGTGGTCAACATGTGTATCACCAGTCTCCATTTGCCAGCCACCAGGATGTCTCTTTAGATTATGGACCACCTATTTTTATGGTCAAAATATAATTTTATGAAGAGACTGTTAGGACTCATTTAAGTCTCTCTCAACAGTGTCATCTTACTTGTCCAGCCAGACTAATGGAGAGAGAAGTTGATAAAAATATTTGAACAGTTATCCGAGCTGAAGCCGTGCAGGGATTGCCTTGCTGACTTATTTCGCCCTCACAGCCTCAGGCTACTTACAGGGTGCGCTACCTTATTGGTGAAAGTTTTTGGGGCTGTATGCAACCTGAAAGAGATACCTGCAGACATTACCCAGGGCACAATATACTGCTAACTTCTCTTTTTGTATACTAACGGATGGAAAGTACTGCATTTTTAGCTGCTAGATGTTCCAATATGTTCACTAGCTGTAGTTACTAACTGTGTCTATCTGCTGTTTGCTGCTGAGCAGGTGTGCAGTGGGTTTGTAGAGATTTTTTGCTTATTATAATCATATCAAACAGCCAGTTTAAATCATTAGTATATTTAAGCGTACTATATCTATTTACATGTTGCCTTTTATCAATTTTTTTTTTTGTCTAGATGGGTCTGGAGTCTGTATTGGCAGTGATAAACATCATTTTCATCACAAAGCTGTCAAAATTACCAGTAAGAGCAGAGAGATCTGAGGCTGTGTATTTTGTAAAAAAAATAAAAAATAAAAAACAGCACAAAACAGAGCAATGTGTATTTTTTACGGTTTGTTCTACAGTGAGCAGTTTGCTAGTATTAGATTACCTGGCTTGTCCAAAGATACTTTATTCTTCTTCTGATGCTACACAATGTCATGGTTAATTTAATGATATAAACTCATCTGATTATATTGGATTGGCAGTTTAAGTTGATCTTACTTTGTTGTTCACATACTGTATCAGATTTAGAGCCATTTCTGAATTTATAAACACGAGTTTAAGTTTTGGAGCTTGAAAGGACGTCCACTTTATTCCCTTAACTCATAAAATGTAGTTGCTTAGAAACACTGTTTGCTTGTTACTTCCAGCATGGATTGTGTTTGTGTTTCAAATTCTCCACAAAGCTTTATTTTTTTATGATTACAACTCAATTCATAATTATAACAGGCTCTGTCAATTTGACTTAACAGTTATTGGCTGAACAAACCCTCAGTACAAGCTCAAAGAGTTGAAGAAATGCTGTGTTAACTCATATTTGGTTTGTTGCAACTGAAGGGGTTTTTTTTTTCAGTGTGGATCATCATTACTGAGTAAACTTGTGAATTCTCTCTTAAAACCACTAGAGGAAGACAGTGTACATTGTTAGACTGCAGAAGGACCAAATGCAATTCAATCCCATCAGAGGTGCACACAGTCAGGTTATTCTCTATGTATCTATTTTTCTCTGACATTTTAAAATCCAACCCTATACCCCTCTCTTGTGATCACCATTTTTGTGATGGGAGTACTTGTTTTGTACCAGTTGACTATGTGATGATATGCAATAAAAAAAAGGCACAGTACAGCAAAAACAGAAGTGCTGCAAAAAAGTTGTTGTTGATACTTTATTTAAAATTGTTACTGCACCTGGTTCTATAAAATAGTAAGCATTTCATTGGTAGGCCTATAGGAGGCATGCATATTGTAAGAACAACACAGCAGACTGTCGTGAGAGTCAACAGCTGGCGGAGGAAGTTGGATCTCTTCTCTGGCATTTCTCTCTCTCTCTCTCTCTCTCTCTCTCTCTCTCTCCCTCTCTCTCCCAATGTCTCTCCACCCCCCACCCCTCCTTCTCTCTCCCACTCAGACAGCCTCTTCCCTCCTCGCCGCCGCTGGAAGCTCAGTTGACCAGCGTCGCAACTGGGCGATGCGCCTCCTGGAGAGCCTCTCTACCTTTTTGCAGCGGATTTGACATTCACATCGCAGCTTACATCCTGACATCTGAATGACATTTAGTTTACCCCCCCTCCCCCCACCCCAAACACTTCCTCGGCGATTTCTTTAGCTCACGTCACTCTAAATTTGAGAGAAAACTAGTCACAGGACAAGGTTTAAGGTTGCATATCTGAAAACTGAGCACTCGCCACATCTTTTTCCTCCTGAACGATCCCCTTGTGGGTGGATTTGCTTTCAAAATACCGATTTCCAGCCAGAGACAACTGATAACTTAATCGAAGATGGTACGGGAAACGCCGGACAAACTCGCTTGATTTTGGTCATTTGTGTCCTCAGTTTGTGTCTTTTGGAGGCTCGAAAGCATCTTCAGACAGACTACCAGTAGCAGAGGAGGCTGTTTCGCTGTCTACGGGCTGTTGTAAGGTAAATCCAAACGAGATTCAGCTGCTGTCTTGTCTTTTTTATACTAACACAAACCTCAATCGCTTGATGTTCCTCTGTTACTGGTTTAAAATGTCTGTGCTGACCAATATTGGTCACAATTATATTTTTATGGGGACAAAGAAAATGGGGACAACTAATTTAAACCTTTATTAAACATCATAGCCTTGGATATACAGTGTGAAGCACAAAAATGCTGTAATCAGTGTACAAATTAAGTCCATATCCACTAAAAGTAAATGTAGTTTTAAACATCTAATTTCAATAATTTAATCATCTCACATTTCAAAAGTATTACATTCTCCTCCTCATCTACAGCTCTTTACCAAAACGAAGCTCCTCAAGGTTCTGTCCTGGGCCCTTGTATAAACCTGATGTAAATACAAAAGGCTCACATTTTTTTCTTATTGGTATTGGCCCAGCAGGTGGAAGAAGAGTGTATGTGTCCCATTAATCTCAATAAATAATTGATTTTTTAGTAAAAAAAAGAAAAAGATCAGGAATAATTTTAATAACTGATTAATAGTTTGTAAGTGATTTCTAATACAAAATATTTGCTGGTTCCAGCTTCTAAAATGTGAAGATTTTCTGCTTTTATTTCTCTTATGCGATACTAAATTGAAGATCTTTGAGTTGTGAACTAATTCCAGGCAAAATAATTCCTTTGACAATGTCACCTTGCATTTTGGGCAATTTATTTTTTTACATTTTATGGACAAATTGATTAATGATAAAAAAAAAATAATCGACTGATTAATTGATAATAAGAAATAATCACTAGTCGCAGCCGATGTTGCATTCTCTTCCTCTAGCTCATCTTAGATATGGAGCTCCTCAAGGGTCTACCCTGGGCCCTCTGTTGTTGTTCTTGTATGTACTCCTGCTTGGGAAAAACACAACTGATAAATTGATGACACAAACATAAACATACACCAGTCATTTGCAGACTTGATTACATATTGGAATATTGATTTTGAGCACATGAAAGTCATACATATAAGAACATGACAGCATTATTAGTTGATTCATATGGTTTAAAGCCTATATGTTCATTCACAAAGCAGGAAGGAGTTTGAGAGAATTTAAAGTCTATGTTAATGAGAAGCACCTACACACACCTAAAAGTGTGGTAAACCCACGTGTAAGTTTAAACCCTTCAGTTTACACATAGACAAGCACACACTCCTGCGTACACCCCCACTATAAAAACTCCCAAGTTAAACAGTGTGGAGACGAGACCTTTACTTCCCCTTTTCTTTCCTCCCAGCAGTTTGGTTCATCAAATCCCACAAGTCCTCCACCCCCATGACACCACTGCCCATCACCGATCATTACTCCTCATCCTCCCTAAAAGATGAGTGTGTCTCCCGTTAGAAAAACACCTCCTAACTCCAGCTGTGCTGATTTCCATGCTTTTACTTAAGCTGAAACTCTGGGGTCCCAACAGGCAGGGCAGGTTTAGGGAGTGATTCATGGGTGTGCCAGCTCCACTTGAGCCCCTTCTTTAGTTTTCTGAGACGCATCATGGTGGTCTGTGTGAAGACTTTTTGAGAAGGGAGTTTTTTTGTATGACGGCAGCAGTGTGCAGGTTGCAGGCTCGTTGCATCATGCTGTTTTCTAAAGGTTGGACAGACGCTCATGGATGGATTTTAAAAAAGGCTCAGAGCCAAGCAAGCTCCTTTCCTGTTGTTGTTGGGTGCGTCTGCCTTACAGCCCACTTCCACCCACACTGTCTGCTGCAGGGTGGGAGTGTTGCTCATACATATGGCATATGTGTGTGTGTGTGTGTGTGTGTGTGTGTGTGTGTGTGTGTGTGTCTGTGTGTGTGTCTGTCTGTGTGTCTGTGTGTGTGTGTGTGTGAGTGTTATAATAGGTGTATGTCGAAAGGAAGGATAGAAGGTAGGAAGCTAGCAAAGAATAATAGGAAAATTAAATAAGAATGTAATGAAAGGACTAAGAAGAAATAATACAAGACAAAATAATGTTACAATTAAGTTAGGGAAGGAAGAAAATGGAGTAAGTAAAGTAAAAAGAGAAGGAAGAAAACAATGGAAGAAAGAAGGAATGGCGGAAGGAAGGAGTAAAACAGAGAAAGTGAGGGAAATAAGAATAGTAAAAGTAAAGAGAAATGTTAAAAGTAAGAAATAGGCGAAGGAAACAAGGCTAAAAAACAAAGAGAGAAAGAAAGCAAAATAAAAGTTAAGGAAGAAAGTGAATTAGGAAAATAGGCAGAAGGAATGAACCAAACGAAGAATGACTGAAGGAAGGATTAAATAAGGCATGGAAGTAATACAGGAAAATGAAGTGAAGGAAACAAAGTGGAGAAAGCAAAGAATACAGTTATGGAAGCCAACAATGCCAGAAAGAAAGGAATGAAAAATGAAAAAAAGGAAGGAAACAATAGTAGCAAGAACGAATGAAGGACAGAAAATATAGCAGACTGAAGTACAGTAGGAACAACAGAAGACAGGAAGAAAGAAAGAAGGAAGAGAAGGAATGAAAAAGGAGGAAGGAAAGAAGTGAGAAAGGTAAAATAAACAAAACGACATAGCCAAAGAAAGGAGGGAGGGAAGGAAGAAAGAATGTGAAGTAAGTAAATAAAAGGCCAATGAAATAAGTCATAAGTGAAGGAAATAAAGAAAGACCCAACCCAAACTGATAGTTAAACAGGGAGACCTGTGGTGACTCCTCCATCCCTCTCCTCCTCCTCGTACCTCCAGCCCTCCCGTGCTCCCCAACATGGGACCCCCCACCGAAGCCCCCTGTGTGGCTGCTGGCCTCGGCCCTCTGTTGTCTCCATACTTTGCCTGCTGTTTGCACATGATGGGTTCAGCGGGTTCAGCTCAGCTATAAAAGCACCACTCCCCCATTTTCTCCCCTGGAGCAGGGGCAGGAGTTAGCAGGCCTCATATGGGAGGAAAGGGGGTGGGAGGAGGTGGCGGAGGAGGAGGCCTCCCCTGGTTCTCCTCTTTTACATAACTCTTTTTGACTTTATTTTCTCCTCTCCTCTCCCTTGGCTCGTTGGCTGGTTGTGGTATCGTTCTTGAGCCCAGCCCTGGACCAGACATTCATTTTTCTCCTCTTAGTTTCTAACCACTAACTAACCACTGGCTCCCTGCATCTCCCCCCTCCTTCTCCCCTCCTCCTCCCCTCCATCGTAGGAATGTCGTATTCACCTCCTCTCTCTGTCTTCCCACTCTGATTCTTACATGCTAAAAGCTTACATGCATCCGTGCCAACATCTGCAAATAAACAGACAAATGTACACACATGCTTTGAGCACACGTAGCTTCGCCAGCGTGCTCACACAATTCAGTAAACACACGTGCACGCACACACACACACACACACACACACACACACACACACACACACGCACACACACACACACATTTTGACATGCAAAAGGTCCCCTGTCAGTATGTGCCGACCACCTGTGAGGGTACACACACATCCATAAACCTCCCTTTCTTCTCCCTCTCTTTTCCATTATCCTCCTGAGAGCCCAGCGCCGGGGCCTTTACTTCCAAACCAAACATAGACCAAATTCCGCAAACCCCACCCCGACACCCCCCTCCATCACTCCCCCTCTTATTCTCCTCTCCCCTCCCTGCCACTCGCTCTCTTTCTTTTTGGTCTGTGTTTGAGGAAGGAGGCAAATGAAATGCTGGCCGGCACGAAAAAAAAAAAAAAAAAAAGGCCTGACAAAGAGAGTGAGTGAACCATGAGCAGAGAAGGAGAGGAAAAATGGATAAAGAAAAAAAATGTCTTGGCAAAGAAAGGGAATTATGATTGTAAAGAGGAATCAAGTGCCATGGCAGATGGGCGTAGAGTCAGAAATGGATTTCTTCTATGTCCCAGTGGCTCAAAGATGTGGAATACTCTTCATCACTCTCTTTTCTCATGGCTTCTTTGATGACATTGACCCATTGCTTTGGTGCCAGACTTAACAAACCTTTAGCTTCACTAGAGCTGCAACTACAATCATAGTCAATACAATGTAAGAAAATAATGAAAATACACGTCTTTTTCCAGATTTTCCAGATCCAATCTTATTTTCTTTAAATGCTTGTTTGTCTGACTAAGTGATCAGAAAACCTAGAGATATTTCATTGACTATAGAAGAAGCAACCACAGTTGAGAAGCTGGAACCAGCTTAAGCCAAATGACTTGAATAATAAATTATTCAAGTTGTTGTTGATTAGTATTCTGTAAATCAACTAAATCATTCATTGTTTCAGCACTTTTCTCCACCTGGAGACTTAATGGAATGAACTCACCATGTTTAAAAAGAACAAAGTACGTCCAGCACCTGCATTAAAAATAATATTCTCCCTTTAATTGAATTGGAATGATTGCAGTTAATAAAACGATGAATACTATGTCTGTGATGGTGCGTGAATGCTTGTCTCCTGCACAATTAAGTCAGAAGTGTTAATTGTCCACCCACTGCCCCAACTTCCATACCTATACTTTTTCTCCTGGCTCTATAAAGGGCTTGCATTAAACCCAAATCCTGAGGTGTTTCTGTGCCAAGCTAACTGGGAACATGCTAATCCCAATAGGAATGGTTTGCTACTCTCAGTTAACCAATTAGCTAGCTCGGCTACTACCAGAGAAGAAAAAGAAGTAAGTTAACGCAAATTCATTTAAAGGTCCAGTGTGTAACATTTGGGAGGATCTATTGGCAGAAATGGAATATAATGTTCATTGGTATGTTTTCATTAGTGAATAATCACAGCCCTGTTTGGCCCTAACTTTCAACAGTTAACTTTATTCTCTGTCTCTGACCTCTGTTGTTCTCCGTGTTCATCAAGTCCTTCCTCTCCCTTCACACCGTCCAGAGAATCAGGATGAAATTTGTCCCCTGTGTGGAAGTCAACTTAAAAAGAGATTTTGAAGGGAATTACGGATTTTATTGACCTGTGCAGCTTTCCTCCCCTAAAAAGTGCTTGCTGCAACTGTGGAAAAGCATTCAAGAG